GGGCTAAGCATTCACATGAGCGCTCTCTACTCTTCAGGTCAAGCTTGAAAGACTTGATAGAAAATCGACCGACTTTCTGTTCGCATTTGTTTTATACTGCAGGGTACTGTTAGCTCAGTGCAACAACACCCAATGCTGTTTACATGTGCACAGCGTGCTATGTCCAACTGGCTGTCAATGGTCGGAGTTTTCAGGTGGTACAGCTAAACCGTAACTGTTACTCTTCCTTCACTTCGGAACCATGAGGGACGGGCGCAACCGAAGAAGGAAGCTCTCTTGCGCTACGACGAATTACATTTATTAAGCTCTTAGGCATTCTGGGATTCAGCGTCTCCATACGGAGACCTTATGTGGACTGCTACAAGATATAAGAGCACACAATCCAAATATAGAGCCCTCTACTAGTTTCATACTAAGAGTAGGTAGTGTAGTGGAAATTTCCAAAGTAAAGCGCTGCCCACTAAGCTCGTTGTGCTCAAATCCCTTGGGGTGCCGGTTAATCATAGCTGCAACCTCTAGGCAGTATAGCCATCCAAAGCTAGCTGTACGTAGCTACTAGAGCACACGCAGTAGGTAAAGCAATGGTTCTTGTCGAATTCAGGTACTCTGCACCGGAGAATGTATACAAGCAGCCACCGAAAAGAGTCAGTACTCTGCTAGGTTCTGATCAAATGTTACTAGTGTTCCGTAGACTGCCAGGTATAGTACCTGTTAGAGCGGTCTGACTACTGTGACTAAAGCAGCTAGAGGCACGAATCTACAATGAAATCACCAGAGGACGGGTTTCATGGAAGAAAAGCAACTAAAGTGAGAGCTACTACACCCATCCCGCAACTCAAGTTTCACAGCTGAGTTTACATAGAAGCTATTGTGCACAACCGCAGCAATATTACCTATATCGACAAAGAATTAGTAAAGAACTGACTACTTGGTTCGGTTGTTAATGTATTTGACTGGCTGGAGAAGACCGTTAACTCAATATTAAAAGTGGTGTAGTAGAAGGGCCTAGGCCGTATTAAAAGGAAGAAAAAAGAGACTAGGGCACAGCTAGGCGTAAGTGCTGCAGCTATAGCGAGGATTGTACTTAGTGGCCCTTTACAGGAAAACTCGAAGTGCTCACAGCGTTGTGCAACCCGCGCGTGAGCTGTCCTCATTCACCTCATGTTGGAGCAGTGCAGAGAGGAGAGCAGAAGGGCAAAGGAACTCTTTATGAAACACGCTAAAATGTTTTTTCTTAAATTCAATCAAAGCGTGGTCACATACGTGTTTCCTTCATTGGAACCGTGCTGAGGGTGTAAACAGGGAAGCGGCACCTCGAGGTTTACTGTGGGATGTTAGAATTTCTGAACTATAGACCTGTGACATGAAGGCGTATGATCCTTAACACCAGATTGGGAAGGGGAGGGGGGAGCACGAAAAGTGGGCAACGTCATGCTTGAGTAAGTTCTATTGTATTATTATTCAGATAACATTCGGTATCGAATTTTAAGGTTATTCACTTGTCCTCTTTGCTGAAAAGAGAAATCAATGCCATACGACTATTTGAATGAGTGCCGTATGGCCATGTGCTAAGTACCTATACGCAACTGTGGGCGAATTTTCGCAACGCTCCAGGGGACAAGGTGCATGCACACTAGCAATACGGTCTTTCTCATTGCCGAACTTCTCTGTAATGGAATGAGAGATAAACCGGGTGGTATATGACATAAATAGTGGCATTTGAGGGTTTCTTATATTGTTTGTTAGAGGCAGAGGCCACCATACGTAAACTTCAATAGGACAACCAGCATCAATTTCTATTTCGTATGAAACCTACGATAACCTAAAAAAGCGCGATTACATCAAATTAGACCCTTAAATTGCCGGTGTGTTTATGAAAAGGCTGCTTTTTGATAATGAGCTCCCTCTTACTGATACAGGCCACCTCCGCGTCCGACGAGGGTATTGACCGTCGGCACCCTGAAAACATATGATCTGTCAATTGATCTAGGAAGGCAGAAGACAGAATCCTCCGGCTTAGAGAACGGGATATGAGGCTGTAAAGCTGGCGGATAAAGTAAGAGTTTAGGGGTTCTGAATGCTTTTGCTTTATGCAGGGGAACGGGGCTTTCCACCCACTGGGCACAAGATATCGCATTTCTTAAGCCGTTCCTAATTCTGATCCATTTGAAACCTTGAATTTCATTGTGCATAGTTTGAATATATCATGTCAATAATCAATGTACGGTATTTCACCAGCGTTAACACAGAGACCCCCAGAACGAGGCCAGCGGTTTATGTGTACTCACTAGAACATCTGTGCAAACACGCTCGAAGATAAATACCCAATCCCCATCAGCTCAATACTTGCGGCTTTCCTCTTAGGTGAAATGAATCAGATGTGGTCAGACTACAACCATCTGGTTTGCTTCTAGGTGTCCCAGTTCATCAGCCAATCCAATGGAAGCAGCCCCAGCGTGTGTAGCAACGAAAATTCTTCCACGCTGGAATATCAGATATGTCCCTTTTGCGAATCAGCTGAGGGCAATGTTGATACTGCTGATGCTGTTCAAGGCCCAAATATCCGTGGTGGCATCAGCAGGGGCTCCGGAGATATACCTCGGGGAGCGCTACGAAGCGGCAACGGAAGAGCAGCGCCATCCAGCATCTACAACAGGCGAACACTCCAAACAACTTGGACAACAGGTGCCGCTGTACCCACACGATATGCCTTTGGCTGAAGAAACACCGACAGCACCACTTTTTCGAGAAGTAAATAAGCCAGGATTCACTTTGGCAATACCAGGTGCGGGGCCAAGAACGTCAGTCCAAGTAACAGGAGAAGCAAGAGGTGTATCGGATTCACATGGCCAGCTTTCGTCGGATCCATCCCAAGGTGCACCTGATAAATTGATGGCAGTTCAGCCATACCCCATTGCCCTGCCGATGCAAGCGGATCGTGTACCTCAAGCTATGGTTCCACAGAGCAAGCCGAAAGCCCAGGGTTTTGTAATGATGTTACCATTAGGGATACCTTTGATGCCTTATTCGGAGGGTTTAATGAGGTCCTCAGCTGTTCAGAACGAAGAGTCGCAGCCCTCTGTCGAGGCAGCACAAAGTAAACAAGATGCCATCCGACAAGTGCAGCGACATGCCGAAACGACTCTTCTGCTAGTATTGTATGCTTGTATCTTCTTTGCATTTATTTTATTGGTGCAGAAACAAATGGCAATAAGCAAACTCAGTTGAGATAAGGGGCCCCAGCGGGGCTCCAGAGGAAAGCCACAAAGAAAGTACGACTTTCTAGCTAGAACAGGGACACTGTTGGCAGCTGCACTAGGTGTTACCGCCCATAAAGTGGAGGATGTGAGCAAAGAATTTTCGCCAGCGTTTTCCTCGTGTGTGCAGTTGCAGTTTGAGCGATATTTACCTAGGCGATCACGCCTGCCTCTGCATCCACGGATCCCAGACTGTGGCCCTTAAGGCTGCCTAAGGGCAGCTTAGACTTTTAAGGACACCCCCGGAGGGCGAGCTGCAGTAACTCAACACCGCGCTGCTCCCCTCCAGATTCCCTCCTCCTCAAATTGAACAGTAGCCAAAAATCGAAAATCTGAGCGCTTCTAATAAGTGGCATATTGCTTTCCGTCCCCTGAAGTAGTAGTAAAGAGTGCTTGGATCCCCGGCGGGTAGCGATCTGGGGCTACTGTGGAAAACCTGTTTCAGTTACTAGCTACCCACATCTGTACTTTATATTGGAGGTCAACCAAAGTTGGGGGCAGAGGATGGACTTGAAGACAAACCGCTTCTGCACGTCTTCATCCATCTTCTGGTGATCTACATGCAGTTCCATGGATAGTGTGCTGGCGGCAGTCCTGGTCATTTTGTTTTGTTTCTCTTCGTAGTTCAAAGTATAACTAAGTGCATAAGGGCTTGTAAAAGGCCTCTGTTTGTGGATATGTTGAAAATGGGGTTGCCGCACATAGCTTTGAATTGTCGCCGAGGGAAAACGGTGGCTACACTCAAAATAGTGTTCTACAGGTTCTATTCTCACCATATAAGCCTAAAATAAGCTGATTTGTGGCACTGCTTTGTCTCTTGCCTCCCACCTGCCGTACTGAACAGATTTCAGGCATGTGGAAACGCGCAGGAAACAGCGCTGCCGACTGGGGGCCGGCCCACTGGGGTAGCCGGAGGTGACAACAGGAATTTGAAAACGTTTTTCTGCCTCGAAATCTTAATACTAGGACAATACTATTGCTTCCTGGTGACTTGATTATGGGGAAGAAGCGGTAATGCTCCAATTTTCGTGGCAAACCCAACAAGCACCGCTGCAACGGTAGCTGAAGCGGCCGGCCAAGTGCGCGCCACGCCTGGGGGCCCCAATGAACCGTCCAATCTCCTCCCTTTCCTGAGAATAACTGAGGTCGAAAGTGTACCCGGAGAGGGATCGAGGGGCTCGCAACGTTTCAGAAGGAGACTCTCCGCTGCTCTGCCTCACGGCGTGTCGACTGCGGCTGTAACTACGCAGCAGCAGCTGCTGCTGTACAGCGATACCAGCACACATAACCCTTTCCTTCTTTGCTTCCCCTGGCTACCGTTTGATTCTTGAGTGGATTGAGCGCATATTAAAGAGTCAAAGGCTGCTACCAACCCCAAACCCTATGCCCTAGCTCAGTAGACACGGGCCCTCCCGCTGCAGCCAGAAGCCCCGGCAAACGTTCGTTCCAGGGGCCCCTTTAGGGGGTCCTATCGTGGTTTTGTGGCTCCTGAGTGTTTGAAACGGGGGCAACCGAGGCCGAGAGTGTATTTCGTAGAGGGGCCCCTAGAGCCCCAGTGCGTAAAACAAGCACGGCAAGATACGGGCCCCAAGGCGTACTTATTTTCCGCAAGCAGACACAGATCCTGCTCGTCATCTCTCCATCTGGAGTCTTGGACCGGCAAGCACTCCCCATAGGCCACTCCCTGCCGCCGACAGGCCGAAAGCGAGAGCAGCATATTTTTAAAGTTCCTGCAGGGCTAAGATGTATCCTCTCGGCACTCCGTACACAGGGGTCCATGGACATCCGCCGCCTTCCGAGGGCTCTCCAGTAAGCATAGGGCCATCGAGTACTCCAACCAATGGTCGCCGGCTCTCTGGTGCCCCTGCGGCTTCAACAGGGGCCCCTGGTAGGGTTGCAGGAAGTGGGGAGGGAGGGGGCCCACCGGGACCCCTCGGAGCGATTTCCCACAGGCGAGTGGGCAGTGGCGGTGGCTGCTTTTTGTTTGCAGTGATACTCCTGATGTTTTTTATATACTTCGGGTATTTGTCTATCCTTTTGCTGCCAATGTTGTACGATTCTTTCTCCTTGTTTTCGGTGGGGCTCTTTTGCGTTTTCCACTTGCTCTTCGTATTGCAACTTGGAGCATTTTTTAAGGCTGTATTCACGGACCCTGGCCAGGTCCCTCCACACTGGGGATTTTACATGGGCGACGAAAGCAAAAGAAGGAGGTACTGCAAAGTATGCAACGTCTGGAAACCCGACAGGACACATCATTGTTCGGCTTGCGGGCGATGGTAAGGCTGTATTCCTAAAAAGTTCAAGTCTCCCCTCCAACCTCCCTTGTCCTGATCTTTACCTTAGCTAATACTGTGAGGTGTATACTGCCTCCGGCAGCTTACGCCCGCTTCATGTGTGTCTTCGCTTTCGCTGAAGTATTTTTTCCCTTCTCAAAGTATGTGTAGCACTGTGGCACTAGAAGCTCACGTGCATCCCAACGCGATTATTGCTCTTGTATGACGTCTACCAATCTGCTCAGTGTGCTAAACATGGATCATCATTGCCCTTGGATCAACAATTGCGTGGGCTTCTTCAACCGTCGATTCTTCTTACAGTTGCTTCTCTACGCCCTCGCGTGTCTCACTTTTGTGTTCATCCACACGTAGGCCAATAGTTTTGCAAAACCTCCTCCCCCTACTCCCGTATACCCTGGAGCTACTTCATGCAATTTAGTTATGTGTTCAACCAGCTGCTGCTCTGCAGCTACCCTGCCGCATTCTCTTTTATTCCTCGGTTACGGATTTTAGGACGACTCTACAGGCTAAGAACACGCTCTATCTGGTTTCGCGGCTACTGCTTTGCTTTTCATATCAAGTGCTGCGTGCTCTTTCCTTCATCCCCCAGGTTTTACCACCTTTTCATCAGCTCCTTTTATGGGCTAGCTGAAAGGGTTACAGCCCCTCCTCCAGGGCGTTTACCACACCCAGGAGCCCCAACGCCTTCGGCCATCAAGGTAACAGAGTATATTTATGCCTGCTTGGTCTTGTTCCTGTCGATGCTCCTCATCTTTGCCCTGGTGCCGTTCACCCGCTTCCACCTCAACCTTGTCTTAAAGGTAAGGACGATGCACACCCGTGAAAAGTGCAAAAGATCGCAGCTGGCTAGATATGCTGCTACGTATACCCTTGTTCGCAGCTCCTTTCTATGGCTCCCGTGGTGCTGAGGCATTGTTAAAGCTGCTGCATAGAGGCAGGTCGCATGGGGCTTTGGCACAAATCAAGTCGTTTGCGTGAACGCAGAACTCTACAACAATTGAGAATATGGATCAGGCTAGTTTTGACAGAAACAGATACGACCTTGGAGCTGGCAGAAACATTGAACAGGTCAGCAGCACCGCCGTTTCAATGGAAGCAGGAAATGCAGCACCAAGCTCATTGGATTTTTAGCCGCTCATGCCAAAGTTTTTGCCTGTGTTGTTGACGCTTTTTGCCCAGTGCCCTCTACCGTCGCATGTGCACTCCCTCCTGCTCCTATTACCTCGGCTCTCCCCTGCTACCTGTTTGGTTTTCTCTCCTTTGCGCTTGCTTTGCTCAGGTCTTCGGGTCCAACCCTTGTTGCTGGCTAGTCCCAACCCATGCAGCGGGCAATCGCCCAGTCGGAGACGGTGTTCGATGGAGTCTGCATTATATGGTCTCCCAGGACACACAGGTGGGATATCTATAGCTGTCATATAAGCCTTGTGGTTGCTAGCTGCTGCCTCACTGTGCAACTTCGGATTCTCAGATGCTTGTTGACCGATGGGCCTGGCCTGCGTTGCTTGAGCTGCCCTCTTTTTCATTCTCGCATGAAACCTGGTAGGTGCAGACGCAGAGGGTGCATCTACTGACTGTTCTTCAGGCATGAGGATGCACGTGATGGGTCGTTTGACCCCAAAACTTTGAATGCGACAAGGCAAAGTGCGGCGGCGGTGGACCTTTCATGGTGGTCCTCGTAGGCCTCCGTTATTTGTAGGGGGCCCGTAAAGCTGATATTACCCCAACTGTACGGCTCGACAAAAAACAGGGACAAACCAGACCGTAAAAGCATAGCGCTTAATCACGCATTATTGAGACTGATAAGAATGCTATCAGACCCAACAATTGCGTATTGGGTTCAAAGATTTGGAGGATGGCGACTTATTTGTTAGGGTCTCCTCTTTTAAGCAACAGTCGGGAGAACCCAGTGTTCTCGCGAGTTTTAGGGTCGTTTTAAGTGGGAACCGAATGCTTCTATTGCACCAGTTCATGAGACTGTTGCATTTGCAGCCATTCGGGGTGCTGTTTGAATGTTTGTGGGGCTGCCCACAGCTCCCTTTCAATCTCTCGGGACAGATGATCAGCGCTGAAGCAATTTTGGTATATCAGCGTTCAGAGGCACTGCATCAGATTTATGACAGCATCTTGAGTAGAAGGAAGGAGCTATTTAGTGCCATCACGAGAGCGGTAGAAAGGAGGCAGGGTTGGTGCACCACGCAGCGCTTACTCACCTGGTTGCCGGATGACCAATACAGTACTGTGGGTCAGCCACCGCAACCACAAAACGTGCAGCGAATGGCTACCTTGACACGTCGCATTCAAACATAGCTTGACAAACTGCGTATGTGCTAGCTGAGATTAGTACATAACATACGGATTCCTTTTCTCGAGGCCAACGCGAGGTATCATTCACTTGATTCCTTAGTCCGAAGGAAGACCTGCTTTCACGTCGTCCCAGCCTAAACCGTAGCTGTGTTATTTTTCTTGTTTAACAAAGCCAAGGCAGTAGTGTGGATGGCTGCCTTCGTCGCATCACTGGGTTATCGTTACATGCGGCCCTGCTGCGGAAGCAAAACCGGCAGAGGGAATGGTGCACCGCACTAGACTGTAAGCCCTGGAAGTAAACACAAGCGGAACTAGACCGGTATCTTAATACTTGAGCAAAGTGTAGAAAGACCCCCATGTCACTCAGCTGGTTGGTGCTCTGAAGAATTGGCCAACTCTGAAAGCTCATGCATCCGACAAACTGAATGTACTTATAGCCAAGATACAATAGAAAGGAAGACCAAATAAATAGTAAAGTGGACAAGTAACCTTGTGTATGCACTAAATTCGTAGCTGTTAAAATCATGCGGGCTGCAAGCTAGAGGATGTTGTCGCCCACTACTAGTTAACCGCGTTGTATTTTCCCTCTAGTTAGGAAGGCCCACAGCTCATTCAATACGTTCGTTGTACCAAGAAAGTGACAATTACAGTTCAGAAAACTTTGTGTGAATATATGCGTGGGATGCACGAGATGGTAACACTGTGGGAGCAATGCATTGTACAAAAGATGATGTAGACAAGTATAAGGGCGAAGCAACGTAATGAGCATATCCAGACCATCCAGAGACCCACAATGAAATACGCTTTCGTACACAAGGGCACATTCTTTTTCCTTTTCACCCGTAATAAATATCGAAGCCTCCAAGAATTTCCCTGGCGTGCATAGTGGCATGTCCACAGCTTGTCTGCAACAGTGTGTTCGATAAAGGAGATCTTGGGAAGCATGAACATTTGGCTAACGGATTCTGAAAATACTTTGCGACCAGAAAACCAATGGTTTGCCCACGTTCTGCTCGCAGATGGGACACTATTGCATAAGGCCTCATGAGTCTGTGTGCCACAGATGATTCCACTCTGTGTACAGTGGATTTTTTAAAGACCCCAGCGTCCGTAGGCACACAAACGATGCTAAAACAAAGGTACGCTATCACTCTTTGCCTGTCTTTGTTTGAGGCCTACTGTGTTGATCGAAGTCCTGTGGAGCGGCCCACCGGCGCTCTTTGCTGTGTGTTGTATGGCACTGAACAATGCTCTGCCCGTCTACCATAGAGGAAGCCCCAGCGTCTCTCTTTTCTGCTCTTTTTTCCTTCAAACGGAGCACCTCAAGTTCAGCAGTGGCAACTTGCAGCCTTGCTTTCAACATGAGAGCCTCTACAGTAGCCGCACGAAGAGCGTCAGCTCCCCAGACACTTGCTGGCTTCGCTTCGTGTGCCTGCTGCAGGCACGAAAGAGACGAAAGGAGCCTTCCACTTTGGGGGTGACCTTGGTGCTGCATCATCTGCTGTAAAGTTCCACGCGCCACCCCTGAGGCTGCTGTTCTTGTAGGCGAAGCGCTGTCGTGCCTCAAGGCTGCAAAAGGGGGTGACGGGCCCTGGTTCACAGACGTGCTCACCCTCCTGCTGCTAGCCCCCTGTATAGCCTTCCTCACAATATCTTTGCGCATTTTTTCTGCATAAGATGCCGCTGCGTCAACAGCAACCACAGCAGCAACAGAAGACTCTTCCCTAGGGCCCCCCATGTCTATTGTACCAGCTCTAATAGTTTGATGCCGTGTTGTTCGGAACAAGCAGAGAAGAGGCAGGGTGTTGGCGGGTACCCTAGTTGCCTCGCATGTTCGCCCCAGAAGGTAGTCACCTGTGCTGCCCCTATGGATCCCTTGGACAGATGGCTTGACCACTCCTCGAGCGAGTGGGACAGCACCAGCCCCACTAGTCTCACTCACGAGATCTTTCTCGTGCTGCTGCCCCTTAAGAGCTCGTGCCATCATGGGAGTTGTGGACTTTTTTGCAGGATATCGAACACCAACTTTTGAAAAGGTGAGGTTTCGTCGGTTTTCGGGGTTCACACTCCTCCGCAACCGATTTAACTCGTCCTCAAGCCTCCATTTCACTTTATCATCATGATGCTGGCGCTGCTCTTGCAGCTGCTGACGCTGCTCCTGGACCATCTCTAGCCGCTGCTGCTGCAGCTGTATCTGATTCAGCTGTGCAGCCAGGGCCTGCTGTCCTTTCAACACCTCTTGTTGCTGGACCCGCTGTTCCTGTTGTTCCTCCTTAAGTGACTGGAAGCATTCCACGCTGGTCCTATCCACTGCCTTTCGCTGTTCCCTCAATTCATTAAGCTCCTGTCTTAGCCCCTGCTCGTACTCCTGCTGCTGCGGCCCTCGAAGATACGACAAGTCGTTCACTTCTTCTTGTAGATGCTGCAGCTTTACGCTTTGCTTCTCAGCTTTGCCCATCATTAGCTGCTGTTCCGTGGCCAGCCGCTGGCAATCCTCCCTGAGTAACTCAATAGACTGCTGCAGCTGGCTTTGCCCCTGTTCTTGTTGCTCATGCTCATGCTTAAGCTGTATATGCTGCTGCTGTTGCTGCTGTTGCAGTGATTGCTGCCCGTGCTGCAACTCCTGCAAGTGCTGCTGGAGCTTCTGTTGCTGGGCCCGCAGCTCTTCTGCAGCCTTTGATACCTGTTCTGCCTAAAACATCCACAAAAGTGGCAGAGAAGGTAATGCGAGCAAAGTTACATGAATAGGACGGTGACTCAGGGCCAAACTTTCGATGGACAAACACTAGTTCGGTAGCGAATGCAGCGCTACACCACAAGAGAGCTGCAGTGCATTCAAAAAGGCGCCAGGAAAACAAGGTACATTCCTAGGTACACATCGGTAGTGCCACGACAACTGCAGAAGAAACACCAGCAGCACTCTGGTGGAATACCAGCTGTTTTTGAAGCTCATTTGCACGCCGTTCCTGTTGCTGTTGTCGTAGCTCGTGCTGCTGCTGGAGTGCCTTCAGCCGCTCCGAGAGAGCATGAAGCTCAGCTTCCAGACGTCGCTCTGCATTGGCTAGCTGCAGCAATAAAGTAAGGGAAGTAATGAGGGGACAGCTGCTGAGATCGGACGCTAAGCGATAAGCATAGTAAACATGTACACGAGCGCCAATCACTCGAAGCAAAGCAGCAGCGCAACCACACTTGCATAGTTGGTGAAGAAGAATAGTGCGAGCCAGAAACGCACTCACCTCTCCGTTCGTCAACTTCATACCCTCCTCTTGTCTTTGGAGAGCAGTGGCCTATTTGACATTGCAGCTTCAGCAAGAAACCAAGTGCAATTAACAGCTGATAAGAGCAATACCAAGGGCAAAAATATGGCACCGGTAGCAACATGGCGAGCAACAATACCTAAAATGCGCTGTACGCACACTGTCTGCCTATTTCGATAACTTAGAGCTATATCTAAAGGGCACAAGAGGCCAAATATGCCCAGACGCTTCAGCTCAGCAGAGAATATAGCATCAACAGTGCCCTACTGAATCATATCGATGTGTATCGAGCGACTTTTGCGTCAAAATCACAGTCGCTGCCTGCTGCTGCAGCCTCTCTTCCAGAGAAATGACGGCAGGGACTAAGTCATTGACCTGCAGCAATAGCATAGAAAAATAGCCATAGGACTAAGGGTGCACCCAAGTGAAAATAACAACTTCAGCAGCGTGTTTCGCAGCTGCTGTTGCTGCAATAACATCAGCAGGAACAGCAGGCCCTCGAATAGGACTTGTTGCCTTCTCGCCGCGCAGTATTTAAAACTTACCTTTTTGTTTAAGAAGTTATTTTCTGTATACAGCCGGATTAGCTCCTTTTCAGTGACCGCACAGCACGCCAACCCATTATGAAGGCGGGAAAGCAAAATTTTTCCACAGCTACTGTGGGGCTCCTCCGTCAGCGCCTCTCTCATTATCACTGCACCCTTAGAAGCGGTCACAAGAGAGGGCGGCTTAAAGAGGTGGAGGAGGCGTACATTGGATATCTCCCTGTTAGTGTCTTCCTCCTGTAGCCAACGGTGAACTCTCAACGAGCTTTTCTCGGCTGCCGTGGCCATGAATTGAAATGGCATGGCCCGTTGAGGGCCAACTAAAGCCTCCAGCCATCAATAGACCCCCCCAAAGAATAGGATCTGGATGTTTGGACGCTAATGGAACTATACTTGAGGCGCACTGCTAGCGCCCTGGATGATAGCTTCTAGCTGCCCAGTGTAGACCGTCGACGTAAGTGCGACAGGGGGACTCTAGCGTCGGATGAATAAGGAATGAGTTTCTGACAGTGGATACAAGTCGGTGCTGATGTAGCTTGAAACCGGTGTGGAGGTCGTTTCAGGCCTCTAGGACACTCCTAGGCATGCTGCTGCAACAAATCATAGAAGCTGATGTCGCCTGTCTGTATACTTTTGAAGTTGGCCACTATAGGAAGTATAGATACACGTACAGTAGCGGTTAATAGCAATATTCCTTATGGGGAGCTCCAAGCCAAACAAATTATTGTTAGAAGGCATCTCTATCGGGGCATGGGGACCTCGACAGCTTCTGCGGTGGGAGTTCCAAGTGTATGAGGGCAGGGATATGAGCCCCCAAAGAACCACGAGTTAAAGCAAGCTCAAATAGTTTAGGGAAAGGGGATCACTGTGTTGCACTGTGGAAATGGGCTCATGGAACAGTGTGCTCATCTCTAACATGCCTGCGTTCTACGATAGCTAGCCAACACAATCAGGAGACATTGGGGCCACTGTACTCTATCTTCTTCCTTAATACCATAAAGAGGCCCCTTTTTAGTATAGAATGATATTTGAAACCAGTGCCACCGCTACCTAGTAAAAGAGAGCTTACTTTCCCAGGTATTCTTCCCCTGCAGCACCAAATTCCGTGCGATCCAGCACTGCCGAACATCAAATTTAAAGTAACACCCACAATGACAGAACAAGCCACCTACTTTCGTTTTAACCGACCAAAAAGCAGCGTTTTCTCGTAAGGCACAACGAGTCTTGTTATTTTCCATCGAGTTTTTGGTTTTTGAGGAACTGCACGTGCTGTTTTGGCTTCTCTGTTCAGCGTGCATATACGGCGCGCCACTTAAATGTGATATTATTTGTGTTTTTCTTTCTGATGCTGACTCAACCAAGGAGTGGGGTGGACGTTTCTTAATAGAAGGGCAACCTGTGCTCACTCTAGAGACCAGCATGTTGGCGACTTTCTTGAGCGCGCTGAATGTGCAGATAGAAATTCCCCTACTACGCACCACCGAAGTGGTATTTGGCACATATTTTCTTCATAATCGCGTTTTTTAGTTTACTTAAAAAGCCTTATTATGCCATATGGGCTATAGAAGAAGAGAAACCGATTTTGAGGCTGCCCCGTTGATAGGATGCACCAGATTTTGGTTTTCTGAGATGTCTGGTAAACTAGGGTCAAGAGTAACGAACTAGTCAGGATGCGTAATAATCTCGGAAATATTCTGTGAGAGCTCCTTGGTACCCCATGTATAAGTCATGCGCTGTTAACTAACTGTCCTTTTGTACAGGGACTCGTGCAATAGTGATCTTAAGATCTAGTTGAGCTGGAGAGGCACCACATTCATCTTAGGATTGGCGTGATTAAAAGAACAGTATGGCCTCAATGACCCCAGGGGATGTGCCAATGGTGGGCAGCTGCTTGTGTTGCCTGGACATGAATTCAACAAAAACTGCCGTTGCAGTCTTTGTTGAATTAATGCTTAGATAGGTTTCTGCCAAAAGTACAATCAGCTTTAGATCTCTCCAATAAGTTACTGGTTAGCACTGTGGGAAGTTTTTGCTTTTTACCGCAGCTCGGGTTATTGGTCGCATACAAGCGGACAATGGACCCACTGAGCAAACCAAACGACTTACCAGGAAGAAGTACGAGAGGCCCCGAGCGTGAACCAGTATTGGCTCCATCTTCCCCTGTAATTGTCTGTGGGCCCTCGCAATTCATTGCTTCCCTCAGCACGCTCAGAGCTTTATGGCCTCTAGCTCTACACAACTCCACAATGCTGCTTGGCCAAGAGCTATGTGACTCCTTCCATACTCCACCGCCGCATGCCGACACTTGTACAGTCCCGCTTATACTTCTTCTCAGAACAAATGCAGATGCCGTCACAAATTTTCAGGGGTGCAATCGTTTAAGAAAAGTTACAGCAGTGCTTTGCCCTGGACCTGGAACAAACTTTGTGCAGATCTCTGTTTCGTATCTCCTTTCGAGGCACAGATGAGCTGCTCGTTATATCCTTGAATACCCCAGCAAGCAAAAGCATGTCCTGCTTGACTACTTTGGAGCCTTATTTTAAACTTCTCATTTGGTGCGTGTGTCGTACTTGCAACTGATGTACTATTCAGTCATCCAGCAAGCTCGTACAAGCAGCACTCTTCGCCCATGTCTGTCATTCCCTCCTGATGTAACCCGCTATTCATGTTTTTCTTAGATGGAGAGTATGAAAGCTTGTGCAGTGCCTCTGCAGGTTGATACCAAAGCTGCTTTACCGCTCTTTTTCTGTCTGGTGTTGCTGGTGGTAAATGAGAGCTGTGCCACGCCCACAACATTCACACAGTACCACAAACAGCTGCAAGGTAGCAGCGGGAAGACCTGATATACTAGTATCATGATTGATCTCACCGGAAGCACCCCAAAAACCTGCAATCAGCTTAGTTTCTCCGAAAACCTAATCGATGGGGCAACAGTGTCCCTCATCAGATACCTTAAAGACAGCTACTCCTCTCCCATGGCGTATGTTTCAAGAGTTGCTTACTATAAGGTCAGTTAGGTCTTGAGCTTCGCGATTCTCACATTTGGTGAGGTTATTTTCATGAACTATCACCTCAGTTCACAAGATGGTGGTGCCCCGCTAACGCATGCATTAGCAAGATACAAACTATGCGGAGCATCAATATCAAACGTGTAATGCAGATAAAGGAGTGCTGTGATTTTACCGCTTTGGAAGCTGCGGCTATCTGTGAGGCCTTAATTAGAGTATCCGAGGTTAATGGAAAGGAAGACTATGGAGCTGCAGCAGACCATCCCCATCCAGCATGTGCTGCGGGGGTCCGCCATGACCCCGAGCAGCTAAGCCTATTCGGATCAGCCTTTTCAGAAGAGAAGCCAAGGCTTCTCTTAATGGTACAGCAATAGTGTAAGAAGCCTTACTTTTGTCACTTAGGGGAAGACCAGCGCCAGCCAGAGCGTTTCATGGAGACCACTAACACCCCTCGTTTTCAATGAACTCCCTGATGTCAGATACTTTCTAGTATGAAGGAGACAATTCGGAGCCATTTTAGACCAGTAGATTTTCATTGAGAGTGCCGCTGGCTCGCATTCTTTAAGTTGAGTTTTCTCACAAGATTCTGAAGCCTCAAGCCCGTAAATGGGATGGAACCCGAAGAGGTCTCGCTCTTCCCCATGTTTGGCTAATTAAAGGCTCCAGTTTTTTCCTTGAAGTGGCACCTAGGAAGGAAGACATTGCCAGGCCATGGAAGTGTCTTCCTTCCTACTCTGCCGCTGTTGCATGCGTAGTTCCCTGCATTTATTGCATACTCATGTTCACACGTCGTTGAATAGCTATGATCCTTAACGTGTAGCTAGGCAGCTCCTGGTAAGCTAGAAGTAATTCAAAGATTTCTCTGGGAAGTAAAGTTCTAGCTTCCAGTCGCCAATTAACGATTTCACTGAGAGGGTTGCTCAGCTGAATCGGAAGACTACTGCGCTAATGCGTAAGTGACTGTGTAAAGGGTCAGCAGTTCCTCAGCCCAAGCGGTTGAGGAATTATCACACAAGAATCAACCGAGAGTGAGCCTCAAATGTGTTTGAATGGAAATAAATCTGGAGTAACCGTTGAATGCTATAACGGATCTGGCGAGGCAGTCGTCCATCGAATTTAAATCTCCAGGCCAGCTTGGCTAGTTATTAGGATTGAATGGGCATTTACAGATAAGTCAACACCAGCTGAACAAAATTGAGAATAGCGCCTTGTATAGGACTACGATCTTGCCGTCTTAGTGCTACAAGGTGGCCTCAAAAGCTTAGAGTAATAAATATTGCCCTCAGAGTAGCTTGCGTCTTTAAGAGAATGACGTGATATTATAATTAATCTTTTGCAATGCTGGCCTAGCCTACTACTGTGAGATTATTTGTGTACAGGTGCACGGCTTAACTCATTGGGACTTCGCGGGCTACTTTAAAGGTGCCATTAGTTGCACTCCTTTCATTTTTCTTACCTTTTAAAATACATCCATCTTCTACCTTGCTTAATGTGGGAAGCTCCCGCAATTTAATTTGCGAGGGAGGATCCTGGCTGTAGCTTGGATGCCTTCTTCATAGTGTAAATATTGAGCGCTCCGGTGGTCTCCGTGAGCTGCTTATGCCAGAAAGCTAACTTATTAGGTAAGGAAAGGATCGAAAGGGAGTTGATGAGGTTGTACATGATGTACAGGGCATATGAGGACAGACATCAAAAAACTTTTCACGATGCTTTCCTCGCGTGCTTTATGCCCATGCACACGAATAGGCACACCTTAGGGAGCCGCAGCTTGTTCATCGAAGAACACGTAAAGGTTGCTTACTGTAGTTCAGTGTTCGATTAGGAGGGCAAAAATTGCATGAAGGAAGTACCAGCAGCACAGCAACCACCACGTGTACAGCAAGCAGGGCAACATGTAAAAGAGAATACTGGCTCAATTATGATAGTTGTGTTTAAAGCAGCACAAAATGAGAATAATTGAAGAAACTCGGTAAGCTCAGAAGCTTACACGCAACGAACAGCAAAGTCGTGCAGACGATGCTTAAAGCGCAGGGCGGTACCTCTTAGCTGAGACACCCATGCCTGAGGCATCTAAAGAGTCCCACACGCCAGATGGGATTGCGTAAGACATAGCGCTACTTTCAGAGCACCATGGAAAAACTACAATTGCCTATGGAGCAGGCAATTGCTCACTAGGATGAGTGCACAGCAGTGCCGACACCTGGGCGGAAGGTGAATCAAAGAATGCAGGTAAATGAATTTTGCTGGATCCTCAGCAAGTAAGGGAGGGCAAGAGCCAAACAGGAGGTTCAACAACATGGAATATTCAGATTCGACACACTCTTGTATGAAAGAGGCACTTCTGCTGAATCCAGCGGTGTATACATGAGCTTGTGTGCACCGGGTCACTAGCGCTTTCCTGGGGCCAGCGTCTACAACAAATATGTAACGACTCAAGTCCGTTTGTCGGATCATCGGCATCGATACCAACAGCATAAAAGTATCAGTTTCCTGCTGTATCCTCTTCATCGTTTGGATCTTGATTGAAACTGGCTTAACTACTGAAGCATTTATTCCCCAGTCAAATCTGAAATACCACCTCTACGAAGAATTCTTAGATCCCCACACCATGGGATTCTGCTACTATACAATGAGCTGCCGCATAATAAAGTGATGCCGGCGGAGTAAGGGTCTATCAAAGCTGGGCTCCAGACACGAGGATACGTCAAGATGGCGAAGACAGAGAAGATTGATACGCTGCCATGTACAGCAGTGGTCGAGAATCTCTGCATGCCAGCGATGTAAGAGACATTTGCGAGATAGAATGAGGCACTGAAAGAAGATGCAACAGAGAAAAACTTTCAGATGTAACAGAGACAGCCGCAGCAGCTTTGGCAAAAGTCTCTTCCCGTTCGGTAGCCGCCTGTGTCGGTGCACAGAAACTTCTACACATTTCTAGACGCGATTATCCCAAGAAGTTGAGCCACAAATGAAGACCCCATCCATGCAAACCCATGGAATTCCACGCTGCATTGCAGCTTGGGGAGGTGTCCAGATGCAAAGGCGCAGCTGTTATAGTGACCCACAAAACCCGCAACAACGAAGCGCTTTTATATCGATGCGACCAAGCAGGAAGGCGAAAAAACAAACGTCTCCACTGCACATGCTGCAGAGGTAAACAAAGAGATGAGGATAATGGCCTTCGTTTAGTTGGTGTCGTCCCTGTGCTGGCCGATAGGCACCTTTCCCCGTTAATGTTGATGATCCTAGGGTCTGGCAACTCCAATTGGATGTGGAAGCCTTTAAACTGCCCCTAGGGGCACCTTGCAGCTGGGAAGACATGAAAGCCGTGCCCCAGGGGACCGTCATTCAAGGAACACCCTAATGACTTGTCCGTTGAGGTCTCCACCATCGAACCTTCTGACCGCTTCCATGGCCTCAGACCTTCTGCTGAAAGAAACTGCCACGCGCCCTGTATGCACACCCGAGCTATTGAGGAGTAAATCACAGCCAGCCACACCACCAACGCACGAAAAAGCGTCGCTGATTTCCTCCGTTGTCAGGTCCAATGGTACATTTGAGACAATCACCGTAGATCCCTGAATCAAAAAGCACCAGCGTACTCACGCACGAGGACATGCAAGTTCCCAAAAAGATGGCATGGAAACGCACGTACAGCAACAGTCGAACATTGCAGCATTTCTCCTAAGATGACGTGGGTTTGCGGTGTTCATAGTTTTGGGGGGGGAGGATAGACTGACAGTGGGGCCCGAAGCCACTGGAAGCGGTATCTGCCGGCTGAATGGTGGTGCGAATGATCCCGCCAATGTATTCACAGTATTAGACGAGAAAGCATACGGCCCAGAGGCTGTCCACATTGGTGTAGGGGACCCCCACATGCCTCCTCCAACAGTAGGAGCACTGGTGGGGATGCGGTTGCCCTATGAAACGAATACGAGCATAGCATATCAAAATACGTTGTGATTACTGGAAAGCCTCCAGAGGAGACCGAGGTGGGCATACTGCATTCGAGCCAGGGGGCACATAAGCTAGTTGAGTACATGGAGCAGTTTTCCAGTGCTAAGACAGATAACAGCAGTTCCGCAGGCGATAGGGACTATAAGTAGGGGGTGATTTGGCCATCTCTGCACGAAGCAACTGGCGGAATGACGAAAGAAGCCTCACTCTCTCTACGCTGACGGCGTGGCCCCCAACCTTGGCATTCTGCATTTCCGCGAGCGCTGTCCTGCAAGCTGCCACGTCAGCGAATTGAATCCAACTGAACGCATATCGAACACATATATTCTGATCTTACAAAGCCAAGCTACATGACGGCAGCTCCTTTACGGTGGCCGCAAGCTGGTGCCACATTGAATGAAACACACTGAAATCCGCAATGGCAAGTGCCATGAACCATCGACATTGAACCCTTACGCTTCTCCATCTTTTCGGGGCACAACGGCAAGAATCGTGCCACAATATCCAAAGGACCGGCGCAGCATTCCTTCAAGTCGGGGCCACGGTAAGCCTGCAAGACAAACGACCACTGATAGACGATATGCTCTAACCATCTGCTAACACGTCAAAAAGAGAATAGGCCTTTGCACCTTTGGGAGGCACAGCATCGAAAGCTGGAAATCTCACCAGTTGGAAGGCCCAAAACCTTTACTGAGTATCCCACCGCCGGTACTGCGAGGGGAAAACACACACAAATGCAGTGCGACTGAGCACTGGTGCTTCAGTTAAGGTTATTCATCCTGCTCCTGCTGCTACACGTATATATCGTACCTCCATTGTGGGGATATGGATGTATGGGCACCCGGCGTGCATATGGAGAAGCAACAGGAGGATTGTTTCTTCGCCGCCTCAAAGGGCCCCCTCCCCCCTGCTGAGAACTATCCTGGTGCTGCTGCTGCTGCTTCTGCTGCTGCTGCTTCTGCTGCTTGTTGTTCAAAGCGATGATCTCGTCAAGGCTAAGAGAAAGCTTCTCTTTCACCGACTCGCTGTGTCGTTCAGCCATTGCCGGCAAGGTTCAAGGCTTGCAATCGAAAAGTTCTGGCGTACAGTAGAACGCTTTGGGCCAGGCTGCACGACGGCTGTTTCAGCCCCTAAGGCGGAAAACAGTAAATGCCGAAACCAGGTTGCAACAGCGCAGCAGCTGCTAAACCGGGAGCAAAAAGGGGCCGCTGGGGGGCCTCAGTGGCAGCACAGATTCGATAAGCACGAGAGAGGCGGCGCTTCTGACAACTGTTAGCCGCAAAAGGAAAAGTAAATTAGAGGCGACTTTGGATTTACGGAATAAGATTAGGCCCTAAGGAAAAGGGTTTAGGTGGCAGGCAGCGTCACCAAGGGGGTGCTGCATGCAGTGCTGGTTTTCCGGAAGCCAGGTGTTGAAGGCTTTACGAGTCCCCATCTTACTGCTTTCAATTTTCCGGAGCTAAGTCAGATAGTATTACGCCACAGGCTGTAGGTGCTGGTCTCTGTGTCTCAAGCCCTAAACCGTAAGCTTCCACCCCGCACTTGGGATGTAAACTGTTTCGTTAACAATCGTGTCCAGCGGCTGCCTCAAAACTCCTAAATAACCCGGGAAGAAGGTGATGGTCGATAAATTTAATTAATCCTACGTATTAGATCGTTTGTGTATTGCTTGGAGGCACCAGCGATACGGCTGAAACCAGATGGTGTAGCGTAAAAGCGCTGCTTCGTTCACCTCAGCAGGCGATCTCTAGTTTTCCGTCTAGTTTTCATATGAAAACATGCAACCTGGAAATCGCATTGAATGCTATATATAAAGACTGTGATTTTGCACGCAAAAAAACGAACTGTCTGCCCGTTGACCCTGAGAGAGTCAAGCTGTTACATTCCGTCGAGGGGCTTTGAAGGAAGATGGCACTTGGCTCCAAGCTCAATGCAAACTTGATAGAAAGTTATCGAGAATCTCTCAAAACGATTTTTTCTTACACCTACACCCTTCAGAATTCTAGACATACTGAGGAAGGAATGCCAACGTGCGCATTGTACGCCCTCCACGCACCCCGACCGTTACGTTCCATTTAAGGTCGCCGTAGACACCTAGCTCCAGAAGCATTACAAACTTCATTAAACATTATTGAGCGTTTCTCAGGAGAACTCCCGTCCTCCGCTGCAAGGCTCCCTTCGTGATCCCGACGTAGAGCAGATGCAAATATTGAGCGCCCATAGCGCCAACCTGTAGGCACTCCGGTTATTCACAGCTAGTTGCACACAGCACCTAGACGCTTGCAGCATCGCGACTTCGTGTGTGGAATTAGCACTAATGTACAAGAAATTGAAAATATAAGCACACAAAGCAGATGCCGATTCCTTACTAGTTCTTTGTTAAAAATAAATAATGTAGCAGACAGGGTTCATGTTTGGCTCAGCCTACTGCATGTTTTGAGCCTAAACATAGTTGAGAGTCCACCTGCATAAATCTTGTCATTTGAAAAAGACAGCACACATAACCGGAAACCTTCCAAGCACCAAAGATGAAAGTAAGCATTTGTTTCGACATTCTTGTTTCTGGCTCCTGTGGGCCTTAGAAACGGACTATTCCACGTTCTGTATTGGCATGCAGGAATCGCCCCATGGCTTGCGGAGTCGTTGCCAGACTATTGTGAGTTTGGAATCCCCTTTACTCCGTTGTTTTGCTCTCGCGTAGCAGGAGACTCACACATGGCAGTGCTTCCCCGGCAGCAACCCATCGCGCTATCACAAAAGTGTTGGGTTGGTGCCTTGTTCTTTGTTGGCTAGCAACCCCTTTTCCCCTCTTTATTTCTCTTTACTGTCTGATGCCCCCTTCACCTTTTTCACTAGCACTACTTTCGCTTTTTTTTTGCATGCCTGAGGAGCGGCGATGGTGAAGGGGCTTTTCCGCTCTCGTAGATGGACAGGTACGGAACACTAGGGAGTCTGTGTTGAAATGTGGAGAATAGCGTAGTCAGCTAAGCTATGATTACACACTTTTTCTACAATAATTTGCCTTGACTGAAGAGTTAGAAAAGAGTTGACCACTCGGTTTGGCTGCACGTAAATCCTCTTTAGTCCAGAGTACTTTTAGCTCGATACAAAAAGACGCAACGTTGTAAGCATATACAGTGGGTGTTATGTGCAAAGAGCTGTAAATACTTGCGTTGCTTAGTGCAGCGAAACCAACTCTAGCCTTCCTTCTCCCCTCATGCCGGGAGCTCAGGGGCGCGGGCACGGGAAGACGAAACATTTTTGAGAACCACTTAACAATCTTTAGTCAGGGTTTATTTGAGTGTGGAAATTATTGCCTTTTTGCGGGGACCTTAAGGAAAGCCTCACAAATACAGTCAAAGCCCAATATTTTTTGGTTTTGTATGAAAGCTACCAACCTACCTTCCCATCAGCCCGCAGAGCCTCGGGCTGAAGAGGAAAAATCCAGCGGGTATTCAAGTGGCTACATCCGCTTTGAGTAGTCTGACCATTCATGCACATTCGTGTCGCATAGAGGTACTTAGTTCAGGAGAACACTGTTCCTATATGAGGCCAGTTTCGCTCGACAGGCAACAAATAAGACCAGCTGGAATACACGACCAATATTCATTTCAAAATAAATAGTGGATGAAGTGTTTTTTAAACTTGCTCAAAGGCTTATACGGATCAAAAGGTTCCTCAAGAGAGCTTGTGCACGACCTTAGGTTACTCATACACTGAGAAACATGTCTGTCCAAAGCACGGCCACTCCCAGCGCCACCGACCCAGATAGGAGCGACTGTGAACCACTCTCCACTACTCCTATAGCGATTGGCGCTCAGTTCTATGGAGCTAGCGGGTGCATTCTCCAATGTGTTCTATCTTTTTTGGCCTGACGTGACCTGCTCAACACTGCATAGTACAGGGCTTCACTAAGCCCCCAAAAGACACTGCCGTGAAGCCCGATACATCGGAGGATTTCGCCCAGTTAGAACTGCGAAGCTGCCTGGTTAAGGCAGCAGGACTCTATTGGCTCAGGTACTGTTTTTGCACTGCCTGCTACAGTAAAACAGAATCACCTAGTGATTAGCTGCCTGAATGAGGAACACTGCTGGAATGAGGAATGCGCACTCCCGCACCCGTTGGAACATCGTTGCTGCGTGGTCCCACTACTGGGAACCACGGTCCCGCAGAGGCATATATACTAGAGGGGAATATCATTACAGGAGCGGCCTACTGCCTTATTCAATCAGTTGTTGACTTCGAAGATCTGCAGTCACTTTTGAATTTGGTAGGCATACTCCTGATACATCTTGCTGCAAGATGGACTCGGGCTTTCCCTCTCCTGTAAGTTGAACTACAGCAACAGCCAACTGCCACAGCGGCATAAGTGATAGTCGTCTATACGTCCGTGCAGCGAAATAGATCCAATCGCGCAGATACACAGAAATATCGGCAGGGGGATTGCTGTGGTGCAGCAGTAGCAGCAACAGCGGCGGTTGCTGCTACTGCTGTTCCTGTTCAAGTTCGTTTAGTAATGGTACATGCCAGCTGTATGATACTGGCCTCTACGCGCTAGCGACGAATTCCTCGATCAACGCGTCAGCAGCAGCACATACATTATTTGCATGCTGCTGCTGCATCGCCTGATTCTGCTTCCCTTTTAACGGTCTCCCGGAATATCCCGGCTTCTGCAGGCACTGCTGGTGAACAGTGCCCTTTTCCTGGTGGCCCCCCTGTGCCTTCACCAGACGAGATTTTTCTCTGCCTTGTTGCTGCACTTGTTGCTGTCGTTGCGGTGAGGGCGCGACAGTATTAACAACTTCTACTGATTTTGCAACACCAGCGACAGCCGGTGTTGTGGCTGGCCGGCTGCTGGTGGTGCTGGCACTCACACTGTGAGCGCTGGGGATGCGCCAGTCGGCACTATTCCTGCTGCTGTTGCTCGCAAATCGTACAGCAGTGGTTTTCTTGCAAGTGTGCATGACCCTGGCGTGCAGCCGCAGCTGTTGCCATTTGTCATCAGGGGACCCACGCAAGCAGCTCGCAAGTGACTTTTTATCAACATCTTCACCTGCTGCAGCGGCCGCATCTGCTGTAATGGCCGTAGTGGTCCCATCTACCGTAGATGGATTTCTAGCTGGCTCGGCGCTCGTTTTGGATTCTACAGCAGCAACAGCACCACTAGAGAGCACTTCAGATGGAAAAGCGGCTTCTGTGTGATCAGCTAAGGAAGAATTCACAGCATCTGTAGCAGGAGTACGCATATCAGCAGCCTCAGCTAATGGAGCGTGGGCAGCTGGTGGAGCATCACCAACTGCATTTGCTGCTGGAATGTTGCTTCCGCCTTGAATCCAATTTGTTGAAGCGCGTGCAGCCAAAAGTGTCTTCTGCTGCTGCAGTAGTGCGAGTCGCTGAAGCAGCAGCCTGTGTTGCCGCTGCAGCTGTTGCAACTCCCAGTCATCCTCCGACCCTGACTGTTCACTGTCACGCTCCTGTTCGTGGTTGCCGTCCTGCTGCTGCTGATGTGAGTCAGCCTGTTGCACCTGTTGAGTGTGGTTCTGCGGAGACCGTCGTGGAATGGGGGACACTGCGCTTGATTGGCTTTCGATGATACCTTCAGTAGCGGCTGCTGTTGCCGATGCCGGTGAGGTCGCTGAAGTTTTTGTCGCTGCTGGGAGTGTGTTTGTTGCTCCTGGTGGTGCCTCCAGAGTCCGTGCTGCTGCTTCGTTCTGCATGCCACTGAGTGCATCGCTTTGAGAGCTGCAGGTGCAAGGAAACGTACATGCCCACGCAGGGGGGGGGCGGGGGGGGGAGGAGACTATGGAGTTCCGGGGGTATTTTTGAGCGAAAAGCTGTGCAGCGAGTGCGGCAAGCTTTAATGGTAGAGTCGCAAAGCCGTTCCTGACATAGAGGGAGAATGGCTGTGTGTGGACTTACAGGTCCCCCAGATGTGCGTAGCTGCTCCAGCTGTCACCGTGTTGGCGCTGCAACTGTCGCCTCAGAGTTACTCCGCTGATGCCTCTTTTGGTTGAAATTGTTGTGCATGCGGCTGCCGTCGCCGACGCTGCTCCCGCTTGGACCTTTCTTGCTTCTGCTGCCGATGCGGCCTCGCGCATCCGCTGCAGCAGGGCAGTGAGTAATTAAGAACGGCGACAGTATGAGAGGCACAGTGTATTTTGCAGTAAATCGCATGCAATCGGTAACATCCTCCTGATATCTCCGTGCTAACGAACATCCTACGCCAATGCTCACCTTTGCTCGCTCTTCCTCTGCCTGCTTTGTTCTGAGTCGCCGCAGCAGGGGCCGCAAACGCTCTTGCTGCTGCTTCTTCTTCTTCTCTGCCAGTGCGGCTGCTGCTGCTGCTGCTCTCAGCTGTCGCTGCTGTTGATGCTGCTGGCGCCGTAAGAATCGCTGACGCTCCGCCTACAGCAGACAAGCAACACCAAGATATACAGACCGCAAACACTCTGTGGCTTGGCTGGGGCTGAACTTCGTCATGTTCCTCACAATTAGGCTCCGTGAAGAATTTTAAAGACTAGCCGGCTCAAGGCACATCGAGTATTCGTACCTCCTGAATCTGTCGCTCTAATTCAGTGTCCAGCTGTAGCTGCTGTAATAGATGAATTTGCCGCTCTATCTGCAGTTGATGCTGCTGCTGCAGCCATTCCTGCTCTTGCTGGTGCCGCTGTAGCATGAACCTCTGTTTCTCGCGCTGCTCCTGATCCAGGCGTAATTGCTGCAGAACAGGTACAAGCAACGGCAGTCGGGATGATAGGAGGCACTGGCAATGGTTCTTAAGATGTGGTGCTTTGCAAACAAGGCGTACGTGGGCTCGTTGCTTTTCTTCGTCTGCATGCTGTTGCCGCGCTGAAACTCGACGATTAACAATCTGTTGCTGCTCCTGTTGATGCCGCTGATTCTGGTGAATGAGCTGCCTGTCTGCGACCACTTGCGAGCTGTACGGGGGCACTTGCTGCTGCCTGTTGTACAGCTGCGGCGAATGCACCTGATGCAGCTGGTCTTTGTGGTGCCGGAGCTCTTTATGCTGGTTCTGCCCCACCTTGTCCGCCTCCTCGTCTGACTGCAGTAGCAGCTGCTTTAGCAGCAACAGATCACAGCACTGCTGCTTAGGCAGAGCGGCACAGGAGAGGGAGCACGAAGGATGACCATCTGCTGCTGCTGCCACCGCCGCTGCTGAGCCTGCTGCTAGTGCATCCGGTGTGAGTTCTGACAGCATAAGAAGGGAGCGTGGGCGTCGCTTCATCCTTGCAATCCTATGCCCAAGTTGCAAGTCGTGTTGCCAGTATCGCACCACACGTGTTTCGCTTGATGCCTTTCCGACCCGACGGACTCTTCAAGAGCTCCATAAGTAGTGCCTTCAAGTTCGCATCTTACATCTGTGCATCGAGGGTTCGGGGTAACGGAGTACACGGTGGGCTGGTGGGGTTGCTGGCCTAGCCAGCTGATCACACACTACTCATTGAATGAAGACCCGGTTATAGGACCAAATGTGCGTAGTAAATAGGATTGACACATGGGATATTCGCCGATTCTGCTTGACGGAAGCTCTTGGATCCGCTGCTGCAGTGGCCATTGCAAGTACTGGTGGCACTGCCCAGCCAGGGGGCCTAAGGGGCCCGCCCATCCTGAGTCCCCCAAACTACACCCGTTCTTCCTAATTCTAAAGGCACCCAAAAGCATTGATATATTGCCTCTACTTAGCAGGCGTCGCGTATCTTTCTTCGGATTATTATCCTCTGCTCACATCCGCACCGAGTGGCAAGGATTTGGGTTTAGTGCTGCAATGCTAGATCGAGATCCGTTGTGGTTCGAATAGTCCAACTAATCCTATTTCCGTTCCTTTCAAAGGGCCATGCATATGATCATTCAGCGGCTTCGTTGCTAAGGGCCTGCGGTCGAGGGTGCACAGTTTACCGCTCAGCAGGATGTCTCGCCGCACAGAAGTCCTTCTTTTTCTGGGTCTTTTCGTTGTTGCTTGTATTACAGCTGCTGGTGCCGCTGCTCAGGGAAATGCCTATCTCTGTCTGAAGGCCTTGTCTGTAAGGCGGTTAGAATGGGGGTGCCGAGACACGGGTTTGCGGGTTTCGTGAGTGTAGGAAAGTTTCGTCCCTGTCTTGCCTTTCACTTCCTGCCTATTTTTCTGCGCCTGGAGTTTTGGGCTTTGTGCGCTGGGCATAGGGCTTGGGTCGAAGAATTGTTTGAGCGCGTGCAGGTTGCAGCCATTCAAATTGCCGCCGTAGGGGGCTGGGGCGTGTGCAGCGTTGCTTTGGGAGTCTGGCGACTTTCTGATGCGCCAGAAGCTGCCGAACAGCTTGTCAATGTAAATCCTAGGCCACAATACTTAAAACCTGAACAGAGAAGCCACACCACTACCCCACTTTGGTGCTTCTTGGCGAGGTCCAGGTGGCTTCGTGTCTGTCCGGCGGTGTCTGTACAGGACCTGAAACAGGCGAGGGAGCAGCTAGCGCGGCGAGGATTTAGGTGTGACGGTGGCCGCATGGACCGTTAAGTATCAAAACAACGAGGTACTTGGCGGTGAGGCGCGAAGCACTTCGTGCAGCTGCGGTAGCCGTGGGGTGCTCTCCTCTACAACACCACAAGCCAAGGATTTGGGGATACATGGCGTGATTTCAAACCCTTTTAGGATACTATGATGGAAAGGCTGCCAATCCTTGTTTCATGCCGCAGCTACACAAGCAGGATGCCTGCCGGTTGTTGCAATTAGGGCTAGCATGATGGGCTAAAACTTGTAGCCGTGAATGCGTGTCTCACTCCGCGGACTGCCTCGGGGAGCACTCAAACTAAGTGCGCGTGTGCAGCACCATCAGAGGGCCGCTGCCTTCGTTGTAGCAGTGTTTCCCCCTTTGCTCTGGCGGCAAAAATGGACAAAGCCATCAGAGCCGTTGGAGCATACATACACAACAACGTGAGACGCAGACCACCACTTTCCTTCGTGCATTCCAGAGTGGCCTCTCCCTGAAGTGACAACAGCACGCGTACATGCAGCAGAAGCAGCAGCAGCACGCGTACATACAGCGAAAGCGCAGAGACCTCAGGTGGTGCCTGAGAATTGAAGATAGCAAACCTCGAACTTTGCTCAACAGGCGTGAACTGCTCCCGCGAGGTTACAATCCATCGATTACAGTTTAGAGTGAGCAACAAAGAAACGGAAATATATTTCTTGCAAGATCCGGTGCCGATGCTGCCATGCAGACTCAAGTCTTAGGTGTTAGGGCCCAAAGCGCACTTCAGGGTCCAGCTGGGAGCATGCTGGAGCAAGCATATCCTTCAGCCAACCAAAGAAAAACGGAGATGGTACATCCCTGCGTAGCGCAAAACTGAATCCCTACAAAAGTTCCTACCGGCAGCCAGGAGTGTAAGGAACGGGCCCCTGCACGCTTTCCCCAGTATGCCATTGCCAAAGAAGGCTTACAAACGTGCAAAGCGTACCCAAATGCATGCATGCAGCATATGCAGATGGCGTTCGCAAAATAGCGGCTTTGGGGAGGAACGGAATGAACAATGGCGAGGAACAAACAAACCTGAGAATACGCAAACCCCAAGTCCAAAACCCCTGTTGGGCACGTTGAATGCCTTCAGGTGTTTGCTGGCGGAGTTTAAGGGTAAAGGCAGAGGGGGCACAGGAATGGGGTTACTTGGGAAGCCTGAAGAATCAGAAATCCTAGGGTTTGCAAGAGCAGGTACCACAGATATTGCTCCTGTGGAATGCAAACCACAAGCCGCAGGCCTAGTCCATGAACTCCAATGGCACGTACAGCAGCAAAGTGTCTTGCTGCACAGCGGTTGTGCCGCCTTCTATAGCGGAAACGCCTGCTGAGACGAAGCAAATAGAGTGTACAGCTTGCGTACGAAGTAGCAAGCAGCGACCAAAAAGACAAGAGCTGCTGCTGTGGTGATACCCGCACCACCACAGAGTTTACAGAGCCACCGCAGCCTGAAGCAGCAACAAGCACACCACGAGGGGCACCATCGAACTAGGCAGCGATACACCATGAGATAGCAGGAGATTTTTTCCAAAAAAAGCGCCATCTACCTGCGGTGCTCTTCCGTATAGAATGCAAAGTCCGCGTCGTGCGACCCAAGGCTTGTACAATCTTTAGCAGCTGGTTCTACTCTTGCTTCATTTGAGATGTCTGGGATTGAATGCCGTCCTTCTGCGGTGTCAGTGCCATTTTCACCGAGTAGTAGTACTTTTTGGCTGCCAGCAACGCCCACCGATCTCCCTTGTGGTTGGTCATGCGGCGTTTCCGGTTGCTCTTTATAGTGCTGCTGGTGTTCTTGCTGCTCTACCGCGAAGTGTGTGGCTAAAGTAATAGAATCTTTGAGGGAGCTTGGGGCTGTACTTTGCGTGGCTGCTGGAAAGTGGCCAGGTGCCGCTACAGAGGTTGACGCTCCTGTCGTTTCCGTTATTCCCGCTGCTATTGCTGGTTCTGGTACGCGCCGAGCGGCCTCACAAAGAGACACAAGAGAATCGGAGACCGCACTTTTCTCCAGTGCCTCGGCTAACCAGCCGCCCAATAGAGTCCCTGAACCGCCACACGAGCAGCGAAGCGTTTAAGGTTGAGGTCTACCGTGCGCATCTTCGGGTGAGAGGTGAGAGATTGGTGCAAGCGTTTCACAAGCAGCCAGCCGGAGGCCCCTCTTGCCCGTGTTTCCAGAAGGGTGTAGGCTTGGGGTTGGGGGTCTGTGTTTACGCACCGCAGAACCCTGCACCGGCTGCAGTGGTGCCAATGATAGATGCTGCCCTTAATTCAGAAGAAAAGAATGATAAACCCAGAGAAATCGACGGGAGAAATGTTCCTGCGCCCTGCAGCACAGCTGCGTATATTGCATAAGCGCAGCACAGGCACCCGAAAGGCATAGAAGACAGTAAAATTCGCATCTGATCTCGAAATCCTTGCCCATCGCTGTCAATTCGACAAGCCCCCTCCTGGCTCGGGGCCTCCTCCTGAAGGCCTTCTCTTTCGGCGTCATTCTCTGGAAGTGGTGTCGTCGTTCCTATTAACTCCAGCCCTAATACGTCTACCCTTTCCCGCTGCTGCTGCTGCCTGCGATGCAGTACAGCGCAGAGCGGCAAAAGAACAACGCCTCCAAGTCCCAAAAACACGAATGAAGAGTACCAGCCGGCGACGCTTGCTGCTGCTGCTGCTGCTGCTGCTGATCCAACAGCGAAGCCCACGGGGGCAGCAGCGAGGTAAGCAGCAAGCCACCTCCCGCGTGTCTCTGGAGTTGCTGTGTCAGCGACAAGGGGAAACCCTATGGATAGAAAGCTGGCCTGTGCGGCCCCTGCTACCGCTCGTGCTGCTAGGAGCAGCACGAACATTTCTGCTGCACCCGCAGCAGCTGCAACAGCTGCGGCAGCAATCCACAGTCCCAGTCCGTAGAAGAGAAGGAGGAAGGGAGGCCATTTTTCGTGAAGAAGTGAGCAGAGCGGCGCGGATACAGAGAGGCAGAGCACGAAGGCAGACTGCAGCAAGCCAACGTAAACACTCGGGGTATCCGTGCCAAGGGCGTTCCTAATCAGCACCGCCACCTCCTCTGAGGCACCAGGAATGATGCCTCTGTCTGCGTAGAAAAGTAAGCTAGTGCAGATTAGAAACACCATCAACAGGCATAAACACGAGCTCCCGCGGTCCCCTGCCGCTGTTTCTACTTCCGCTGTGGAGGATCCTACTGCTGCGGGCAATGTGGTCGGGGGTGTAACAAGCATGGATATTCCACAAGGCTGGGATGCAGTGTCGCCGCCTTCTCTTGCTGCCTCGGCTTGCACAGCTGGTGCTGCAACGTTTGACACTTCCGAAGCCAAAGGCAACAGGACGTACGAGGGAATGCTTCCATCATCATCTTCGTGTGATGTTGTGTGATGCTGTCGACTCCATAGCCACGAAAGTGCATGGGTTTTATGGCTACGAGCGGAGAGCGCGGGTGGGTTCGATGTCTGCTCAATCAATGTCCTTTCTTCAGAGGCCATTTTGGCAGCCAGGCTTTCGGGTTTGGAGTGTGTGGTTTACGGCTCTCGTTGGAGTCCGCCTCCAAATTGTAAGCCCTTTACCTTGGCACCCATGCGTGTAGTAGGAGATCTCATGTCAGATGGTCCAGTGGTCGGACGAATGCAAAGAGTGAAGAGCTCCGCCTTCGCCGCGTCTTGTGCACAAGTGTAGATAAATTCCAGCATAAATACTAGAGAAAAAGGCGAAATTGAGGCACAAAACTTATAGATTGGAGCGTAGAGTCGGCACTTCGTTGATTGGCGGCGACAGCATGCGGCTGGGTCCCGTGCCAGCTGCAGCGGTAAGCATAAACCGCTTCCAAAAATTAAGGCATGCATATCGCCATGGTGTGCTCTCATTCACATAAAGTTACAGCGGTTATCAGCTTCATTAAACCCATTTGTTCAGGCCCTTCGTGCGCTGGCCCCACATACATACGCCTTTTTTAACATGATCGCTTGAGCCTTATACCCCAGTGCCTCCATGCAGGGAATTTAACTCCAGAGCTGGCTATCTACGCACTCTAGGAAAAAAGTGCAGTAGCAACAACCGTCTATTGGGTCAGCCACAAGAAACGAGAGGGGCGAAGGTGAGACCGGCCGAAAGACTGAGACAAAGAAAATGGCCAGAGAGGGGTACAGTGAAAGAGTAATGCACAGAGATGTAGAGGTAGAAAGGTGAGGATGGCGGCGTGACGCCACACAATCCAGCAAGTAGTGCTGGCATTCCTAACCTTCACGATCTCCGCCCAACGACATACCCAAAGTGCATAGAGGCCCCTCGCCCAAGAGCTCTCGAGTAGGAGATATCTGTTCCAGTGGCCCCTCCAACATGTCCTTCTCCCTCGCACTGTACTTTTTTCATAAACTGGAGAAACCCGTCCATGCTTACAAAGTTCCTCGAAACGGTTGCAAATTGTGCAGAGAACTCTCCGCACACACCTTACACAGCCTACAAGAAGCTTCTTCTTCTCGAGTCACGAACTATTGCCAATTTTAATAATTGCATGAACTGAATCCAAACGTAGTTGGCCTGAATGAAACTTTCAATGGGCAAGCAGATATGAATAATCCCCTGAGCAACCCCCCTTGCCAGCAGAAGAAATAAGGTCATATGTTCGCGGAGAAGCAATTCCATAACCAGCAGCGAAAACGGCCTCACTAGCTCGCGGAGCCACAAAAGCGGTATTAAAAGAGTGGGAACTGACTTTTATTCTTTCCGATCACCTGTGGCACACACGCGTAAACACCTTCCCGTGTTTTTGTAAACGAAAAGACGCCGTGTAATAGAGTGCAGACACGCGCTTTCAAATGACAAGTGGCTTATATGTTTGCGTTTTAATTGCCCTAGCAAAGTCCTTGAACAAGGCAACCAAACGAGTATTTCAACGGACTGCTTCGTGGTCCAGAATGGGAAGTAGATTCACTTAGCTGGTCACGCATATTTCACTTGCTAGTGGTCAAAACTGTACACCGGCGGTCATATGGCCTAACAGCGCACTCGACAGGAAAACAAATAGGTTGTATCTCGAAGACAGAAAGGTGGAACCAGAACAGACCTACCATACAAGAGCGCAACAGTAAATCCTCCCCCTAGCACAAACGACTGCAGGGTCTCAAAGCCCGCACGAGTGCGTAACTGGACAGACTTGCCAATTGTAGCCGCTTTCTCGTCTACCTTTAATGAACGCCTAGCTTTTCCTCATTAGTTGCCGAGCGGGTTTTATTCTTGTCGGGTGAACATTTCCCGGCTCGGCAATGTTAATGTGCCATTATTGTGCGAACGGAAAAATGAGCAGGAGTAAGCTACAGCACACGTACTCAATTCCTAGTCTGTGCCATTACCCCAGTCTTCTTATATGGAGCAAGCTTGTCTAACCCTCGCAGTGTACAACTCTTAGCTGAGAGACTCCAAGCAGAGGCTTCACATAGGATGTAATATGGGGGATAGTTTGGGGGTGAACACCCCTGATAGTAGACACTACTGCCTTCGAGAAGTACTTACAAGCAGTTGCACTCATCATGCTGTTAGAGTTTGTATAGATGAATAAACGGATATGCATATGTTCAATAAAGCCTCCACGCCAAGGCACTGCGGGATAAACAAGGCGCACAAGCCTCCTTCTGCCTGGCTATAGCTTGAGCCGCAGTGTACTGGCTCAACCTGAGCTGGCTATTTTTCCTGATACTTAATAACCATAAGGATGGCAATTCCTTCATAGGGCACCTAGTAGCAGCGTTACAAAGAAAACTGCAGCCCCCTGGCTAGCTGTGCATCCGTTAGGAAATAGAGGCATCATTTTGTGGGAGACATGCTGATTACTGGAATTTTGCCTAACCCCCGTGCTCATGCGAGTATTATTAATACGGGAGATGGAGTACCTAGATGATGAATTGGCATCTGCACTTCCCTGTGCCTTCTTTGCCCAATCTCCGCTCTGCCTTTACGGCTCCTGTTTTCACCGTTCATCGTATCGGAAATACACGAAAAAGGATCCAGTATCTAATATTACCTATGTCACATGGGCCTCATGAGCCATGGGTGCTCTGTTAGAATGAGCTACTCGCCTTTGCGGCTGTGGGTCGAGTTCGACGGTCCATTCATCAGCTTCCTTGCCGACTGCAGCACGAGGAATACAGGCTTGAGCTTATTTTTATAATCATAAGGATTGAATTTAAGTACTCTCTTTGTGGAACTTGAAGGAAATAAATGCCTGCTTAATTCACCAATCCACTGATTGCCTCCTCGTGCACGGGCGCCACCACCTGCTTGCCCCAGGTCTCATCTTCTCTCTACCTGATGCTATGCACTCTCTAATCGGGCCTCCTAGACTATAAGCATGAAACTGAAGAAGACAGACAACGAGGAAAGAACGAAAGGGGTACAGTGACCACAGAGGCCAACGGACGCCCCAGCACCAACATGTCTCAACGAATTTCACAAGAAGCACGAACGAGGAGAGCTTTACAAGTTGATATTTCCAAATACTGAAATGAAATGCACACACACTTTTATGAATGGATTGAGCTCGATATGAAAACAAAGTCTATTCCGCAGCAAGTCCTGGTTAAATGCCTGCAGACAGACACACACTGCACGCCTGGAGCTTCAATAGTGGATTGCGGCTCACAGAGAAACAAATACGGGCCCAGCAGCCAGCTGCATGGAATAAAGCATAGTAAGATGAGAGATCATTTGTTTTTAGCGCTAGTCTAGTGGGAGTCCTTGTAGAGACGCGGTCATTTGCCTTGACTCCCAATGTTGACCCGATCCCCCTTCCCTGAGCTTAATAGGGTTGAATGGCAGAGCCGGTATATGTGTTCGATGCCAGAAACCTCAAGCGTAGCGAAAGAGGTATGGAAATACAACATATTTAGCTAAATACCTTCCTCAGAAGGCAAAAGGATTGTTATTTCAGATCCTCAATCGGTGCGTATTCCACCAGCTGCCGCCACTGGTAACGTAATTGACGTGTGTTTGCACCATGGAGGGCCCATATATTTTTCGACATCTTGCTTTACGCATAAAAGCACTGCTTTAATCCTCACGGGCAGGCTTTTTCGCCGAATGCCAATAAAAAGTGAAGTGAGCGAGAAGGATCGAACGTCCGGTTGGCGCAATGGTTCACACCCCGCAAATCGGTGAGTGCATTGTGGGGCAAGATATTTCCCGGGCATATCCTGAATTAGCATTAAAAATGGCTGTGTCTAAGCGTTTCGAATAATCTGAACGGAAACAGTATCACGAAGAAATAGGTACGGAACACACCCTTGTTGGCACTTCGCAATAGCCGTGGGCAGCTCCGGCCTACATCCTCCTCCCCGCTCTCTCGTCTCCTCGCCCTCGGCTGCTGCTGAAGCTGGAGGAGCATACCCGCGCCCTATACAGTGTCACTCCAGTTATTTTCCTTTTCCCCATCAATTGCTTGTTTTGTGTTTTCGTTTACCTCGCGTTTTCCTAGCTTCTTATTCTCCCCCTCAAAATGGCTCTCCCCGCTGAACTCCAGGAGGAGCTGGTCGTGGAGGAAGAACAGATAGACCCGATTCCTCAGGCTCCCGAACAGCGCAAGAGGTCCCCACTGCAGAATAAGAAGCTCCTCATGGCGGGTGTCGGTGTTCTCCTGGCCCTCGCACTTGCACTTGGTGGCGGCTATTACTTGAAACCTCGGCAGGCTGAAGTGCTGGAACCTGATCAGAAACAAAAAGAGCTTCCCGGGGGGAACTTTGGTGAGATACCACAGTAAAAGGTGATGGTGTACACCTATCGATCAGCTAGGAACCGATGAACGCATCTGTACCAGTGCCGCGACTCGGTGATTGACTCATTACACTTGTGCCACAAATATTCCTTGCTCTGTCAGCGGCAGCTTTCCATCAGAGCTCCGACTCCAGGGCGTTGGTGGATAGCTGGAGATTTGGTGGCCTTTTGGGGCAACTTGACATGATCGGGTGACAAATTTTCCAAGTCCTGAGTCCTGAGTCGAGCAAGCAATGGCTAGTGTCCTTGGTTGTGATGGTTGGGAGGGATCGTCCAGCTAGCTATGTAGCGACAGGCGTCAGAGCTAGTGCTAGGGGAGGTCTGTCAGGCTGCCTGGCCTCACTATCGAGCAGTTTTAGCGGACGGTCTGTTGTCTGGGCATAGCGACGCGGGCGCATTGACTGGTGGCCGTGCCCCGAGTGTAACGACAGTCGAGACGTTTCCCAGGGGTGCAGCAGTGGCGCGTCCCCTGGGTGGTTACGAATCTAAGTAGCTCCACGATCCCTTCCCTCAAGTCCCCTAGCCCCCCTACCTAGGTAGCTAGCTACATTCGGCAGGTTCCTACTCTGCCCCAGCGGCAAACCGTGCTAGAGTTTCGTATTCCCACATAAGCGGTGGACGAATGAGCGACGCAGCACGAGTCGCGGTGGTTGCTCTGCGCACGGCGAAGCCGAGCTCAGTAAAACCTGATCGGTGAGGCGCCCAATTGGTTGCCTGGTAAGCTGCAACAGCTTCACCAACCGAAGGTTTGCACTGCGGCCCGTTCGGCCGCAAGTGGCCAATCGGCGAATTTGAACGAAGGGCACGTGCAAATGAACATCCAGGTGCGCGTCGCTACATGTGAACGGCTCAGTAGGACCAAGTCTAGGGGGCTTTGACTGTACTAGGCAAACAGATCCTCCCTTTCCCCTGCTTCTGCTTCTTGTTGATCCAACTGCGTGAACTGCAAGAAGTGTGCAGGCCTGTGAAAGCAGGTGCAAACCCCCACACAAATAGTCGTGATATGCGTGAGCACAGAGTAGAGTTAGACGGGGAGACTATGTGTCAAACAGCGAGACGCATCTTAGGAGCGACGTCTACTATAAAAACAAGAGGGCCGTACAGACACACACAGCCAAACACCCTACACCAACAACCAAAAGTTGACAACGAGAGCGCGCGTCGCAGAGTGAACGCTCGGCGCAAAAGGCACAACATAATAAAAACATGATGGTAGCAGATGCACAGGCGGAGCGTGGGGCGAAGGATAAAACAACAACGGATACCAAAACAAGGGGAACGAAAAAACTACTAGCGCCAGCTCATTCGTACCGATGCGCCTCGTGGTAATACTCCTTGGGGGTGTCCAACAGCAGATTGTACTTCATGGCGGGGGAATGCTTCACTCCCATGAAGTTGTAGTTCCACAAGCCGCCACCTTCCGCTGGCACCAAAAAGAATCCCAAAAAGACATCAGACAACAGCATTTGCACTCGCTCCGCGTGGCCAGGCAAGTATCCCGCTGGATTTGCACCTGCATCCTGCAGAACAACAGATGACGGAGAAGCAACGCAAAAACAACCACAATACTGCGGAAGACTGGTTACCTCTATAATTCTTCGGATGTGCGCATCGACATCGCACCTCTGCAGATACAGCGAAAAGGGATCAGAGACGGTGGCTCGATGGTTCTCCATATGATGTCTTACCTTGTTCGCTTTCCCCCACTGGTATCCCTGGGGAGTAAGTCTATAGGCAGTAAGGGAGCAACTGCCAGGGGTGAAGGCGCAGGTAATAACGACTGCGGTGCTCGCGTCCCATGTCTTGTTTTCGTTTAGAATCTTTGCATGCATTGTCGCATCTTGAGGCAGCAACTGAGGATTCTCGTTCGGCTGCGTGTGGATCCATCCGAGCGGCTCCAGATCTGCGATGTAGGGATGAGACGGCAACTGCGAGGGGAGGGAGACGCCCTGATGGCTGCCAACCTGAGGCGGCAAGACCAGACACTTGATCTCCTTCACTTGGTTGTTGTCAGGGGGCGAGCATCCGTAGAGGTAAGCCGCCACCTGTGTCCTGAGGTCTGCGATGCAAATGAACTTCTTGAGGAGATTCTTCGGCATGATGTACGTGCAGCCTGCGTCAGAGATGTCTTCGCTGTTGACGTATATGTGTTGTGTTCTCAGGTGCAGCGAGGCGGCCGAAATGGCCCTCACTCGCCAGTCAGTCTTTGACGCGAAGACTTGCTGCTCGTGCGGCGACTGGGTAGCAACAATCATCTCTTCGCCATGAATGTTGACACTTCTTGTTGTGGTGGCCGTTACCTGCTGCTGCTCCCTGGCCTGCGTCTCGATTTCGGCAATCTGCTGCCTCTGAATGGACGGCGGCGTGATTTCCATACCCAAGATAATATCTCTGATTTCGGACTGCGTCAGCGATGCAACGTTCACATTGTTTTTCTTCGCGTAGTCCGCCAGAATGAGATCCTTGAGCGTAACTTCCACGTGGATCCACTCCTCGTCCGTCAGAGTGGGCCAGATGTGGTGAGGTTGGGTAATTGTGGCCTTGTTGGGTTTGAGGATAATCTTCGTTCTCTCGGTGCTCACCTGCAGGGCTCTAAGCAAGAGCAACATCCTAGAGAACGCGGTGTATGCAGAGATGGACTTGAGCCAATCGTCAAAGAGGTTGAACAATACCATTTCCGGTTGCGTAGCTCGCAGAATCATATCCCCGAATTTTTCGATTTTCATCAAGGCCTGGAACGGAAGGTTCAACTCGCTGCCCTTGATTACAATATTGGGGAAATCCAGCAAATGCACCTCAAGAGGATCCAGCATGCCTTTTCGAGTGGCAATAATTTGTTTGGGCTGCTCCTCAACAGGCAGAGAACGAATCAACGCCGCAACCTCCTCTGCTGTCTTCCAACGAGCCAGCTGCGTCAGACGCTTCTGACCTGCCCACACGGACGTGTGAATAATCTTCAAGAACAACTGGCCTGTTCGCAAAGACACCATAACAGCGCAGCAGAAAAGGCAGGGATCGACGGAAAGCCTCGGAGGAACGGCCAGGCAAGGCAGCACGATGCAGCTATGCATCCAGCGCCGCGTCAGCAGAGCACCGCTCTGTACGCCACACACGAACATTGGCAGTATTGAATCTGGTCAACATATATACAGCTTGGTCAATGATCGACGCAGCGAAAAGCACAAAAGCGGGGACAAGTGGAAAGAAAGCAATGAAGTGATAATGGAAGAAACAGGGAGAATGGAATTCAGCAGAAGCGTTCCCTCACACCTCCAGACCCTAGCTAAACCCCAAAGGCCAATAGCAAATGGGTGCTTGCCTGTCCTAGGATTGAAGATAAAAATGACGCCATTCACAGGTTTCGTCGTGAGATTTCCCTCGAATGTCTTGTGGATTGTCACTCTGTACACGTTGGTGTCGTCGATGAACCAAACCGTTTGATTAGAAAACAGCTCCCCATAGTTCTGGGAATTCAGATACGGCTCCGTCGGCTCGGAAGAGTACAACTGCAACCCTTTCCGAATCCTCTCACGCAGCACGTACAGCGCAGGGTTCGCCTATCGAAGACACACGTACAGAGATGCACACCACGAAGCCTAACCCACCGAATACAGCCACATTTTCTCAAGCAGACACAGTCAAGTTCACACGTTGTCACACCCTTGCCACGGATCGCTAGTTCGAAATTTAGCTCCCTCCTCCCGGCTGGCCTTGTGCAAGGCCTAAGCTACACACAACCCTTTTCCCCTGGTATTCTGTTCGCTCCTACTTTCATAATTTTGTTCATGGCTCTTTGCATGAGAGGCTTAAGTCCCGGAATCCAGTTCCCGAAAGCAGAATGCAGATTATACGCAAGGTCTAGGCCCACGAGGACCCCGGAAGGAGACGGGTAAATGGACATATTATCCGTAGTGTAGTCAAGGAACTTGGAACGGCAGTAACGCTCGATATCGTGGCTGTCGTAATCCCCCCACCGCAGCTGCACGTCAAGCCTGAAGCGCAGATACACATGCCACGACGAAAGCGGACGCTAAAACGTACACGAAAGTGGTAAGCAACACAAAGGGACTGCCAGCAGAAGACGAGCGTAAAGAATAAGGACGACGCCTCCGCTTTCAGCACAAAGCAAGCCACAGCAATGAGCCCATCCGCAGGAGTATACAACGGTGGAAATTTATTGATAGAATAGAGAGCAACTGATTCGCAAGAGGCGCAAAGGGTTCAACTAGAAACAGATAACCTTTTCTGACCAGTGCTTGGTCGCAGTTGCCCCCTCCATGATGTCTTTGCTTTCAGCAAGAAGCGAAGGCTTCGAGATAGGCCACTTGTATGAGGCGAATAACAAGATGTCAGCGCAAGAAGAGTTCATCTTGTAAGACTTTCGGGGATGGATCGTTTCCTTTTGCACCATCTCCACTTCCAGAGAATCCAATTCCATGTCAAACACCTGCACACGACACAAAATCCGAACCACGAGTCCTAACCTCAGAAGTATCCCTAGCCATGGAAATTCGAAGCCGGACGCGCTTACATAACCGCGCCAAGCTGCACCCCCGTTTTTCCAGTGGTCATACAGCATACAATTTTACATACAACAGCACAAGAACCCCAAAACCTGTGCAGCAAGCAAAGGGAGGATAGCTGCTGCAGGATTCGAGCGCGGGGTTAAGGCAACGCGGGCTTGAAGGCGTCAGATTTGTTGTGAGAAGTTTGGTTTCTTTCAGTGAGGATGGACAAAACGCCACCCCCTCCAAATTAGCATGACTATGATGGTCATCCTTGCCAGCAAAAGTAAGCCCGGGAGAAATAAGTGTTGCCAGCGCATGCATGCACATGCGGGAAGTACGATGAAAAAAGAGGCCCCGATGACAAAAGGCCTTAAGGAGCGCAGTACCGAAGACGCATACAGTGAATGCGCGTACGACGCAGCACAGAGCAGCACGTTCAATGATACATGCGCACACATAGATGCCCCGGAAGGGGTTTGCAGCCGATACAAATATGACACGTGCAAGCTGTCATATATGCTCATGATACGAGTTAACCCTTCCACACCGTGACTACATTGTATCCCCAGGACGACGGGATCCAGGATTCGCAGGCGGAAGCAAACAAATATACACTCGCACACACGGCACAGGATGACAAGGAGCGCTCTCCATACATACACGGCAAAGCATGGGGCAAGCGCCTGCAGCAGGTGGAACGTGAAATCCATACGCACAAAACTCATCAATTTCCAGCCACGCGCTAGAGCCTCCGTGGATGCGTCTACAGGGTGTGGCCTTAGGTCAGACATAGACACATGCTGCAGTGCAAAGTTGAAATCAGCAAAATTGGGCATGGAGGCCTACTACAAAGGGCATACCTGGCACAAGTCCATCACGAGGGATTCATGAACCTTCTGCCACAAGTGAGCCCTGAAAATCTGAATTAACGAAATTTTCAGCGTCGGGATCTTTCCGTGCATGAAGATACCCGTCAAATCCAGTTGCACCTGCACGACGGACAAGCCAAACAGCGCGCGCGACACGCATCATGGGCCCTTTGCTGGCCATAGGAAGATAGATGAACTGCAGATGCTCTGCTGTATAGGGACGTCGCTGGCAATAGGTCACACATGTATACCCTTTGAACATTGCGAAACGCACCTGGAAACCAACGTAGACATTCGCTCTGTTAATGGTAGGAGACCACCAGAGCGTGAAGCGCCGATTGGGAATCTGATTCAAACCGGATCTCTGCGCATTTGTCAGTTTCTTGTACTTCATGCTCTCCTCGAACCTATGAGTACGCGCAAAAACCGAACAGCCAAATTTAGGATTCTAGGCGGTACGTCCATTCGCAGATAACACCCAGAGCTAGCTAGCTAGCTGGCTAGCTACATAGGAACCCGCTCGCTTACGACACCCCGGGTCGCTCTATACATTGCCAGCGAACAAAGCCGTTAACAAAGTTTCGATTCCTAAGCCCCACACCCCGGACTGTGTTTCTGCAGGTGCGTCGCAATCTATGCCGTCGCGCACCCGGATGCTTTCTCCCAGAAGAGACCTTCCCATGTGGGGAAGTAAGTGCCCTTGAATAGCGTGTGCTCTAGAATGCCTTCCACGCCTCCCAGAGCCTGAATCATGTCCGTCCTGTAGTTGGTAAGGTTCCATAGTTTGCCATCATGGCGCTGATGTGTCCACCAGAAAGGATGGGCCTTAAGCTGTTGGTACTGCCTAAAGTCCTCTCGAACGCGCCATCCCTTGTCGTACGCGAGGGTGTGTCTGTCCTTCTGAAACAGAGTATTAATCCTTGGAATTCCTCTGTCCCAGCTGTCTTCCAAATCCTCGAGGGTCAGTCTTCTGTTCTGCGCAGCTGCCTCGCCACGCTTGAGCGCGTACTCCGCCCAAACGCGCTGCGATTCGATGAACTCACTCTCCCACGTCTGAATATACCGGTACAAGTTAGGAATAAGCTGATCCTCTTCGTGGCTCATGCCCGACCTAAAGTGTGTGATACCAGTATCCGTCTGCTGGCTGTACCGCAGGTCGGACTGCGGAATAAGGATGTGGCCCATCGACAGCATCCCGAGACCCCCCAGTTCTTTAGGGGTGTAAAACACCACGGGGGGGAAACGCGAAGGCATCTTCGAATTGAGACCGATCTTTATACGTGTCTGTATCTTGTTCTCACACTTTACCAGCAGGTCCAGGAGGGCCTCCGTATGAATGACCGCCTCCCTGAAGTACGTCATCAAGGAGATTAGCGTAGTATTCCACTTGTTTGCAATCTTCGTGAACGTTGTGGCACCACTGGACATTAGAACCATGCGCACTCTGTTCTCGAAGCGGCGCATCCCGTCATCACCAACCTTCAAAAAGGCCTGGGCTGCCATCTCCTTCGTCGCCTCATTCTGCAGCTTCCATACACCCTCCCTCTGGGAGAACTCCTCCGTTTGCATGCGAATTTTCGGTAGAATACGGCACTCAAAGCCTGCCATTGAGAAGAGCAAGTTTGGATTGTCCACAGAATACACCGACGCGAAAGACGAAGACCAGTTCAGCGTTGCGAGAGAGCGCGGCAAGCGATTCGAGATCTCCCAGAAGACAGCTCGACCCAAGTTGACGTCGCGCTTCATCCTAAGACGAACAGGAAGAAAGAAAATGAACCGAAGGAAGGAAGTAATGACGCATCAAAAATACCAGCACGTAACATTAAAATGGGCTAAGGGGAAGAAAAGGCGGGCCTGGGAAGACTCGTCCGCTGAACAAGAAGCACCCAGAAGGCGGCGAGGGTGGCCGGACAGGCAAGCAGAGAGCAGAGGTGGATAACAAATGAAAAAGCTACATGAGGAGGGTATTCGGAAAAGCAGACAAGCCGCAGACCCTGACAGCGAGAAAGCGGCAGCGTCGCTGCGGCGGCATCGAACTGCGCACTCTCCGTGTCGCGGCAAAAGCATGGCGCCCTAAAGCCCTGAGTAATTGCAACAATTCTCTAAAGTGAGTGTCCGTATGTGTGTTGGGCAACAAAGCAGAAATGTACCGGCGCATCCTGCAGTCCCGAGGCCAACACGTTTTGTTGGGATATCCAACAACGTTTTCGTTGTTTGGATCCGGATTTTCCGTCAGATATCTTTGCACGAGGTCTCTGCTCTCTTCCTTGTTGAACTTGAAGACGACCCAGAACCGATCGATGTACCTGTACATATAGACCGCAGCACGCTCGCACCACCACGACAGGCCCTCTGCCTTCCCACTGGGAACAACCCCACGCCCCGCACCCCCCTCCTACGCAGAAAGGCCGCTTGACGGCATGCATGGCGGCGTCCTACGCGAGCCGAGCGCCTTCCGGCGCGCTCGCTAGCTAGCCAGCCACCTCTCTGGCACGAAAGCACTGCTTGTGGTGCGCTGCGGACCTGCAATACAGCCGAATGGGATGTCGCGTTTCGGTTTGCACGTCTGTGAACGACAAAAACTCGTTAGGGAGGGTGGGAGGCCCCGCAATTTCCGTGGCTCTCGTCAGCCCAAGGAGAAGAAGATCCAGCATAAGACCGTAGTACTGGAAGACGAAGGACGAGAATTGGAGCCCGCGGATGAGCCCGAACGAGTTCACGTGAGACATATCCTTGAAGCTCACGCTGACGTTGTTTTTGGCCGTGATGTAATCTGCAATGTTGTGGTCCACGATCAGACGTAGCAGCCGATTCAGCAGTGTCAAGTCGATCTTCTCGTACACCTGAACACAACACGATACGCGGACCGAGTGCCCTTTGACGACCCCGCCCGCAGACCCAATCCGCTCGCCGAGGAAACAGCAGCACCAGCCACCTCTTTCTCCCCCGCTCTTCCCGTCCCTACCCAATGATGCTGGGGCTCTAATTTTGGTCTGGTGTGCTTACTTTCTCGAACTTGCTTTCGAGAAGGACGACGCTTTCTCCGTCACTCGTGGTCCATACGTCGGTCAGATTGTTGATGCCTTGACAGAATTTGAATACCAAGAGCGGGGGCGGCTCCGCATCGGCGGGCTTGACCCATGACGGGAAGAGGTGTCTTGCATCCCCTTCGTACCAGAGGTACTGGTCAAGATACGCATCCGTGATTTTTTCTAGAGGGTCGATCTCGTAGATGGGGATCAGGTGGGAGTAGAGATCCATGAACTCCAGACGCAGCTCCTTGAAGGCTCTCTGCGTGAGCAAGTGCCGCTTGATGCGCGACAAAGCCTCATGGGGGTTGTCGTACGCCTGCTCGATAAGACCCAGTTCCTCTCGCTGAGTCTGATTCAACCTCGACTTCACGGAGTAAAACTCCTTCAGCCGCTCCAGAGCAAGGATCAGCAGCTTCGTATCGTGCTTGTAGTTCAGTGGAGGGAAGGGAATGTGGGTAAACCTGCGAGACTCCAGCCAATGCACGGCCGTCGTGTATATGGCAACGGCCTCCTCTCCCGTAATGTAAGGGCCGTCCTTAAGATACGCATGCTGCCGCTCCTGTTCCGCCTTGAGCCACAGACGCGTGAGGCGACCCAAATTCTTCCTGCAGACAGTCTTGTCAACCGTTGCCCCTCTGCGAATACGTTCTCTGTTGTAGTAGGCCGCGTTTGTCCACCAGTCAGCCTTCATCTTCACATATCTGAGACACATGATGATGGCGCAGATAGACACACCCGTAGGGCTCACTGCCAAAAGGCTCACAGACGTGCCCGGGGAGCTCCCCAGAGAACCCCAGACTGCAACACTCACAAACATATTCCTCTTTGCACTATGTATGTGCGTACATGTATACACACATACACATATATATACACACATACACATATATACACATATATATACACACATACACATATATATACACACATACACATATATGTGCACACATACACATATATGTACACACATACACATATATGTACACACATAGATACACATATGTACATACACAATAAACATATAAATATATATATATATATACAGATGTTAGGAACAGGCTGCATGCTTCCGGGCATGATGGTACCCCTAGAGTGCAGCACCCTAGAGATGTGGCGCCGCTCTGACTAGTGACGTACCGCAAAATCATGTTCTCAATAGGCGCTGGCAGCCCCGGAACCTTCCATGGGATATTTGCCTTCCAGCATCTCCAGGCCTCGGATAAATGCTGTAGGATGGTTCTGGCCTTTGACGCCTTAACGCCCTCTGGCATGAGGTCTAAGATGTCGTGCATGACGGCAGCCCTAAGCTCGAGGTCGAAGTGCGACTCTACCCTTTGCTTTGTGACGGTCTTCGCAGTTCCCTTAGAAACACGCCCCTCGAACTGACGCGCCAACAGATTCCCCAGCCAACGCTCGAGCAGCGGTAGCACTCCGCGCAAGAAGAACAGCCAGACACGCCAACCGGGTGCCCAGAAGCCACAGCCGGGGCCTTTCCCCACAGGCCCCGTGTTGAAGCGGTAGTAGATCAAGTGCTTCAGATCCTTGCACATGCGCACCTGCCGCATCAGGCGGTACTTGTATCTGACGCCCGCAAGGAAGAAGAAACACCCCGCAAAACAGCGTGAACCAAAGCGTTGTAGTAACAAAGGCCGAGGACGCAAAGGCCCTTCATGTGCAAAGACAACACGCCGCATGATACAGAGGAGGCACAGGCTAAACTGCGAAAAGCCGTCGCTAAAAAGAGAGGAGAGCCTCTACACACAGCTTGTGCGCATGTTGCTAAGGCAGGTACAACGGGGGGCGGGGGAGAAGGGGAAGGAGAAAGGGTTGGGCCTCGTAACACACCTGTACATGCCGGTAAGCTGGCCCACGTGCGCGAAGATGTACTGCAGCCCATCAGCGAGCTGGAAGGCATCCACATTGCCCAGTCTGAACTGCACATGAGAATCGACCGTCAGCTTGGTAAGACGCAAGATCTCTCTGCACAGATGGAAGGCGTTCCCGAAGCGAGACTTCTTCCTTTCCTTGGTCGTCAGCGTCTTCACCGGTTTCAAGTTGAAATTGTAGTCTAGATGGAGGTAGTTCAGATTTTTGCGGTGGATCAGCAAGTTGAGCATGTTGTAACCCTGCCTAGACACCTGAAGCCCTGCTTCCACCCAGTCGATCTCCGTCGTTTGGAAGAACTTCGTGGCCTTAAATACCTTGAAGAGGTTTCTTTTCTTTAGGGATTTGGGGGGACGCGAGTGCAGGTGACACAGCACCCAACACTTCAACAGCTTCTGGTAAGACACTCGGACTTTCACTGGATAGTTCTGCGGAGCATGCTCCCTGAACCACGTTTGAACCAGTGGAATATCTTGGGCCCTCCGCATGCGCCCCGCCCGCAAATTGAACGGCCGGCACGCCCAGTACAGAGAAATCCCTGCCGCTGTGGTGTCTGTACACAGGGGGCTCTCCTCAAGGAAGGGCCGCAACGAAGAGGGAAGGCTGAACCCCTCCACCAGCGACGGGTCTGAACACATAAACACCCCTACTCTTGCGAGCCCACTTATCACGCCCTTCCCCTCGAGGCCTTGCCTTGAAGGCTTCCTACAAATAAGGCTTATCCCTTTGATCATGTGCGCAGAAGCCCCCTAATGCTGCTTGCTTCAGCAGACCAAAAACTCGGAGGCGTATGAACACAAGCCCTGGCCTCTTCGCCGTCCGAACCCGCTACACTCCCGGCGCAGTGTGTCGCATAAGCGCATTCTCCCCCCCTATTCCCCCTTGCCTCCTTCTCCAACTCGAAACTTCAAGTGGAGCCTAAGCTAGCCAGGCCTCCGACCTCTGAGCCCACCCCGCGTTTCGACGTACCAACAAGGGCGTCTGTGTTGGCGCTCATCTTGTAGGCGGGCAAAGGGTTGATGATGGGATCGAAGTAAAAGGCGGGAAGATCTGGATCCTCAGGTCTCACGAACGCCACGGCTGGCGTGTGATACGGAGGCAGCGCAACGCATCTGGGTCTGTTGTTGTACAGATGAGGAAAAGCGATCTTGTATTCTGTGCGAATCTGCTGCCGAATGATGATTTTGGAAACGTCGTTAAACTCGTTCCAGTCCTCGTCCTCTTCTTGCATGTCTCTGAACAAGGGCTCAAACTTGGGGCCTCCAGGAATCGCGAGGTTCAAGGCTTTCGCAGTGCAGAAGGATTCCAAGTTGAACAAGTAAAAGTAATTGCTGTCTTGCAGGTCAGACAGCAGCTGGTGAGCCAGACGTTGCAGCACAGCCAGCTGCTGCACCTCGAGCTTCCATCGCCGATAACTTGGTCCCGGCACGTGTCTGCGCTCGTACTGGAGAGGCTTGCTAGAGTAGAACCAGTCTGCAACTGCAGCATCTTCTTCTTCATCGAGCTGCATCCGAATGGCCTCGAGCGGCTCGACGGCTAGGACGTTCTCCCCGTAGTCCAGCGGGGGCTCTTCGTCATCAAAAGGAGGGAAACGCATGCGCTTGAAGTGCCTTCTGTCTCGCTTCTCCCTTCGCATCAAAATCCACACGGAACCCCATTGAGCGAGATACACAGGCTCAATCACAAAGGGGGTCTCCGCCACAAACGTAATGGCCCCTGTCGTGTGGTAAAGCACTGGGACGTTTCGCGCCTGCTCCCACGGCATCGGCATATTCTCCAGAAGCTTGTACACCGCATGCGGCAGGAATTTCAAGGCTCCCAGATACACCCTACGGTCGTGTCTGAATTTTCGACTACTCATATCGCCATGATCCTTCACCAACTTGCGCAGATGCTCTGGAGGCATTGGCTCCTTTTCCATGAAGGTCGAGCCGGGTTGCTGACGCGAGGAATAGCGCTTCGTTGTCAGCTGTTGCCACTTGCGAGCTTTCTCCTGCAACAACTCCTCGTGAGTCTTCGCCTTCACCTTCTGCGGCTGCAGTGGCGGTTGCTGCTGTGGTTTCTCGTGCTGAGTCGTCCGTATCTGTTGCTGCTGTTCCTTTTTTTCCTGAAGTTGCGGCTGCTGGTGATGCTGGAAGGCAGCAGCAGAAGAAGTGACAACTCCTCCGGGGGATACTGCTGCTGCAGGGGACTGCGGCTGAAGCGCATAGGGAGGCCTATACGTGAAAGGCTGTGAGGGGGGACCGACGGGGAGGGGCCCCTGCTGCATCCACGCCGGAACAGGAGGCGTGCCTCTCTGATTCGCAACAGGAGATGGAGCGGGGAGGAGAGGAGGAGGTCGCGACGCCACATACCCCGGAGGAGGCATGACTGGGGGCCCCTGATTCGGGGGCCTAACGGCCATATACCCCGGAGGAGGCTGCACATAGGCGTGTGGATGGCCAGGCGGGGGGGGGCCTCCTACTGGGGGGCCCCCTGGGCCCCCGTAGGGGGGCCGAGGAGGGTTCATCCCGCCCCTGCTGCTGCTGCTGCTGCTTCCAAGCGGTGCTGCAGCTGAGGCTGCGGCGCCTCCGTTTGCTGCGATGTACTGTCGCTTGAGAGTTGAGAATACACGTCAAGAAGCTAGGAGACGGGGAAAATGATGGGAGAGGAAACAAAGTGCGCCCGAGAGCTGCTTGTAAACACCCGAGGGAGGGGTGGGGCCTCCGCTGCGACTTCCGGCAGCGCTTCTTGTCCTCAGTTTAATACTATTTGCGATCAACTGAGGAAAACAAGCTGGCAGTTGATCTGTAGTTTTAAAATTGGGAGAACAGAGACGTGAGAGCGCCAGGGGGGACTCGAGGAGGGAAGCGCTGCTGAAAGCCTCCCATACATGCAGAGCAGCAGCAGCGGAAGAGGCTGCTGTGTTGTACTGCTGCCTTTTCTGGACGTTTTCCCCCGGCGGCAGCTCGTTGGATTGTCATGCACCTTGTTTTTGGTTGCTTCATCTCCGTCTAGTTTAAACTAGAGAGGAAAACGGATGACAGCTGATGGGGGTTCCGCGTCCTCTGTACGGGCTACGGCCATGAGTGCCACCCAGAGGAACCATAGAAGCAGAGCGAGTGCACAAAGGGCTGGACACAGAGAGGAATTCGTATATTTGCATGTATACATACATGTATATACATATAGGGCAGCTGTAGTGAGGAAGCGAGAGCGCGTGAGAAGTGAGGGACAGACCGAAAGCAGCTGCTTTGGGGGGCACGGATCCATGATAACAGAAACTTTAGATTATGTAGTTACCAGTAGTTCAGTGAAGTCATGCTTCTTAGATTGGCTCTTTATGTACCTTCTAGTCAGCTCGAAAGACCTCAACACTCAATGCTTTTGACCCCGCGCGACCGTCGTGTGGAGCTGCACGGTACGAAGGAGGGAGCAGGAGCACTAACATAAGGACCCGTCTCAGGGGCTCATTTTGTCCGTTATTGAGCCAATTTACGGCGTACTTTTGCACCAAGTGTTCCACCAATTTAGCAGAAGGATGAAACGGAACCATAAACAGGAACACTGATACTCTAGAGCGCCAATCAGAACCTTGTGTGTAAGCTATTTCCGGGACCCAAGATGGACAAGTAGCCAAGCTATGTGCCTTTTACTTGTTTGCTTACTTGCTTCGCTAGCATATGAATTAGAGAACAGACGAAACCCTGGAGAGATCTGCTAACAAGAATTTGGGAGCATGTCAGTAGCCAGGGAATGCTCCAGTTTTGCATGCGAACGGTTGCGGTACGACACTCGAGCGTACAGAGAGGTCTTACTGAACAAGAAAATGAAACGTACGTCGATGTCAGTAGGTTGAGCTTTGGATTCAGAGGATCTCTGCACTGACACGTGCACAGAATGACCACTAGGGTTCGTGGTATACCGCACTGACACCATACTTCGAGATAAAACGAACAAAACCAGTGCCCCGGTCTTCTTTTTCTCAATTTGACTGAGCTATTTGCGTTGCCTAGGTGTTTTTGCATTGGAAAGCAGTTTTGTTTTTCGAACCCCCCTTTGTTGCATGGTGTTCCTGGGGAGCAGCCGACACAGAGGGACCATCACGCCTTACTTCCACCTTGTATTCGACATTTTGGTTTCCTATCCACCTCTTCATGGGCTCTTTCCGCACCAAATCTACCTTCGTTCCGGGGAATGCCAATGTTTCGTCTACCCCTCTTCGTTTCCACCCTGCTGCTTCTCTGCGGTCCGCGCTCAACATCACATGTATTCCACGCCTTCGCCGCAGAAACCAGGGCCTCGACAGTCATTGCATTGAGTTCAGAGGAGGAACAGGAGGACCTTACCGTGCGAATTCTCAAGGAAGCAGCTGACAATCTCTGCGGCGGCGGGGCAAAAAAGGGCGACTGGTTACATGCCACACTTCGCGTATATGGTACGCCTCCTGTCGGTCTCGCTGCTCTCTTTGTGGCGTGTTTTCTTCAAGTACATTACACTTGCCTTGCGTTTGCTGCTGCCTCCCGCAGCGCCAGGCTTTGGTGCAGCCGAACTTCACACCGAGGTCAGCAAATTTCTGCACCCTTGTTCTCTCTCTCAAAGTTCTCTAATTTGAAACTCCCAGGGAGCTGAGGAAGAAGAAGGCACTGCAATCGGTACCGCAGAACAAGAATTCATGGTGAGAACTTTGCAACTACAGAGCTGCCAAACTTGTAAGCGAAGGAGTTGGCGGGAACTGCCCCCCCAACGAGGCATGAAATTCTGTATGCCTTTTGTATTTCAGCTGGGAACGCATTCCGTAGCTCCACTCAACGTTTCCCTCTACGGAATCTGCCCGGGAGAAGTTCGGTAATTTTATGCCCTGCAGTTTTAGCGAAAAGCACTCTCGTCAAGCGCACACCATGCCGTCTTGTGCTTTCAACGCCTGCTCCTGCTGCTGTCTGGTGGCTGCTCGCTTTCTCCTCTCTTGCCGCAATGAATTCCAAAGCCCCCCTTGTGTCTTGCCCTTCTTCAGGCGAATCGGCCTCCGCATTGGGTATGTCCAATTTTCCCTTGAACTATGATTTCCCCCGGCCTTCGTGCGCTCTGCATGCCACCTATCTGTCTATCAAACTCTTCCCTCTGCACTGCCTCTCCCGTTCATCCACCTTCTTTTGCCTTCCCTTAATACGTGAAGCTCCTAAGCTAAGGCTCCGTAGCAGCCACCCACCCCTTGCGTCTGCCTCAGGTCTCTCCCGCACAAGATATTCTACGTAAGTCATTCCCGTCAAAACTTGGTAGCGATCCTTTCCGGCTCTCTGGGGGGCCTCTTTCAAACTGTGCCCATCTCTCTGTGTTCAGGAAGTGACCTTACACTCTGTGAGAAGACGAAACTAATGAAGCCTCATGAAGCCGCAGCAGCACAGCTCGCCACGACTGTCGCGACAGCTTGTTTTCCACACAACGCAGCCCCTCCTTGCTAGATTTTGCTGGGACGCTTCCCACACTTTGTAATGCGCAATAAGACACAGATGCGCCTATTCTATTGTCTCGTGGTTGTTCTGCTGTAGTTTGTGCTCTTCTGACGGCGCAAACAAATTCATTCAGATTCGCAGCCTGACATCCCGGGTTCGCCACATGCTCGTCCCCCTAAATAATGCGCTAGGAGCAGCTTCCAGATTTATGTCAAACAAAGAGTCGATCAGTCGCTGCGGGGATGCCAGCAGCTACGGCTACCTGCTTAAGGCTCCATTTTCGAGTCATCGTGGGTGCTTATGTAGCCTATTGCAGCTAGCTAGCTATCTACTGCATCAATGTATTCGGAGCGTCTCTTGCCGAGGCAAGGCTCCAGGTGATGCAGCTGTCAGTTGCCAGCGCTACGAAGTCTTGTCTCAGTGAGATGCTAGTGATGCTAACGGCTAAGTAGAGTAGTCCTTCCGGGGAAGTGGAAGAAGGGAGAGCTTCCATGAGGCATCGCTTCCCCAGCCACCGCTGCTGCGTTCGAAAGCGGCGGTGTGAGTGGTTGTCGAACGGCCATTGGATTCCGAGAAAACATCCCAAGACTCTGCATTTGCCTGAACTGCTGTTGTCGGATGAAGTCCTGTCGTACCTTTTGCTGTCCTTGTTGCTGCACCCTCTGCTGCTGCAGCTGAGGGTGCAGTGTTTGCTGCCACAGCACGTGCTGTGGCTGCCTTCCTTGCGAGTTCCGCAGTTGCTGTGCATGCTGCACAGCTGGCTGTTTAAAGAGGTTGGGGTGCCACTGGCGGGGGCGGAAAACCTCCCTGGTGCTACCAGGAAACGGAGCACTAGATGTAGCAGGTACAGCTGATGGCTGCTGCATATTTTGCTGCTGGGAGACAAGCGTCTGTTGTGACCGCAAATACTCCTCGAGGCGCTGGGCGCGGCCTTGACTGAGCAGCGCCTGGAGGCCTGGTTGACGCTGTGCTGAATGTTGCAAGTGCTGCTGCTGCTGCTGCTGCTGCTGCTGCTGCTGCTGGCCTCGACCGACAAGGCCTTGATTGTAAGCTAGGTAGATCCTCGGTTGCTGATGCTGAGGGGAGGCTGCTGCGACCGGCGAGTACCGCACATTCGCCTGTTCCGCTGGTAGCGACGTCTGCTGCTTCCAGAGTTCGTGCTGTTGATATGCTTGTTGCGGCTGCTCAGTAGCCGATTCCGTAAACACCAGGTTTTCAATTGACTTCGCCACCCCGCGGCTGTTGGTCCTTCGCAGCACAGGAGTTCCATGTCGCTTCTGTTGCTGCTGCTGCAGATCCTCTTCGTGTCTTTTCGTTGGAGTTGTCGCTGTTGACGCAGCTGACCCCTGCTCCTCGCCTATCCGTCCATGCTGCTGCTGCTGTTGTTGTTGCTGCTTTTGTCTAGCGGCGGCGGAGCGAGGAGTAAAGACGCGGGGTTGGGAACCTAAAGACACCCATGTGCCAGCAGCCAACAGGGGCGCTGCGGTTAGGCAGAGAGACTCATTGCTGGCGGCAAGTGTGTGGACCTTTTCCACTGCAGCAGCAGGAGGACCGCTTCTGGCTGTAGCTGCGGCCTCGGCGGCTGCTCTCTTAGGTTGTGACGCTGCGCCCTCACTGCTGGCACGAACAGCTGCACCACTTGGGAGCGGCCACTGTGGCTGCTGGTGTCCGCTGGATGTGGTGCTGATACCTCCATCCGCATCCGTGGAGAGGGGGGAGGCTTTCTTGGTTCTTCCTCTTGTGGGGGGTGTCTTGCTTCGGATTCCGGGGGCAGCCCAGAGGACATCCTGCAAAACAACGGTGGCAAGCAACGGATGGATTCTGCAGAAGTTGTTCGTGACTCGCGGGGGGTGTGAAAGGCGGCGGAAAATTCCTGAAACAAGGAAACCTTTGGAAGTGCAGAGCACACCCGACACTTATCAGAAGTGACCGCTGGCTAAAGCTGCAACGCAAGGACAACGAATAGCGCCTCCTCACCTGTCTTTTTTTGGTACCGACGGAAACTGTGGAGGCATTAACTTTGGTGCAGCGCTCCATCATTTGGAGCAACTCGCAGGTGCCGCCTTCACTTCTCCCCTGCTGCTGACTGCGCTCCGGCTGCAGCAACTGCAGCACTTGGGTACTGCTGCATCTGCCTTGCGGCTGCTGCGGAACTGACTTTCTAAGGGCTGACACCCATAAGGCTTCCCCGGGGTCACTCAACCGCGCTCCCCAAGGCCCGATCCCCGCCTGGGGGTTTGCGGCCTTGTTTCTGCGCTTCTTCTCCATAGCGTCTCCCCACAGTCGCTCGAACACCTGATGCCGAAGCGACAAACAACGCAAGTCTTTACACACGCATTCAGTAGCACTCAGCAACAGCAGGGCCCTCCTAAAGATGCGCGTAACTACAGCGGGAGACTTCCGGACCTCGAGTCTCGGCACCAGTAGCATGGGTTTGTGCTTACCTGTGCACTTTTGCTGCGGGACACTGCCGTTCCCTTCGTCGCCACTGAAGAAGCACTTGAGCGCGACCTAAGTGGCGTATGACCTCCCTGAGGAGAGCAAGACAAAAAGAAACAGAACGGCCTAGCGGGATGCGGTGCAGCAACAAAACCGCCTTACTGGCGCCGCTGCCACGGCTTTTTCTCGCTTTTCAGCCTTACCGCGGGAGCAGAAGAAGCTCTCTGATTGAAGAGATTCTGCTTATCCACAAGGCGGCTAGCCGAGTGCATGAGAGAGGCCACAGTTGGCTGCAACAGCCGGAGTCCCCCTGTGGCTGCAGCATCTCTCTTGGCATCTGGGCTGCTACAGAAGCAGCAAAGGCTGCGGTACCGAAGGCCGTGGGGGCACACAGCAGTCCGAACACCTGAGTTGGTCTCTGTGAGATATTTTCGGTCCAGACGCGACCTGGATGGACCACTGTAGCTACTCTTCGCGCTGCTAGTGCGGTGGGAGACTGAGGACCCCATGCTGCTGCGGGAATATGCTGCACGCTCCCTCCGCAGCTGCTTGGAAGTGTCCTCTTTAGACTTCCGCTGCAAAATCTCGTGGCTTTCCTGTAGTTTTTTAAGGATAGCTGCGCGCGTTGGGGACGGCATATCTGCCCAATTGGTGCCGCTAGTGAGTGCACCTTTCTGGGAAAGGTTGGAGGGCTTGGTTTGTGACTTTGGCATGGTCGTAGACGCTTCTCTGCCATTAGAATGGCTTTGCAGGCGGCTTTCTGCTACAGTCGTGGCAGTAGCTCTGCTATCCTGCCGCGAATCCAAGCCTGATCCGCACGAGTGTCTCCTGCTGCCGATGCTGCTGCTGCTGATACTGCGGTTAAACATGCTTCCAGGCCTCCATGAAGATGGCGTCTGTGGCATTTTTTGCAAGTCCTTTCTGACATTGGACTTGTCCTTCGCAGTTTTTATGTTTACAGAGCGCCCGCAGCCCCCCGAGGAGAGAGAATGCTGTGCTACTTTGTCCTCTTCTCCCGACTCCAGACTGTCATCTGACAGATCAAACTCGCCTGTAGGTTGCTCCTCGAGGTGGAAAGGCTGTGTGCCCCAAAGCGGAGATGCTGGGAACGCCATTCTGCCTTGTTATGCGCTTTTGTATGTCTTGTCGTGATCTCGTCAGGTCCTGTGCCTGCTGGTACCTAGCCAGGCACAGCCTAACTTTGCAGCAAAATGATTAGCCTACAGGTACACGATGCAGACGACCCATGGGCCGTTGATGAAAGACAGAGATCACGCAGTGTAACCAACAGTCAGCAAGTCCACTCGGGTAGGCCTTTTCCGGGAAGCTGCAGACGCTCCTCCTCTGAGTGCTTCTCTGGAGCAATAAGAGTTCAACAGCATAAAGTATCAGCGCAGACAGAGATGAAGACGGGAAGGCAGGAACCAATCGCAGAAGACACACGCTGCCCCTGAAGGGACGGCTGCACCCGAAGGCCTCTCTAGAGGCAGCGCGCGACGAAGAAAAACTGTGAAGCACGGGGAATCCTGAGATGCTCTATTCTTTTAATCCGGTGTAGAGTGTCGATTGAGGCAAAATAGGCAAGGAAAACAACCGTGAGGCATCTGAAGACCCTGGCCGGTAGCCGCGGCTACGGCAGCACGCGGCCACAGACAGGCGATGCTCTTGTTGCTTCGGAAGGATGGGCTGCAGGAGCAGCGAGAGCCGAAATTTTGGTAGGATTGTGAAGCCCTCCAGTGTCTTCAAAACAAAACAGCAAAATTTGTTGGCACGAAGCAATCAGGATGCAAACAAACGCTGCGGCAGAGGAGATCGCAGCAGCTGTCGGCTGACTGTTTTCGGCTCTCGGAACAGGGCCTGAATCCACATGAAGTGAGGGGCAGGGATTTCCCGTGGACCTTTTTTCTCTAATATTGCGAGTTTTCTGCTTCTACAGCTTGAATTTTCAAACAGCTGGAGTATTAAATCCGCTGGAGGTAAAGCTACTGTGGAGAACTGGACCCTGAGCCGCCGACCACTCGCAGGCTGCCCAGTGGCCCCTGGACACTGCGATCCTATCCCTCGGGCCTGATATCAAGATGGTAACTTTGGCCTGAACCCCTAAACTAAAAGAAGTATTTTTTTGCTTAAATTTAGCAGCCATTTAGGAGAGGGAGGCGAGTGCATAGTCTTCGTGTAGCCCAGCCTTCGCGGTTACTCATGTCTGCTCACGCCGCCAGGTCACTCCCTGCTTCCCTAAAAAGCCGGCCATTCACGCTGCTCGATGCAGCAGAAGGTTCCCGCTTCAAGCAGTGCCGTGCTACTAGAATTTTGGCTTCTGGCAGTCAGCTTCATCTTCCGTAGATGCTTCCACAGTGGTTAGTGCAGCAGCCCACACTCGGTGAACCTGCAGCGGTAAGGAGAGAAGTAACTCACTTTCCCTCCAAAAGTACCGGCAACATGTCCCAGGAAGGCCTGCAGAGGCGCATCAGTCAATTAAGAAGTGACTTCTTTGGAGGCCTTGCAGAGACAACTGCAGGAACAACGTGCCTATGCCGTGTAGCCCCTGTGTCGGGAGGCACCACCTGAAGCCTCTGTAGAGATACACATAACTACGCACTCAATATAAATGTGAGAGACCGTTATTAGGTACTTCCTGAGAATGCACTGCTCCTTCTCCCACCCGTACCACTGAGAGCTCCTGCGCGTAGATGCACCTCCTTAGCACTCAGAGCGTTCGCAACTCACTGCAAATACCATCTAGCGCACTAACACACAACATTGTGTCTTCTTATATCAAGCTAGCACCACTCTGCTGTGATCGATATGAACAGATCAACGAAATTAGCTAACCTTTCGTAATTCTTTGTCAATATAACTGGTGTAGTACCAAGCGTGCATGTGTGGTTTTGCCAGTTACATGGTGCATCAATTGATACCACTGGAAGAACTACAATGACGCGATTTATACTGAACCACTTATATTGGCTAAGAATAGGTGAGCAATAGCTTACTTTGCTGGTGGTCGGAGCTCGCATGGTCATTTCTCAGTAAATTAAAAAGTTAGTACGGCAAAGGCTGGAGGGTCGTGAAGTTCCATGGCCTGCTGTTCGTCTCCCAAATTTCAAACAACATTGAAAGGGTATGTCCATGGAGTTGGCTTGCAATAGTCTGACCTAAACGAGGAATGTTGATACTCGTACTAATACTGAATCCCTTATGGCATAGAAATCAGGGCCCACAATGAGAAGACTGCTGACAATGGAACCCGAAGACATACGCCCACAACCGGGTACGAAGTATTCCTTATATGCGTCTAAGCAATCGCGTTTTAATTTTGAAAGCTGGCCTACACGGTACTTGAGGTGTGTATATAGGTGCACACAACGCAAACTAAATGCATAAATAAGGAAACCGCGGAAACGGACGCACGCCCTGCAATAACGTCAACTTAAAGGTCAGTTGAAAGCAAGGATCAAATAGGTCGTCGAATTGAACTCCAAGATGCCCTTGCTCGTTTCCATTTGAGCCTTTTTCCCTTGCAATGCTCTTATGACCCCTCACCTTATGGAGACTACCAGCGGGGTAAGCTGTTGAAATCTGCAAATGTGATAGCAACAGCTGCACGGCTAGCGGTATGCACAGACAGAACAGTTGTTGAACCTGCTAGACGGGCGCTTCTCGTGAATACATGTGGCTACTTACACTTGGGCATCTCTAGGGTAATAACAATAGTCTATTATGAATTGGTAAAAAATTGAATATTTGGCTTGTCTGCTCGAATATTCTGTTTGTTGTAAAGTAGGTGAAGCTCAATAGGGTAACAGTCAATGGTCTGTACCTCTGCGCCAACAGGAGCAACGGCAGTTCCCATTGATTGCAGAGTCCGATCATACTAGGGAATATTGGGGACGGCACATGCGTGCAGTGCGCATGTCTTCTAAGGTGCCGCTATGCTATGTAAAATTGTAGCAGCGCTCTGGTTGGGAAGCAACCCTTAGCTCCCCATTATCAATCGCAGTAACTCCAAGGGCGTTCGCTTTCGTAGCAGGCCGCGTCTTGGCTTTTGGGACGGGACGACTGATGCAGTAGACACGTGTTACTGAGCCGATCCCTTGCTACTTGTTGTACACATAGATTTTCCAGAGATCAGACGCCCTAATGGGGTTCAGCTTTTTTCCTAGCACTCTACGACACTATGCCAGCGAGGAAAAAGGGTGTTCAGGATTCCAAAATTTTTTGAGGAAGTCAATAGGTAGAAGGTAGGCAAGCGCCCAGCGAGCGGCTGTTGGGTACCATACAGCATTTTGTGATCTTCAATGTAAACAAATGACAGCACGCGTTGTCTTCATCTTGTGCTTAGCATAAAAGGTTGTATAAGGGGAGGAATAGCCTTTACTGAGCTGAGAGGAAGAAACACCTGCATAAACATCTGTACATCATATTGCTTTCCCCCAAAATTGTGCACCCTGGGGGCATGCGCGTCCTCAGACGCGTGTATCGGCTCCTACATCGGGAGGCTATGGCAGTCAGCATCAAATGTACCTGCATTATTCCGCAGCACCTACATGAATATCGTAAGAGCGCGGACGAAGAACCTCCGTCTAGGAGGCAGTCAAAAACCGAAGGGAACAATGTCAGATGCAGTTGGCATACCCGCTACATCTGACCACCTGTAAAGTGTCTTCAGTGCTCCTTTGTCGCGTAAAGGCTAAAGCAGGATGCTGCTACATCGGCACCTCAGCCAACGTGATTCTCTGCAGTGAATGTGTCCTGGTTAGCTCCATTGCTGCGACAATTGGTAGCCCCTCACGCGCATGCAATGTAGCGCTCCATCTAGGGTCTTGTGGAGAGACTTTTAATTCTCCACTCAGCACAAACTTGAGCGACAGTAAGCAACTGGTTACCAAAAGCGCCTCCTCTTTCCCCTGCCCGCGCCACTGACCGTTCTAATACGAGGGCAGAAGGATGCGAGTAGCTGCACCCCTCAAAGCACACCGAGCATTCGCAACTATTTGCGCATAGCAGCCACCGCATACGCACACAACGAGACGTCTTCTGGTGTTGAGCTAGCACTACTCTGCAATTAGTAAGACATGCAAACAGACAAAGCAGTTGATGCTTTACCAATTCTTGGTTGGTTTAACCAGCGTGAGCCAGTTTGCATAATCAGTTTAGTGGCGAGTTGTCAAGTGTACCCTTCCTCGCTGCATGCATTGTATAGAGGGATTTCGTAAAGCCTTAATAGAACCAATCTCTTTTATGAGCTACAGCCGCAGGATTTAGCTAGTGACACAAGAGAGTTGCAAATCACCCAATGGACAGAGAGGGGCACTTGTATATTCTCAGAACGAGAGACTCTATCAGCGCCTCTCAGGCAGCTCATTGTCGGTAGGTCATTTCGATTGTGCCTTACCATTTCACTAGGTTACCCCTCAGACACAACTTCCCAAAACCAGACCACAACTAGGGTGCGGCAGCAGAAACAACGGCAGCAGCTCTCTCCTCAACTGCGCTTTCCAGTCCTCTGATGTGTCCTAATCACCGCATTTTCCCCCAGTGCCCCCCCCGTGAGTCTTACCATCTCCTTTCTAGCGTTCACGTCTTGCACCAAGCGAAGCTGTCAGGCAGAAGTGCATACGTTTTTTGCAAAAGGCCTCTAGACGATGCCGGCATCGCACACCCTATTCCTTAGCTCTAGATATGAATCCAGGCGACAAAGGGGGTTCATACTCTCATACGGATGCCTACCGTTTACTTCATGCTTTGTTCCACAGGCTTCTGCAGCGGCCGTCAGTGAGCTGCTGTCGCTCCCTGTTTCTTTATGCTTGCAACTTTAGCGAAGAATACTAGAAATCTATAAGGCCAAACATTTCCTCATCTAACGTAGCGCTTCGCACTGCTAGTGTCGAATCGATCGGTATCCTGCCAGCTTCCCTCCAGGCTGCTGCAGCACCTGTTCGAACAGCCGCAGCTGTTTGAACGGCAGCAGAGACTTTTCTTGCCCTCTCATATTATCTCTGTGAAGTAAGATCTGTAACGAGCAACAGCAAATCTCTTTTATTCGTCAACGACAGTGGCGCTGCAGCAAACCCCTGCGGCTGGAGCCGTCAGCCCCGAGCCGCTCGGTGCTGTCTAATGCAAAGGCTCCAGCGACACAATGCCTTTAGCTGCTGCACGTCTGCTGCAGCAGCAGAAATAGCACATATTCCAAGACCACCAGTGTCAGCATCTACAGCTGCACGCCACAGCGACAGCAGGAACCAACCAAACGGTGGCTCTGTGCATGCGCAAGAATGCAGCCAGCAGCGGCAGAGCTGCTGCAGCAGCAGATCCGAGGCTTACTAGAGCAGCAGCAACAACTGCAGCAACAACCTCTGCAGCCGCAGCACCTCCAGCAAGCGCAGCAACGTGGACAGGCGCTCTCGGAAGCCCCCTCTGCAGAGCAAGGAGACACCTCGGGTGTTTCCGCAAGTATGGGAGTGGTCTCTGCAGCGCCGCCTTCCGCAACTGCAGCCGTGGCAAAAGAGGATGCAGCAGCGGGGAGGGTGTCATCAGATTCTGCAGCAGCAGGGGGTACAGCGGCCAGTGTTACTCCTGCATCACCTCCTGCTCAGGAGCCTCAGACAACAAACAGCAGCCTGTTGCCACCAGATGAAGCTTCGGGAGATACGCGCCCGCAACGTCAGCAGCACGAGGCGAGTGCTTCTGTTGCTGCTCTGTTGGCGTTGAGGCGGCAACAGCTGCAACAATACCAAATGCAGCAACTCCAGCAGCAACGCATGCAGAGGCTTCAGCAGCAGCAGCTCCAGCTGGTGCAGCAGCATGTAGCAGCGACCTCCACCCCAGGATCAGGAGATAGTGGTGTTGACGCACAAGCGCAATCGGTCCGCAGTGTGACGACAGAAGGCGCTGCAACTGAAGCGTTCCTCTCTACTGCAGGTGCCTTTACTTCTTGAATCCCTCTCGCTTGCAGATTACTGCGGCTTACACATTTGCGTACAGTATTTTCTGCTTTCCCCTTTAGGCGGCAGGTTCGCTGAGGCGAGAGTGCTGAGAAACGCGTTGTGATGCTGCGTTCGTACGGCTGCAGATACCCTGGATATGGGTGTAAGGCGGAGGGAGGGAGGCAGTGCAGTAAGTCATCTGCTGCTGCAGCAAAAGCTGCAGCAGCTTGCGTCTCTCGCACCAACAATGACTGCTGCCGATGCTGCTGCTGCGGCTGCTGCTGCTGCGGCAGTTGCCGCTGCGCCTGCAGTATCTGCAGGGGTAGCGCAACAGTTGCAGCAGCTGCAGCAACTGAAGCAGCAGCAGCTGCAGCAGCTGAAGCAGCAGCAGCAACAGCAGCAGCAGCAGCAGCATGTATCTCTGCTGAGCCTTCAGCAGCACGCTGCTGTTGCAGCAGGCACGCAACAGCAGCAGCAGCAACAGCAGCAGCTCCTAATGCAGTTAACTCCCGAGGCGTCAGCAGCAGGAGCACCTGCAACAGTAGCTGCAGCAGGAGAACACCGCAGTCTGTTACTTGACCAGCAGCATGGCAGTCGCGCAGCTGCTCTTCTTGCCGCTTTGCAGAAGCAGACGTTGCTGCAGCAGCAGCAGCAGCAGCAGGATGCGGCAGGCGCGCATGCAGCCGCCTCGAGATCAGGTGTGCCTCTTTTTCGCGGAGTGGCGGCTGCCCCTAGTAGCAGCAGAGCACCAACTTCGTAAAGATTTTCTTTCACGGAGTGGTGTTTGCTGCACGAGCGAAGCAGGCTTAAAGGTTGCGCTGGGTGTTGCTGCATGCGTTGCTTTCAGTACTGGTCTTGCTGGTGCATGCGCATGCTCTTGTTTTCCGCCTTGTGTTGCTGCAGCGGCCTTATACCTGAACGCGTTGCTTCCTCAGCAGGGAGCAGCGAATCGGCAGCAGCAAGAGCAGCGTGCAGCTAGGTTGCTGCAGATGCAGCAGCAGGCAGTTGCTGCGGCGGCAGTTGCGTCCTCCTACAAGCTGCAGCAGCTGCAGCAGCTGCAGCTGCTGCAGCAGTTGCAGCAGAAGCAGCAGCAACTGCAGCAGCAGCAGCAAATAGGCGAAGCGGCTGGAGCAGCCCCCTCCCCAGCCATAGCCTCCTCGCCGTCTGCAAAAACGCACCCTTCTCCCGCCACAGCAGCGGCAGCTGCAGCTGCTACGTCGGCAGCAGCTCAGACGGTGCAGCAGCAGCTGCAGCAGCAGCAACTGCAGCAACAGCAGCAACAGCAGGAGCAGCAGGAGCAAGGTGCTCCTGTCGCGGCAGTGGACAACTGGGTTCAGGTATGGAGCTGCAAAATACAACATGTGCAACATGAGTTGCTTGAGAGAAAACACCGCAGATGCTGCCGTTCTCCTGGTCGCTTAAGAAGCGGCAGCATGCTCTGAATGCATGCATCACACATTGCAGTTTTAACGGGATATATATGCATATATACATACCAGAAAGTGTGCTTGTTTTTGAGGCAAACATGCGTATGATGCACACTTTCGGGAGTGTGTTTCTTGATCCTCTCCACGCTCGACTGGCCGCCACGACAGCCTTCGTAGGAAAATCGCAATGGGAGAGAGGGCACTTTTTTTCGTATATGTATGCGTGAATGGATCTGTGTATGTATGTATGTATGTATGTGTATATGTATCTGTGTGTATGTATGTATCTGTGTGTATGTATCTGTGTGTATGTATCTGTGTGTATGTATGTATCTGTGTGTATGTATCTTTGTGTATGTATGTATCTTTGTGTATGTATGTATCTGTGTGTATGTATGTATCTGTGTGTATGTATGTATCTCTGTGTATGTATGTATCTCTGTGTATGTATGTATCTCTGTGTGTGTATGTATCTGTGTGTATGTATCTGTGTATGTGTCTGTCTGTTTGCACGTTTTATGTGCGTGCTTTTTGCAGTGCGAAGCCTGCAGGAAGTGGCGGCGTTTGCCAGCAGCCATTGATCCAGATTCGCTGCCTGAGACGTGGGTATGCTCGATGACGCATTGGGATAGTAGCATTACGAGCTGCTCTGTTCCAGAGGAGGACTACCGGGAGGAGCAGCAGCAGCAGCTGCTGTTGCTGCAGCAGCAGCAGTTCCCTTCGCGGGCTGAAACTGCAACTGCTGCTGACGACGAAGCAGACGCCGACTACATGCCGCAGCAGCAGGAGCCGCAGCAGCAGGCAGCGGCACAGACGGCAGTGGCTGTCAACAGGAGGCGCACGAGGAGTTCTGTGCTGGTGGCTTCTTCTTCTTCTGCAGTTGGTACCGAGATCGAGAGGGGATCTTTGCTACGACAGCAGCAGGAAGGGCTGTCGGCAGGTGTGTCTTGTGTGCCTGTTGTGTGGCATGGGGAGTTTCTTTGGAGGCGTTGTTAGACAGGGTGCTCGAGAAGCCGCTCCTTTTCTGCCTGCTTCATGCAGTGGCCTCCCCTGCACGTGTTGCGTTTTGCTGGAAGGGGGGTGTGCTGCTGCTGTTTGGCGGTGCGTCGATTGCGGATGCAGGCATGGATCTCGACTTATCGGCAGTGAACCTCTGCACAGGGGCCCCCCCCTCGCTGTCACAGCAGGTGCTGCAGCAGCAACAGCAGCAGCTGCAGCAATTCGCCTTTGCACAGCGGGCTGTGACGGCGGACGCTTTGCCCCTTGCTGCTGCCGACTTGGGGAACGCCTTACGCAGTCAGCAGCATCCATCGGCAGCGCAAGCAGCAGCAGTAGCAGCTGCAGCGGACCTGGTAGCATCGATACCTCCTGGTGCTACAGAGTTGGTAGGCTATATATATGCAGCCTTTGTTTTGGCAGCGAAGGCGGCTCTTGTGCTGCTGTGCTGGGTTGTGTTCACTGAAAGAAGACACGCGTTCTTGCTGGCGAGGCTGTGCCTTTTTCCGGTGACTTCTAGGCCTTGTTGTTGGTGTGCTGCGGATGCTGCTGCTTACGCTGCCCGTAGGCGGTTACGCTGGTGAAGGTGCCTGTCGCTGCCAGCAGGAGTCACCCCGTCGCAGATCGCCTCATGGTATCCTGTCCAGACGGTAAGCAGGCAGGGAGCCTTGGAAACGGATCGAAGGGGCCGTGTTCATAAATTAGGCGCCTGCGGCGTGTCAAGTGTTTCTCCGTGGCATCGAGATCGAGCTGCCCGCTGCAGCGTGGGGGGAGGAAGAGGGGGCAAAGGGGGGAAAGGGAGCGGAGGGAGAGAGGGCGATCAGACACCCTCTAGAGTCTCGCGTCGTTTTGTTTGTGCGGCTTTTTTCCGGCGTCTTTTTGTAGGGCCTTCCACGACTTGTTGGGCAGCTGAGCTCCCCCACGGGACGCTTCAGCTTCGCCTTTTGGATCTCATGCGAATGAATTCGAGTTCGCGTCGGAGTGCAGGTCCAAGCAGCGCCGTCGAGGAGGTTGTTGCCGTCGCATGTAGCAGCAGCAGCAGTCTGTACGACCTGGACGTGCAGCAGCAGCAGCAGGCGCAGCAGGAGGGGGGTCTGAGTGGAGGCAGCAGCAGCAAGGGCCAGTCGAGGATGCCGCCTGCCAGTGGTGTAGACACATGTGTGTCGATTGATTACGCGCATGCAGTCAGATGGCCAGGAGTTGAGGCTCTAAGTGGTGCAGAAGAGGGCGACGATTTGCCTTGCGAGGCGGCTTCGTGCAGCAGCAGCGAGGATGAGATGACGCAGGGAACAACGCAGGCAGCGGCGGCAGATGACTGTCCAAATCGTTGTCTTGTTGTTGCCGGAGATCCCAACAGCCCTTCTGCTTTCCCAGTGGCTCCTGCTGCGCTGCAACCGCGCGAGCTGCAGCAAGTTGCTGCATCGCTTACGCAGGAGCTGGAAAAGCGGTGCTCCGTCCTGCGCGGGCAGATTCCCCACAAGGTCCTTAGGACGTACAGACGCATGCAAAGGCAAGATGGCGGGATGTACACGCCGGAGCAGCAGCAACGCCTGCAGCAGCTGCTGCTCGAGGAGCAGCAAATGCTCCTGCAGCAACAGCTGCAGCAGCAGAAGCGACTTATGGCGGCAGCAGCGACCCCGGCACATGTCGTCCTAGACACCCGGGAGCTATTGGGAGCTGTCTGTCTCGCGGATCCTGCAATTCAGATGCAGCAGCAGCAGCAACAACACATGCAGCAACAGCAGCAACAGCAACAGCACATGCAGCAACAGCAGCAACAACAACAATACATGCAACAGCAACAACACATGCAACAACACATGCAACAACAACCGCAACAACAGCAACAACAGCACATGCAACAACAACAGCAAGCTCGCAAGTCTGCTTCCTCGGAAGATGGAGGCCCAAGCAGCAAGCGTCTCAGGAGAGCCCCCCCTGCAGTCGCTGCTGTTATTCCTCAATCCGAAGCCATGGATGTTGTTGCCTTAGCGGACGCTGGTGCCGCTGACAAAGCGATGGCAGGGGAGGTTGCAGAGGTGGCAACTGCTGAAGCTGCAACGCTCCTCGCGGGAGCAGAGCAGCAGCAGGCCTCGGTTGCTACAGAAGCAGCGACAGCAACAAGCAAAAGAGAGGTTGTCGAGGAGGTTTCAGAACTAGCAGAAGTGCGAGCCGCAGAAGCCTTCTCTTCTGTCGGAGCTGAAGCGAGTGGAAGCAGCGGTACTGATGGCGAGCGATGGGGGGTGGCCGTTGCCGCTGCTTCTGTGGAAGAAACTCCAGCAGAGTCTTCTCAGGGACAGAGCGAGTATGCGCTTGTGCAAGAGAGCGACTCCGCAGAAGCGGCGGCAGAGGCGGCGGCAGCAGCACCGGAAGGGGCAGCAGATGATGGCAAGACGCTCAGCGAAGCGTTAGGCGCGGACGCTGATACTTGTCTGGCTGCAGCGGCAGGCTCAGCTCGAGCGGGTGCAGCTGAAGCAGCGGAGGTTGGTGCAGAGCCAACTAGGGAATTAGAAGAAGAGGCGACAAGCGTTTCGGGTGCAAAAGATCCTGCTGCAGCGGGGGAGGCGTCAGAATCAGCTGGAGCCAAACCAGCGACCTCCTCACCAGAGGACGCTGCACCAAGAGAATCTGGAGGGCCGAGTGCAGCGGTCGATTTTCAGGGTGGCACAGCAGCAGCGGAACTGGAAGGCAGATGTGTTGTCGCGAAAGCTGAATTAGCGGAAGCTGCTTCCGGAGCATCGGATGCGGCCGAACCCGATGCAGCAGAAGCGGCAGATCCGGAGGCAGGTGTCGTGTCGGCAGCAGAGCCTGCCTCGACGGAGTCTGCGGCAGCAGCAGCAGAGAGAAGGCTGTTGTCTGAAGCACCAGCGCCTAAGGGTGCGTTGCAGACTACCGCGTCCGCTTCCCCTGCAGGCCTACTGCCTGAATTGGCAGCGGGGGGATGCCAAGACGAGGAGGAGAAAGCAAGCGAGACAGCAGAAGCGAGGCTGCCTTCTTGCGAGCAGGGAGGAGAGGACGAGGATGACGATGGACGCGATCCGTGGGCTCCTTTGCCTCCCTCTGTCTCGGTAGAAGAGCGACAGCCTCACGACGGAGGCACCGACAGGTCGTCTCGCACTGACGGCAGCAGTCTCAGCATCAGCAGCCGCAGTGGCTCGTGGAGAGTGGAGGCCTTTGGAAGGCATTCTAGCAACACCCCCGCAGACGCGCTTGCAGGAGGGGGGGGCTTCAGTGGCGGCGTTCCTCGCAGCAACAGAGGAGAACTGTTGCAGTCTTCTTCGAGCGCTCCTTCGGACGCCTCAAGCCGCAGCAGCAGCAGCCGCTTGAGTCAGGAAGACCGCGTCGTGAGCGGAAACGGTCGAAAAGACGCATCAAGCGTTGCCAGCAGTGCTCGCGGCAGCGGTGGGAGCAGCAGGGACCTGCGCCTTGCTGTGAGGCCGCCCCCCTCGGGAGGAGCAGGAGGCTTCACTACAGCAGCAGAACCCCCAGGCTCTCCAGATCCGTGGGTGCCTGTGCTGTCTGCAGACGTAGCAGCGTCAGCAGCAGCAGCGGCTGCTGCAGCAGGTCCTGCTGCCCCCTCTGGGAAGATGAGCGATGCCGCAGCACCGTCTCTCAATAAGCCGGGCAGCGGAGGGGGGGCTAGAGACAGTGGAAGCCTGGTATTAGGCGAGACAGGCAGCACCAGTTCCCTGCGCGCCTCGCCTCCCCGCCATCCCGGTCGCCAGCAGCAGCAAGAATATGCGAGGAACAGACGCAGCAGCCTCAACAGCCCCGAGGGAGGCTACCGCAGTGTCTCCGTGGAGAGAAGAGACATTTCCCCACACGGCAGACACCTCGGGGGGCCCTCTCGACGCATGCACCCCCCTCGCCTGTTGCAGTGCAGGCAGCAGCCGCAGCCGCAGCGCATGCCCCCCCTGATGCATTCCAGGGGGAGGGCCCTGCTGCCGCCCATGATGCGACAGCTCCCGCCGTTGCGGGATGACAGGGGGCCGCCCCTGGTCTGGGGCGGGGGGCCCCCGGGGGCCCCGGGGGGCCTCCCGCCCCCCATGGGCGATCTTCGCGGGTACTGTGGCTGGAGACGCGCGGAGGAGGCCCTTGGAGGGCCTCCTCACCAGTCTGGGGAGGCGCCTGGCTGGGGTCGTGGGGGCCCCATGGGCAGCAGCAGAATGCGCGATATGCCCGAATACAGGGGCATGCATGGATTCCCCCACAGGGGCCTCCACGACGGTTCTCCAGCTCCTTGGGAGATGAGGCGATCGCCCCCCCACAGCGTGACGGAAAGAGACAGAAGGATGGAGGCTCCCGGGGGGGGCCCTGGTGGGGGCCCGCCGCTCTGGGAAGGAAGGGGCGACAGTCTCCTGATGAGGCACCTGAGGCGGCCTGCGTCATCCCCGGGGTATCGACACCCGAGGACCAACCCTTGGTAGTGCGGCAGGCAGAGCAGCGTGGAAATAGCAGCAGAAAGAGATTGTTTATACGATGGGGTTAGACAAAAGGAACAAAGAAAAGCAGCCTTGGTCGATGCGAAAGGGCTGCTACTGCTCCGAAGCATACAGGCTTCTGAGCGCTCCTGTGGAAGAATCTCTCGTCCTCGTGAAGCCGCCACAGTGGCAGGTGGCACTGGGGGCCCTTGCGGCTTTCGAAAAACCCCGTGGCTTCTCTTTTGACTTGGTCCTGCTGCTACGGCTGTTGCTTTTCAGAAACTGGCATACAAAGAACGGGGGTAGCAGCCGGTCGTTGGTAGCCAAGCTGGGGTGAGGTGCATATAAAACTGGTTTCATCTATTTTAGAGGAAAGGGAACGGACGGGGTGTTTGGGCGCAATAGGCAGCAGGTAACAGAGGCACGCAATGGACGTACAGAGGCATGCAAGGGTACGAGAGGCAGAGATGGTTGGCGCATTCTGGCGAGAGCTATATAGAAAGAGGGGGGCGACGGGTGTTGCGCGATGCTTGCGCACGGTTGACTAGCAATGCCAACTGGGTTGCTGCCCAAAGGCGTCTTCGTATACGCGTATGGCTCTCTGGGGGTCTCTTTTAGAGTGAGAAGCTAGCTGTATAAAGCATGGAGGCATGATCTGTCTTGCCGGTAACCAATGTACGGCAAGACAGATGTTGGAGGCACTCGCGAGTTGGCCACATTTTTGCCTCCAAATTCCTAGTTTAGGGGATTCGAAGTAACAACGGACAGTCGCTTTTGCACTTCGTAGAGTGCCGTTCCGATAATTCATTGCCTTTAGACGAGGAGTTCTGACTGATCCTGCACTAAGTAAAAAGCACCAACAGTCTGCCCCCTCTCCCTTCCTGCAAATGCCGCAGATTCAAACTCGCAGACAACTTTTAGGCGAGATCCCAGAACCAGCAGCAACGCTAAACCCTTTGCATTATGCTCTACATCCAGCAGTGATCGCAATCCTGTAGATGTAGGCGCAGGCCCTCAGCGCTTTGACAAGAAGGTATTGAATCCGACCAACTATCACCTCAAATTGGTCACTTCGAAGCGTCCTATTACTGCGCAGGGAGCGATTTTATTGGTTGAAGTGTTTAAGAACTCCCGACTGGGGGGCCCCCCAGCAGAGTGGGGCTGTCAGCAGGGGCCCCTCAGGGTCAACACCGGAAGACCTTCCTCCATCTTTCGTCGCAAGAAATTGTTTTGCATGCAGTTAGCACATATATTTTCGGGGTTAGTGCTTGAGGCGTCATGGCGTAGAAGCCCTCTTTCGGACCGAGAGTCTCTGGGCAGTGCAGAATTCTGGATTCCAGGATTCTCTATCCCAGAACCACACAGCTCATCTGGCTGGGGCAGCAGCAGCGCAGCAGGAGCACGACAGTATAAATTGTACAAGCTCAGCGGCAGCCAGCGCAGAAGGAGGGGCAGCGACGCCTCCAGAGCTACTGAAGAAGCAGCAACAGCAGCAGCAGCAGCCATCGCCACTGCCGAAGCAACAACAACAGCAGCAGCAGCAGCCATCGCCACTGCCGAAGCAACAACAGCAGCAGCAGCCTTCGCCACTGCCGAAGCAACAGCAGCAGCAGCAGCAGCCTTCGCCACTGCCGAAGCAACAACAGCAGCAGCAGCAGCCATCGCCACTGCCGAAGCAACAACAGCAGCAGCAGCAGCCTTCGCTCCTGCCCGCTAATCTCCACCATGGCGGCCTCTAGCAGCAAGCGCCACGCACCCTCCCCTACAGCGGCGGCACTCGAGTGTACAGACAGGTGCGTCTGCGGGTCGCACTTATTCGATGTTGCATTTCACCCAACAGAACCCAAGACGGTTGCTGCTGCTTCCTTCAGCGGCAAAGTAGAAATTCACAGGCTCCCAGAGAAAGAGCAGCTGCTGCAGCATTTCGAGCAGCGCCAGATACTTCGAGGTTGCGAGAGAAGCCTTAGGAGGGAAGAACGAAGACGAAGGCTTCACGCGGAGCAGCCGCAGCGGGAGGAGGATGAGAAGGTTAGCAGCCGCTGCAGCTGCAGCGGCAGCAGCAGCAGTGAATCCTCGGATGAGGAGGCACCAGAGCGTTTTCGCGAAGCCGATTTGGAGTGTTTGCCAACACTAGTGCAAACCCTAACACCTCACAAGCGGTCCTGCAGAACGCTGCGCTTCTGGAAAGAGGGCAAAGGTAAATACATGTATAGATATACACTTTGAGCTCTTGGCCTCAATTGCATAGACCCTACAGGCTGTTATGTAGCATGTGCGCTATTTCTCTGAATGTCACAAATCAGTGAGCACGGCGACTCTGTGTGCATCGGCGGTTGGGGCTTGCGGGTGTTCAGCTATTCTAAGCGCTGCAGCCGATGGACGCTGCTGCGTGTCGGATAGCGAGTCGGCAGCATGCGTTTGGCGATCTTTAAAGAGCAAGTAAGGTGCCTACTTCTGGTCTGAAAGCTGGGGTTTGGAGCGGCAAAGGAAGGCGCATTTGATCGCTTGAGGACAGGACTGCCTTTAGCCTTAGTTGAGCTGCGTGCTCCTTCAGGTTCTGCGGATGCCAGTTCACGGCATGGAATCAAGCGTCAAAAAACAAAAAGAGAACTGCGACTTGTGTGGTGCAGGGAGGGTTTCGAGGCAGCGACCGTGATCGACGCGAATGTATTTGCGGCGGCTGATGAGGGGGGACGGATTTCGATGTGGGATACGCGCAAAGAAAAGCCGATCAAAGTGTTTCCTCCGGAAATGTCGGGAGTCACAAGTGCGCTGAAGCAAGGGCCTTTGCGCTTCAAAGAAGAAGAGCGTGCAGAAAGACGCTTGAGGTTTCTGCACCGTGCTGTCTTACCCCATTTTTAATTTAATCTAAATGCCAGTCGTACGAGGCGCGACTTTTAAATAGGAGGGCGATCTTATAGCTGTATGTATATATATACATAGATGTATGCATTATATATATATGCATCACTCAGGTCTGTATTACGCCTCGCGTCGCTTGCTGTCAGCGGGATTTGGCTACTTGTGTGTCTTTGACTTGAGGAATCTTAAACTCCAAGCGCGGAGCGATGCCCTTGAAGCGGATTTCACCAGTCTTGCATGCGCGAAGGTGCTGTCCATGCTCCGCTTCCCTTGCGTGCCAGATGTACTTCTAGTGCATCTCGGCGAGTTGCTACAAAGAATCTTTCGGCGGACGGCACTGAACCCAGCACTGCATGCATGCATGCGAGACAGAAACTGTCCTTCTTCCTCCCTCTTCGTCTTCAGGCCTTGGAGAGCTGGTGTTTGGCGCAGGGGGCTTTGTGTGTGTGTGTGTATATATATATGTGTGTATGTATGTGTGTGTGTATATATGTGTGTATGTATATATATGTGTGTGTATATATATGTGTGTGTATGTATGTGTGTGTGTATATATATGTGTGTGTCGTTTTGTTTGTCTGTCTGTGTGCAGGGGGGTTCTAAGGTTTGCTGCAGCTGCGAAGAGGGGGAGATATGCCTTTTTAGTTGGGGCGACTTTGGTGACTTCAGCGACAGAATCACGGATATTCAGACGAGCGTTAACGCCCTGGTGACTTGACCTTTGGAGACGCAGCTAGAGAGCAGGCCTGGTTGGGGCGTACAAGGCACACACGTAGTCGGGATCTAGTGGGAGCTAGGGAGCTGGGGATGGGGGTGGGGGCATTACTGGATGTCGCGCGAGAGAGCTCTGAGTCCCCTGTCGGCCTCTGCATCTTTGCAAGTTGCGGTTTTTGTTTGTTTGTATGCATGTGTTTTTGTACGTGCGGGGGGAATTTGTGAGCAGGTCAAATTCGACGAAGACACGCTGCTTGCTGGCTGCGGTGATGGCTGCGTTCGCGTCGTGCAGGTGCATCCCAACAGATTGGCGGGTAGGTTTCCCGTTGTGATACGGGAAGCAATCGAGCGAGTTCTTCCGATGTACAGCGCGTGCAGGTGTTTCGCGGGAAGCCGTCGTTGCGTTTCTACGAGCAGCGAGCGTCGAGAACGGCCGCGGGGGGACGGGGAGGGAGAGGGGGTGCGAATGGGGGCAGGCTTTGAAGGCATGGGAGGGGAGGGTGAGATGTGGGGTGTTGTGGCTCGTCTGCAGACACTTGAAGGCGAGGGGGTGGCTTGAGTGAGGCGCTGTGTGCAGGGATCCTGGCAGCACACGGCGAGCGAGAAGCCCCAGTCGAGCGACTTGATTTGAATTGCGATAAGACCTTGCTGGGTGTGCCCCTTTTTAGACGTGCTGCTGAGTTGCGCAGGTGTATGGGGAGGTGCGTGTGCTTGTATTTGTAGAACACGTCCCTGCATGGTGGGAAGTTTGCGGCTGTGGGGCTGTGGCTGCAGCGACAGTAGCTCACGACAATCGCATTCGAATCCACAACGCCACTCAGGTGGAGAGGATGAAAACAAAAGTCGCGAGGCGGCTGAAAAAAGTGAGCTCCACCGTCTGGCGGGCGTCGCACCCAAGCTGCGTTTTTTGCCTCACCCTGAGGCTGCAGCATTTACCCCCTCGCCGTTAGTGCCTGCTGCCTTGCGTTCTCTGGATCCGAGAGTCAGGCTACCCGCCCCTGTGCCTCCTCCTGCTGTCTGCTGCTGCATTGCAGTCGCAGCAACTCCAACACGACATGCGACCCAACAGGGACTTTTTTGACGACTTATGAGCCTCACGCTCTGCCCAGAGCTTTGTGCTCTGCCCGGAGGTTTGTGCTCTGCCTTCCATCGCTGTTCTTCATTCTTTCAGAGGGAAGCTTCAGGCGCTGCACTACAAAACCTGTCTCCTAGCCATAAGGAGGGACAAGGGTTGCTGGACAGGGCAAGCTGCGAGGAATAGCTTGCGTGCAGTGCCGAACGGCCGGCTGCTTAGGTGGCTGTCTAAGTACCGACACCAACTGACTCCCCAACGCGCGTACGCACTGACCACTCGCTAAAGCAGGCAGCAAGCGCGTCCGCCTTAACTACTCGAGAGCCGTTAAGCAGTTTTCTACGCAGTATCAAATATTTGGAAAAATTTGCAGAGGGGTCTGCTTTCTAGTATGAGGCCCCCTTCTGTTGCTAGTGCCGCCGGTGCAAGGGGTTCGATCCCCCGATGCACCTGCACCTGACGCTGTTGCCGTGGTGGCGTTTTTTGTAGCAAAGTGATGACTGCACCAGCAAGCCACCAGCGGCCGCAATTCTATGGCTTCTCTGCGGGAAGGGTCTTGAAAGAGTCTGTACGCACCCGAAAAGGGTCCTTCAGTGCATCAGAGGCCTAAGTGTAACGCACAAGGACTTTGCTCGCTCGTAAATGCGCACTCCCCCTGCTGCCCTACTTTCCCCCCGCCTGCTCTTCCAGCATTGTATGTCTCCTGGGGGCACCCTTGGCCTTCACGATGTCTCTGCCGTCATTGCAGCCACTGATTTTTCTCAGCGAAACTGAGCAGACAACGGCCAAACAGCCACACACAGCCACACACAGCCACACACACACACACACACACACAACGTTAGCAGCTTCTGCCTAGGGGAACAGACACAGATATCAGTTGCTGAGCCTAAAGTGGTTCGTCGGCTGCAGGCCAAGGAAGCCCTACATGCCCTCTCGACCACAAGTTACTATCTTGCGTCCTTCCCTCGCCGCCCTTAGAACACCAGCATAATCTAAAGGCTCCTACCGGCAGCAGAGAGCGCAGTGACAGTGGTGGTGAAAGCAAACAGAGCAGAGCAGAGCAGAGCAGCAGCAGCCGCAGCAACAAAGCAAAAAGTCTGACTGATGTCGGCAGTAGCGGCGTTGTATGGGTAGAGCGGGACGGTGAGGAACTCCGCGCCGTTGGGGTGCCTTGAGAGCTGCAGATCAAGGTGATTGATTTTGCAGGACGTGGAGTTTAGACTGCCCTTCACAAACGCCCCTGGAGGGTTTCCTTTGAGACGATGGAGGGCCTCGGCGAGTTCGAGCAGCGGCGGCTCGAAGCAGGCTTCTCGGAGAACCTCCCAGCGACAGAGTGACCTGCAGCACAGGCTCACCAGATAGACGCGCACAACACTGCTCGTGGCAGGCATCGACTGGGGGGACGGCCTCAAGAGTGGGAAGAGCAGCACCCGAGCGTCGCAACGTCGTCAGGACAGCGGCAAGAGCCGCGGCAAGTCCCCTGCGCGCGAAGCTGTTTCGGCGTTTCGCCTGGTGGAGAGTGTTTCTGCCAGAGAACTTCGTTTGGGCGGGAAATGTGGATTCTCTGCGCGCACCGAGCCCAAGGGTCCGCAGCAGAGAGGAACTGCTTCCACGTGTGTTGGTAGAGAAACTCGAGTCGAGGACTCCAAACTCTGCGATGTCTGTCTCTGAAGGCCGTGAGGGCCCTAGGGCCCCAGTGTGTCTGTACAGTGGCCTTAAGGGCCTTGAGCCTTATGAGTCCAAGCACGCGTCGGCGCTGCTTGATTGCCTCGTGCGAGACGGCCACGCCCTGCGGCTCGACAAGGAACTCAGCTGCAGAACTCCATGAATACATGGAGTCGGCTTGCGTCTTGGTGCAACTTCGCGCCACGTCCACCGAGATGAACGACACTGCAGAAAGCCACACATCTTTATTGCCATCGGCGGGGCACGTCCCCTCCTGCTCCTGCTGTGGGGGCTTCTCTTCCTGCTTTGCCTCCCCTTGGTGCTCCTGCTGCCCCTGCTGCGGCGGATAGTCGGTAACAACAGCAGACTCCCAAGTGATCTGCACGAAGTGAACAAACATAAACATGCACACATAAACATACATACATGAACACATACATGCAAACATACACATACATCATGAGATCACACACACACACACACACACACTCCTGCACACATGAACACACACATACATACATAAACACTCACGTGCACAAATAAACACACATGTACATATATACCTGCACACATGCACACTTGAACACATACATATACACACATAAACACGCACGTACATACACCCACACACATACACATTCATAAACACACATACACACATAGAAACGCACATATACACATGAACACATATACATTCATAAACACACATACACACACGTACACACACATACACACATAGAAACACTCACATATACACATGAACACATATTCATTCATAAACACACATACACACGCGTACATGACCACACACAGAAGTGGATAACGCTTCCTAGAGCAGGTGTTGCAGCGACAGCTGCTCAGTAGCAGGAGCAGTAGGTGCACTCTGCGGAGACCTACATTTATAGTGAGGTTGCGCGTTTTAATTGCTGGCACGTCTCTCTCGCTAGCAACCGACCAAGTTCCCTTTTGCACCCACACTGAGAAGCCAAGCAAGCCACAGCGCAGAAGCCCGTAGTGGTGGCTCCGGCGCCGTAGGGTGTAAACTCGCTGAGTTCAGATACCCCTTTACGTCATCTCTCCCCATCTCTATGAGCGTAATCCCCTTGTGGTCGCGCTCTGGTCATCAAGCAGGCACACTAGTCGCGGAACACAGCTCATTGAACGCAACGCTGGTTACCCAGCAAGCCAGCTGGCCGGAAGAAAATTTCATGCACGTGGCGCGTGGTCACCTCTACGAAGAGCTTCGAGCTCGCATCCTTGTTTGGAGTGGAACTCTTGTCTGTCAATTTGTACGATCTGAGGAGACAGCCTGAACTGCCGGGTCTCCACTATATGGATTTGTTGCTGTGGCAGCCACTGGCAAGTCACGTAAGGCGCCGGGCGATGCGTTTCAAGTGCTGCGGTTGCCTCGCTGTCGCTCTCGCGATAAAAGGTGATTTCGGTCGATGCAGCAAATGCGGGGGACTCGGGGAGCGTCTAGCACATACATGCAGACATTTACACGTACATAAATATATGTACATATATACAGACAGACACATCCATACATACTTACATCCATACAGACACATCCATACATACTTACATCCACACAGACACATATATACACCCCCACACAACAGACGCTGATCCCGGCAGAAGCTGAGACACCTGCATGCTCTTAAGAGCGGATGACGAGGAAGAACAGAGCTATAGGAGGGGCGACGGGACGTGCTTAGGTGCTAAGGCCAGTGGAGTAGGCATGCGAGAGGTTCTGAGTTGGACGGCTTGCGTAGCATTCGCTAGATCCCAGACTTCTTACCTGCCAGGTCCCACAAAGCATCGGAAGGGACCCCGCCTCCCCGTATTCAGGAAGGGATCCTCCCGTTTTGTGGTTGAGCGTCATGCGCGTCTCCTTCAGACTCTGCTGCATGCGTGCTTCAAGAGCTTCTAGGTGGGCGGGGAGAGGCAGTCCCACTGACGAGACGTGCTTGGCTTGCACCTTGCCTTCTGCTGGCGTCGCTGCAGCTCCTGCAGAAATGTGGCTCTCCTTAAGAGGAAGTCCGGCTGTATCGGACTCCGGAGAAGCCGCAATGGCTGCCGCTGTCGCCGAGTCAGAATAGGCTGCAGTAGAGCTCGCTGCATTCCCCGAAGCCTGGGAGCTCTCTGTTGCGGATGCTGCTTCTCGTGTTGCCTGCTCCTGCTCCTGCTCCTGCTTATGTTGTTCTTCCTCCGACCGATGGTGCTCGTCCTGCTGCTGCAGAGAGAGCGACAGCCAGGTACCCGGCTCTTTCCAGCGCGGCCGATCGGGCTGTAGAGAAGCATGCCGTTCCCTCGGATGCATCACACGCTGCGCTCGCTGCAACAGCGAGATACCACTGTCGACCTCGATGGTGGGGATATCTGGCCGTGACAGTGTCGAACCAAGCCTTTGCCCTGCAGACAAGTTCTTACATCTTGAGTCCTCCTTTTAAGAACCTCACGTGGGGGAGGGCGTTCCAGCCAATCGCCGTCGTCTAGTGTCTTCGGCGTGCGTAGATGCTGCTGAAAATCTGCTAAATGAGGGGTCAGAGGAAGACCTTACCTGAGAGCTGTACAGCCAGTAGGGGGACGGGAACCAGCAGAGCTGCTGCTGCCGCCGCAGCAGCAGCAGGCTTCCTTGGCAAGCGCATCTGAGGGCAAAGAGATCTTTCACGGGGTAACCCTCTAGACCCTTGCTGTTTCAAAGATCCTTAAGGACTTGCACCTTTCTACGGGGTAAGGGGCGAGGAGTAGCACTTACGACGCTATTGAAACACAGGTCCTTAGAAGCAGGCGTTGCAGCGGCAGCACAGGGTGCTGTCGCTACTGTACGGTTCTTGCTGCTGTTGTACCGCAGCCTGCACGTGTAGGATGCGGCAGGCGTTGCGTTGGACAGCTGCTGGCTCTGTATCAACTTGTCTTCGGCGCAGGGCTCTACGAGTCTTGCGGCTAAGAATAATTGGATCAGTGTCTATGGGCCAAACCAGGCCGGAATACCGTGGGGAGAAGGTTAGAGCTCAAGGTTCAGCGTTAAGGCTCGTTGGAACCATCGGTCGGACGACTCCGACAGGACGCGAGTGTACTGTCTAAAGAATCCTCAGGTTAAGCGTGAAGAGGTTTTAGTTTTGCGTGAAGGAAATGCCAAAGAGCGGGTTCGACGACCACAAGAGTTCTCAGAGACAGTTTCCCTCCTCTATCTGAGCTCTTCTGGGCGCGGCTGGCGCCGCCGCTCGTACTGAGGCTGCCCTTACTGCTGCTGCCTTGCCAGTTACCACTGCTGCTCATTCGGCGACAGTGATACACACGAAAAATAATAAATTTATTACACTATATTAGAGGAATTTCAGAATGTGCCGGTGATAGTGGCGGTAGCTGCGACTGTCGCAGCGGCAGTCACAGCATCAGCAGCAGTAAGGCTTCCGCCGCTGCCCCAGACAGGAAGAACTGCCGCAGGAGCATAAGCTCCTGCGGCAGTTCTTATATGCAAATCACGGCCTTGGAAAGGCATGTAAAGACCACCAAGACGTTGCACATCATGTTTATTTAAAGCAAAGGGAGAGCTTTCCCACAGAAGGTGCCCCTTCTGCATCCACACTACCTACAGCATCGCCTTCATCAGGCTTTCACGCAGTCCTACCGCATGCGGTGTTTGCAAGTGGCCTTCCTCTTCCCAGTTTGTTGGTTCGCGTCGAACCCCCAAAATTGTAAATAGTGAGCTGACGACGTTCAAGTGCGTTCCAGCTTGCCTCTACAGCGGAGCACTTTCCTGTTGCGAACTCCGGGGGCAGCAACTCCCTTGCAGCCACACTTCGGAAGGAGCTACTGCTGCCACTGTTACCTCACTCTTCAACTGTGAATATATGTGTCAGTAATAGGGAATTCTCCTTGACTGGCTCTGCTTAATCTACGCAGCATGCAAGGGGTTATGCAAGCTTCTTATCCCCGTATACCTTGATCCACAACTCCAAACCTCTATCTTCAGCCTTCCCGGTGCCCGTTGCGCAGCACATACCACATCTTGGTGAACAGCGCCTCAACGCGCCTCTCTGACTTCCTAGGGGTAAACGACTGAAGGCAATTCTAGGAGCAGCAGCCTTCCCAGCAGCACTGTACAATGGCAGCATCAGCAGCAGCGGCAGGCCGCCGATCGCTCTTCTTCCCTGGTATCGTTCCGGCGCTGCAGCGGCGTGCGATGCAGCTCCCCCTACCTCAGAAGGCAAAAAGCATAATCGGTAAACAATTACCCTTCCCCTGTCCTGTGTGCACATATATATCCACGTGTCAGGCGCGGGGGTTGGGGGGGAGGGGAAGCTGGAGTAAGTCTGCGTCGTATGCCTCCTCAATCGCGGCCGCATTAGCACATGCGCGTTGCAGAGATACACCGCCTTTCTCTGTAAGATTCATGACTGCGCTTCTTTGCACCTCTTCGATTCAGAACATCCAGCAGGACCCTTCACAATCCACTTCTGGGCACCGACGTTGAAGTGGGGGATTTCTATAGCCAACATCCTCGATATCATGGATAAAGATGCTGCGAGCATCTCTCCAGAGCAACAAATTGGTGCGCTCCTGCTGGTGGTGCTGTCGGTGCTGCAGCTGCTGCTGTGGCCAAAGCAACGCATGCGGCTGCCGCTGTACGGGGTGATTGCGTGTTGCAGCCGTGGCAGCGACGGGTCTTATATGGTCAAGATACAGCATGGTGATCAGGCCGAAGAACTGGAACCTTTTTAGCGGCAAGTCTGGGAAGCACGCGAGGGAAGGCAGGGTTTAAAGACTCGTGCGCTCTCCTCACGGGGATGGCGGTTGTTGCTGCTGCTGCGTCAGTCCGCTTAACAAAGTGCTGAAAGTGCTGCAAGTTGCAGTCGAGAGATGTAACGGCGTGAGATTCTGTTTTGATGTGCAGTGAATGTGGTCATGGCATTCACCGGCTGCCTACAGCTTGGTCGTGTGGCCTGTAGAGAGTACAAGGTCCGAACCGGCAGCTACAGCAACACCGCTCAGGAGAGCACAGAAAGCAACCCTCATGAAGATGGCACTCATAGCAACAGCAAGGATAGCAGTGCAGCCTCCGCATAAATCAAGACTGGCTTTGGGTCACTTGCTGCTGACCGTACCCTTTGATGAGGCAGCATACAACTGCATTATTTTCTAACAGCAGCGCCTCGCAGGCGCTATCAGAGTGAGCGAGGGTGACACCAGGGAGGAGAGGGGCGGGATGGGGGGAGTGCGGGTTGTGAGCGTTAAATTCAGGGCATGTTTCTATGGTGTCTTTTGCATCGGCAGCTCAGCTTTGCCGCGGCCTAGTGGCAGGTGTATACACTAGCTAGTTAGGGGGAGTTCAGTCTGACGCAGTAGACTGGCTGAGGCGCTTTGAGGAGGCCTCCTCCTGAAAAGGGCTTTCTGCGCAAGCTGTGGCGAGAAACAGCTGGCTTTGCAGAAATGGCCGTCGTCATGTAGGGGATAGGCATCCTATTCGACGGGGGGTGGCTCCCGAATAGCGGGAGGTCTTCTCTGTCAGGTCCTCTCACTATAACCGATAGAAATTTATGAGAGGAAACGAATCCAAACCAGCAGAAGGGAGGGGGGGCGAGAGGCTCACCAAGAGAAGATAGATACTGAGAGGCAGCAGCAGCTCTGACCACCCCACTGCAGTAGGGGCCTCCTTGTACCAAGGGGGAAGCGCACAAGATGAACCTTCAGAGGTGGGAAGAAGACCGAGAGACGAAATTTTCCCAGTTAGTTTGGAGGGGCCGTGAGTGCGTTGCGCAGCGGCTCTAGCTCAATGCTGTGGGAGTGAGCTGCCACCATGATCTCTACGCCTCGAGGGGCGACAGAAGCACAACAGCATCGCCTCTTACGAAAATGAGAGGCATTTTCCTGACCGTCTTCTGCACCCGCAGTAACACATTCTCATGCCTAATACCCCTAGAAGAGAACTGAAGCATGCAAGTGTAGGTGTTGGAGGCAGCCAGCCATGCAGTGCTCGCAAGGGGGTCTGGCGTGGGGGCCTCCTGGCGTCCACCCGTGGAAAACGTCAACTTGCACCTAAGAGTTAGTTTTCGCAGAAGTGCACGGGCTTGAGAGCCTGAGTGGAGCTTACGGAGAGCTTGTTTGTTGTTTCATCCACGACTGTAACTGTTTCCTCGGCGTCTGCGAGGACGAGATTGAGGTGGACATCATAGGCCTGTTTTGCGCGGAAAAAAATCCCAGCAACCCCACATTCACACAGGCATGCATGCGTATGAAAGTAAGCGAGCTTCCTTCCACACAGAGGAACAGCACCCTAGATAACACGATAATCTTCTGGGAAGGTGGCAGTTTGCTGCTAGGCGGAAAAATAGGGGAAGCGGCTGTGGAGGCTGCGGGTATGAACGCGAAAACAGAATTTGAAGCCTTCGCATGAATGCGATGCATACAGCGTGCTTTCTGTGCAAGGCTGCTAGACGAAGACCTCTGATGGGCTACACAGCAAGGGCAGGCGGGCAACACCTCTTCACAGAGGAGGAGGTGGCACCAGCAGGAGCAGCAGCAGCATACACAACACACTACATTACAGCACACGACGCACGTGGAGGGTTCCCTTCAATTGCCGTTCGCCTCTGCACTTGACAAAGACTGGCCCTTCCATGGAAAGACGCGCGATGTCTAGAGGCTCTGTGGAGGCAACAGCACAAGCAGGTGCCAGACCTACAGCAAGATAAAGCCGAGAGAGAACATAACGTCTGGGGAGAAGCTGCTGCAGCATTAACTGCATGCCTCGACAACAGTCGCACGGGCAGCCACGACACCGCAGGCTATGGGTGGGGTGTCTGAGCGGGAAACTTAAGGCCACTGCGTGCACTGGCGGCGTTCCTCCTTAAGAAATGCGCCCCCTTCAGCAGCCGTAGTGGCAGCTCCGCAGGCGTATGGAGTCGCAGCTGCAAGGCTTTCTTCACCGCAGTATGCAAGTGCAGTTTGGTGAATAGAGATACAAGCATCAGCTCTAAGGTTGCAGGTTTGCCAGTGTCGGTGCTAGCGCTGCCGAAGCAGCTGCGAAGGCTCCTCCTTCTAGTGATCCTGCTGCACCTCGGGTGTATATTCACCTTGCAAAACCTGCGCTGTCTTCATTTTCTCCTCTTCCAAACTTGCATGGGGCTTTCGACTTCTGGGGAGACTGGTGCACGACTTCGGGCTAAAGGGTCGGGATCTGAGGCTCAAATTAGGCTTGGAAGCAGAGTGGGGGGGGAAAAAATGCAAAGGGGCAGCTTTGCGCAGTGCGTGGAATGCTTGTGGACCTATGGCTGCATGCGCTAGGTATCCCTTGGCTGCGGCAGCGGATCGCATGCGGCAGCGAGCTTAGCAACGCGCGGCAGAGCTGCAAAAGGGTGGGAGGCGGCAACATGCTTAAATTAAGGGATCCGGAGTGTCCTGCTTAATACGCGCCAGGAGAAGCAGCAGTTATTGCTGTCGTAGAAGCAACAACAACAACCCCCCCTCCACCCCCCGCCTCCCGCTTGTACCAATAAACGCCGCGATCCGTTCATGGCGACTCTCCCTGAACGCTCGCCTCCCAACTGCGCAGCAGCCGCAGTCGGCCCCTGCCTGTAAGCAACACAGCATCACCAGCATCGAGTGCAGGGAAGGCGTTGAAAAGGAGGCAGCCGACGTGGGGAGAAGGAGCGGCAGCGGAGGCTTACTGGTGGGGGCGCTGCTGAATTACACTGCATCTCTGCACGACAATGCAGACTGCAGACGATGCGCCTTCGGCTGCGCTGGCAGCCGTCTCAGAAACGCGTTTTCACAAGGACAGAAAATTTCTGCGGGTGCACACGCAGAAGGGCCACCCCAGTCTGGCTCTTGTACATACGACTACAGGTCGAGCATATCTTATTCCCTCTTCCCGCTACCACAAGCACACACACATACACCCATACACGTACACACACTCATACTCAAACTCAAACACACACACACACTCATACACATACATTTACACGCACACCCTCATACACATACACAACCACACCCTCACACACATACACTCATACACGTACACACACCCATACTCAAACTCAAACACACACACACACACCCTCATACACATACACATACATGCACACCCTCACACACATACACAAACACACCCTCATACACATACACATACATGCACACCCTCATACACAGACACATACACAAACACACCCTCATACTCATACACATACACAAACACACACTCATACACATACACAAACACACTCTCATACACATACACATACATGCACACCCTCACACACATACACACACAAAAGCCCGATACCCTTTGGGCATGCACATTGCAATGAGCAATATCAGGAGCCACAGGAGGGTCAGGGTGTGCTGCGTGCGCGATGTCTCCCTTCTTTTGCAGGAGACGCCTACCCCCCCACCGCGTCCTTCCCTTTCCCAGCTGCAGGCAGCACCAGCGATGGCAAAGCGTGGCAGGCGTACCCTATACTGCCTCCTGCCTTTAGGGCTGCCGCTGCTCAAACTCTGAATATTTGTTTCCCCGCCGTCACTTCGCAAGTTTTATGTCCAGAGACGTCAGCCCGGCGCGCAGGATTCGCAGCAGCAGCAGCACGCGTTGGACGGGAGTTCTCCCGTCAAGTCGCGTCTGCAGCCGACCCCACACGGCATACGTGGATCCTCGTACATGCGCAGCAGCAGCAGCAGCAGCAGCAGCACCAAGTAGCAGCAGCGGATTCTCGCGATGCGTCTCCTAGAACTCCCAGTGCCTCCACCGTAGCAGCGGGAATCGCAGCACCAGAAGTCAACACGGAGGGGCACGACGCAGCGGCAACTCCCCCTTGCACACTTGCAACACGGCATGCACTCTTTCTCCAGCAATGGCGTTGCAACGCTGCCGCTCTGTTGGAAGCCCAGCACCTGCCCGAGTGGCTGCGAAAACGACTTGCCAGTGGAGCAGCAACAGCAACGTCGGGAGCAACGCCTTGCACAACACCCCCTGAAGAAGCTGCGCTTGCAGCCCTTCAGACAGCGCGGCGTGAGCTCGCGTCTCGCTATGCGTTCCTCATAGAGAAGAAGCACAGAAAGCACGATGAAGAGCAGTCACGCAGTCGCAGTAGCGGCAGCAGTAGTAGTGGCAGCGGCAGCAGTAGTAGCTGCAGCGGCAGCAGTAGTAGTTGCAGCGGCAGCAGTAGAACCCCAGAGGAGGTTCAGTTAGGTGTGTGGCACTGGCCCTCAACGCTGGCGCAGCAGCGGGAGACAGCCAAGAGTGTGGAAGCTGCGCTGACGGAGCAAATCAAGGCTCAACGTGTGAGACTAATAGTTGTGTTTTGTAGGGAAAATTTCGGTTGTTACTGCTGTGAATAGGTTTACATTTGTCTAGGTCGGCGTTACAGGGGTGGTCTGGCAAGGGGGGGGGCATGGGTAGATCGTCGAGCAGGTGTGTCTGTGTGTGTGTGTGTTATTTGAGATGCTGCTGCTTGTGTTGTGCATCGGGTGGCTGCTCTGCGGCATGCGTTGATTACAGACTTCCCAGCGTATCCTTGCGGCCAGAACGCACAAGTTGCCGCGTCTCTTGTGGCGCCTTCTCGCGGAGGCAAAGGAGGTGGGAAAGTTTGAATTCGCGAGGGGAAGCGGCAAGCGAGACGCTTTGACGGGTGCAAGTGGTAGCGTTGCATGAGGGCTGGGGGGGAGGGGGGGGAGGCGGTTCGCTTTGGAAGCGTAGCGATGCAGCGGCAGCAGGGGTCCTATCTGATGTGTATTGCGCTATGGGGGGCGGTTTTGCTGCTGTTGCAGGTCGAGAGGCAGCAGCGCATGGTGCTGTATGAGCAGAGTTCTCGGGTGTATGGACGCCGCGACGTCTTCGCAGACTGGAGTGGAGAGCATCACCGGATGCGCCGAGCCTTCGTGCTGGAGCTGCAGCAGCAACAGCGCGTGCTGCAGCAGCAGCAGCAGCAGCAGTTCAAGCAGCTGCAGCAGGAGCTTGAAAGGTGCAGACTCAAGGCGCAGCAGAAAGCCGAAACAGCGAAGGGGGAAAGGAGGAAGCTGGAGAGGCAGCAACACGAGCTAAGGATCCTGCAGCGGAAACTCCATACACGGAGGTGCGCGCGTAGTATCTTGGCGCTGCTAGTGCTGCTCTTAGGGTTCGTGGCTAGCAGGGTGGACGCGGCGACTCTCTCGCTGCTTTTCATGCTTTGTGGAAGCTTTGAGCAAGTGCTTTTTTCTTTACCTGCAGCTTGTGCTGGCTTGTTCAAAAAAGGCCTCTGCTGCGACTGCGCGCGCGGCTCTCTTCAGGCAGAGGAGACAGCAGCGCCAACTGCTGCTGCGGCACATTGGCCGCCAAGCTGCTGCATTGTTAATGCGCCAACCGAGTCAGCAGCAGCAGCAGCAGCAGCAGCAACAGCAACAGCAGCAGCAGCAGCAGCAGCAGCAGCAGGGCCTCCAGCAGAGGCTTGAGCGGCAGCAACAGGCTCTCGACGATGCACTTGCGCTGCTAGTAGAGACGCAGCAAGTGCTTGCAGACTCCTTCTCCACGGAAGACGAGCTTTTCGCTGCCGAAAGGAAGCAGCAGCTGCTGCAGAGGCAGCAGTACCTGCTGCTCATGTCTAAGCAAAAGCTACCTCAGCAACAGGAGCACCAGCAAGAGCAGCGCCAGCAAGAGCAGCATCCTCAGGAACTGCCTCCCAAACGACTGCTGGTTCCTGCAGGTGATCTGAGACCTCTAAGTGACTGCACCCACAGCAAGAAGTCGCTGCAGCTGCAGGATTGCGGAGAGCTGCGAATTTCGTGCTGGCGAGGCTCTAATTGTCTGCAGGGCCTGGCATGGGGGTTGCGTGCATGCGGCGAAAGAGGCTAGGTGAGGAGGGTGTCTGCCTGCGTGTCTGCTTGCATGCAGATAGCTCGACAGCTTCTCGAATGCCACCATTGAAGCGTCGCTGCACCGCCCTCCCCGAATGTGCGCAACAGCAGCAATCCTCTGCACACCCTGGACGGCGCTCCCTGCAGCAGCTGCAACAGCTGAATCTTCTCGCTTCGACGGAGTTAACAAGTCGCACTGCTACTGCGGGGGTAGACAGCCGAAGCGTAGGGGGAATGCGCCTGATGGTTCGTCCCCTGCACGGTGCTCCTTCGACTGCTGCTCGTCCGGCTCAGCAGCAGAAGGCAGACACCACCAAGGCATGCGTTGCAAGCTGTAGCGACACCCCCTCTCGGCCTTACAGCAAGCAGCAGCAGCAGCAGGTTTCAACGGGGGTACCAACAAAGCCACCTATGAAGCAGCAGCAGCAGCACCTCGAGAGCTCGAGCCTTATGATGGATGTGCGTTCAATAAAACTCTCAGCCAGCCGTTTCCAAAAACGCATACACAAAGTGCCAGCGCAGTGTTGGTGTCTTCCACCGTTGCAACCCGTGGCGCTGCTAAGCGACTGCGATTCGTAGCAGCCTTGGTCTGTGTGTGTCTGTGTATGTATGTATGTATGTGTGTGTGTGTGTCTGTGTATGTATGTATGTGTGTGTGTGTGTGTGTGTGTGTGTGTGTGTGTGTGTGTGTGTGTGTGCGTGTCTGTATGTTTGTGTATGTCTGTATATGTGTGTGTGTATGTGTCTGTATGTGTATGTCTGTATGCATGTGTATATATGTGTGTGTGTAGGTCTGTATGTCTGTGTCTGTATGTGTAGGTCTGTATGTATGTGTAGGTCTGCATGTATGTGTGTGTCTGTATGTATGTGTAGGTCTGTATGTATGTATGTGTGTGTGTGTGTATGTATGTGTGTGTCTGTATGTATGTATGTATGTATGTGTGTGTGTATGTATGTGTGTGTCTGTATGTATGTGTATATCTGTATGTATGTATGTGTGTATCTGTATGTGTGCGTATGTCTGTATGTATGCGTATGTCTGTATGTATGTCTGTACGTATGTATGTGTGTATGTCTGTGTATGTCTCTATGTATGTATATGTCTGTATGTATGTGTGTGTCTGTATGTATGTGCGGGTCTGTATGTATGTGTATGTGTGTATGTGTGTATTTATGTGTGTGTATGTGTGTGTCCGTATGTCTGCCTGTGTGTGTATATCTGTATGTATGTATGTATGTATGTGTGTGTGTGTCTGTGTGTATGTGTATGTGTGTCTATGCCTGTGTGTGTCTGTATTTCTGCATGTGTGTCTATATGTATGTGTATATCTGTATTTCTGTGTGTGTCTGTATGTCTGTGTGTGTCTGTATGTATGTGTGCGTCTGTATGTCTGTATGTATATGTATGTGGGTGTATGTCTGTATGTGTATGTATGTGGGTGTATGTCTGTCTGTGTGTATGTGCATATCTGTATGTATGTGTGTGTATGTCTGTCTGTGTGTATGTGCATATCTGTATGTATGTGTGTGTATGTCTGTCTGTATTTCTGTATGTGTGTCTATATGTGTGTGTATATCTCTATGTATGTGTGTGTATATCTGTAAGTCTGTATGTATGTGTGTGTATAGCTGTATGTCTGTGTATCTGTATATGTATGTCTGTACGTGTATGCCTGTGTGTGTGTATGTATGTATGTGTGTGTGCGTACGTTCACGTGCAGGAAGAGCAGCCGCCTTGCAGCAGCAGCAGCGAGAAGGGGCTGCTGGAAGGTCCTATGGCAGTAGCGGCATCGGAGTGCCTTCCCTTGCAGGAGACTGCTGCTCCTGACTGTAGCGGCGGTCAGATGCAGTACAGCAACATATCAGCGATAGAGACTGCTGGCGCTGCCGCTGAGGCTGCAAGCCACGCCAATGGAAGTGCAGCAGCAAGAAGTGCCTCGTGGGGTGCGATGGAGGGCAGCAGAAGCAGGAGCCGAGACAGCGGGCAGAGCAGCAGCAGCCACACGGATTCTTGGGGAAGCAGCAGTCGCAGCAGCAGCAGAAGCAGCAGCCGCAGCAGCAGCAACAGCAGAAGCACGTGGCGTGGAGGTGCTGAGGATGCAGTCCCCCTGATTCTGCAGGACGATCAGGCTGCTGCGGCTGCAGCTGCAAACGGTGCAGTAACAATTGGCAGATACACTGCCCTCCTGTCGGCAGCTTCTGCAGCGCTTGATCAGGAAGCACTTCAGCAGCTGGCGTGGCTCGATGAGAGACGGACGGACAGACCGTAGGTTGAACCCCCTGAGGTGTCCATGCAAGTGGGCAGCCACTCGTTGGGTGTGTCGATACACCACACAAGTGGAGCCCTTCGGCGACCTCTAAATTCCGTATATGTGTGCGTTGGGGAGAGTCTTGCGAGGCGCGGTGGTGAGTGGTGAAGGCTGCGCTTTTCATCGATGGGGGTGTGTGTTTATCAATGGGGTGTGTGTTTATCAATGGGGTGTGTGTTTATCAGTAGGGGGTGTGTTTATCAATGGGGCGTGTGTTTATCAATGGGGTGTGTGTTTATCAATAGGGGGTGTGTTTATCAATGGGGTGTGTGTTTATCAATGGGGTGTGTGCTTAGCAGTAGGGGGTGTGTTTATAAGTAGGGGGTGTGTTTATCAATAGGGGGTGTGTTTATAAGTAGGGTGTGTGTTTATCAATGGGGGGTATTATTTACGGCTCAGGGTCGTGCCTCCTAGCCAAGATCCGTATCGTGATGGATCCTTCTTCACCGAATGCCTCCACCTAGAGGTGAGTGGCGTTTCCCTGTTTCTGCTTTGGGAGCTGGTGAGAGGCTGATGGCATGGAGACAAGCAACAAGGCCATAGTTCAGTGCATACCTGTGCTTTGCAGACGACCCTCTTTGCGCTGCTGCGCGCGGCGGGTAGCGAGAATCCTCCTCCCCCCGACCTTACCCCAAACATCCTCCACGTACGTCTAAACACCTGAGCCTCTCTTCAAAAAACACCGGGATATTGCTTCAAAATAATGCGTAGAAGGCAGACAGACAGACAGCAAGAAGAGGGGAAGCAGGAAGCTTTTCTGTGCTCTCCGCGCATGGCCGGTATCACCACCACGAGTATTACTGACATGCCGCTGCCCTCTGTTTTACCCCTCGTGTTTTGCTCCATGTTGCGGCTGCCGTTGGTGCGCAGCTCAACAGACTGCTCCTAGACGCTAAGAGGCAGCTCGACGCTGGACGCTACCGACTCCTCAAGCAAATGAGGCTGCTGCTGGCGCAGGTGAGAACGCTGCGAGAACGGGCAATACTTGCATTGGCGGCAACAAGGTGCAGGGGGCAGAACCTTTTATCTGGGGGAGAGCAAGCCCATTAGAGCTTTTAGTGGGAGCCAGGGCTTTTTTTGCGTTCAGTCAAATTCTCCCTTCAACAATTTCTACCAGCTGCGGCGGGGGTATCGCCTGCTAAACATGCTTGGAAGGGGAGGCTTTGCCGAAGTGTGGGAGGTACTGCACCCTCTCTCCCTGTTGGCGCGTTTTTTATGCATCCCTCCTCATACACTAAACCTACCCCTACGCGCACGGCTGTTGGACGTACACTTCTTGTCAACAACCCCCACAGCGCTCTTGATAAATATATTTATATGTATGTTTGCTTGCCCGTTGGTGGAACGGTCCTGTGGACTTTGTCTCCTTCTTTCTTTTGTTCTTTCTTTCTTTCTTCGTCTTTCTTTCTCTCTCTGCGCTAGTTCTAATATCCTTCTTTCTTCTGCTCTCGGTTGCTTCCTGCTGCGTGGTCTGTGCTGACATGATAACGCCTCCCGCCAATGTTTTAGCGTCACGGGGATTTGGTGGGTAGATGCAAGTATCTGCATATATATATATCCATGTCTTTGTGTGTGGGTGGGTATTTTGATGTCTATGTTTTCATGCCTGTGTTTTGATTTCTATGTGTGTGTGTCTTCTTTTTTGTAAGGTATTCGATCCACTGACGTGTTCTGTGGCAGCCGCAAAACTGCATGTCCTTTCGGCCGTGAAGAAGGAGAGGGAGCGTCTTAAGATAGTTCGGCGAGTTCAGAACGAAATCGAAATTCACAAAGATATAAGACCGCATCCTTTTGTGAGCACCGCCCTTAAGGACAGTTTGCGGTGTAGCCCTTCCGGCTGTGCGAAGCCTGTGCAGGCGCACAGAGAGAATAGACACCGACATAAAGCTCAGAGACTTGGCCTCGAGGAACTACGCATGGTTTTAAAAAATTCAGCGTGCGGAAGAGGTCATCGCGCGTAGAGTTTGCAAACCACGAGAAACTAGAGTATGCGCTTCTAGGCTTCCGGTTTGGTGATGGGGGTGCGTGGGGCGCAGATCGTGGAAATGAAAGCGTGCTTTGAGATGGGTAACGACGTCTTGGCCAGCATCCTCCAGTTCTGTGAAGGTTTGATCTACAGAGACGCTAAACTTGAAACCCCCTCTTTTGCTGGCTAGCCATTCGCTGCTCTCCAGAAAAGGGCTGTCTCGCACACGAGGCAGAGCCTCATGAGCGGCCCGCCGAGCTTAGCCTTCCGCCATAATCCGTGGACGCATTTGCGAGTGCTGCGTTGACAGCAGCAGAAGTAACGCTGCCATCAGGGGGCGGTGTGTGGTGGCTTGCTGCTGCAGGGGGCGACCTTGATCATTATTTGAAGATTTCAGGACCACTTGATGAGCCTCTTGCGGCCCGGTGGATTCGGCAAATTCTCCAGTAAATCGACCCGTTGCACTTACACAACTCTCCTCCGAAGCGCCTTTGCAGCCTTCCTTGCACTCCCCAGTAGCCCCCTGCAGGTCGAGCCAGCAAGCTCGCCAGCGCATGCACGCACTGTCTGAGGCCAGAATCGCTTCTCTGTGCATTCTCCAGGGCCTTGCATTATTTGAAACACCAACCGAACGGAAGTATTTACCACCTCGTGAGCTTCGTCTACCTAGCGACCCTTCTGACGCTAGGGTGTCTGTCCACTGAACCCGGTGTTCAGGGTTGCAGATTCCCCTTAGAAACGGCATAGCACCCCCTCCGCCTGCCCAACTCCCCGCGTTTTCACGCATCAAGTGCACTGCGTGGTGCGTGGGTGTAGGACGTGAAACCTGGAAACGTGCTGCTGCAAAAAGGCAACTGCAAGCTGGCAGACTTTGGCTTGAGCTGCTTCGTCCCACGCGGAGAAACGCGGCCGTTCGCCGGAGGCGGCACTCTCTGGTATCAGCCTCCCGAGTGCTTGCTGCTGCAGCTGCACCAACACCACCTCCGGCAGAAGCAGCAGCAGCAACAACAACAGATCCCTCAGCAGCAGCAGCAGCAGATGGCAGGGGAAATGGGGAGGGAACATGTCAAGGGAGAACTCGCATCCACAGAGAAGCAAGAGCAGCGACTGGAGTTGCTTGAAGTGGTGCCTGCAGATGAAAAGGTCAGTTGCGGTTGCTGCGTTCCGATGCGGTGGTTTGTGCTGGATTCGCTGCAGGGTTGCTGCTGCCTTCGCATAGCACCTGCCTGATCGCTGCTGGTCTTAAAAACACAGCTATCCCACTGCTGCTGACTGTTTACTGCGCGAATGATGGCACCCTGTGGCTGCGTTTACTGACTGTGTTTGATGCTGCAGATCGACATATGGGCTGTGGGCTGTATTCTCTTCGAGATGCTTTTTAACAAGTGTGTGGATACTGTTCGGAAAGAAATTTCTGGAGCTGTTAATGGTGGTGGTGGTGCTGCTGCTGCTAATGGTGGTAGTCGTGCTGCTGCTGCTGCTGATATCGACGTGCCAGCTGCCAATGCTGCGGGGGCTTGCCAAATTTTGCTGGAGTAACAGCTTTTACGTATTATTTGGCCTGTTGCAGACGGCCCTTCAATCGGGTTCCCCATCAAGTGAGCGCCGATCCTTCGGGTGAGTACAATATATACCCACACTACCTGCAGGATATTTACGGCTTATGTTTGCGGCTTCTCTGTAAAATCCGTTGGTATAGATCGTTGCGCATTTTCTGTTAGAGCACATTATCGCCGAAGCAAAGAAGGGCCTTGTTATCCCCAAAGGACCCCGCAAGATTTCGGATGGAGCAGAGGTAGGAGATGATCGCCTGCAGCACCCTCCATGGCGGCACTAACAGCTGTCTGCTGCTGATATTGATGGTGATACTGCGTAGCGCAGCGTATAATCGCCGACGCAGCCGCCTCTTCTGCTACTGCTTCTGCTGCCTCTGCTGCTAGTTCTGCTGCCTCTACTGCTACTGGTGCTGATGCTACTTCTGCTGCCTCTGCTGCTGCTCCTCCTACTCCCACTGCGACTGCTGCGGCTTCTGTGGTTTTGCTGTTCGGCACGTTACTGAGGCCTCGCTCTTCGCGTGAGTGCGGAAGGGGGTGCTGCACCTGCTGTGGCCGTTGCTGTTGCAGGATTTACTGTACCGTCTATTAGCTTACAACCCAAGGGAGCGCCTTACTCTTGAAGAGGCCCTTGCCCACGACTTTCTTCAGAGATCCTCCGAAGAACAGGGGATAGCAGACCGAATAGAAGAAACTCTAGTTGCACTAGAAAGGCACTAGCGTTTCTCCAGTTGCTGCTATCGCCGCTGTGATACAGTGTGCAGCGACCAAGGCTGTTGGAGCGTCGCAACAGGGCGTGCTGCTGCAGAAGAACTCTCTCTAGTTAGCCAGGTGCTGCACCCAGACATGCTGACGAGCGGGAAGAGGATAGTCGAGAATAGAGGAGGGTGTCTGCTTACTCGCCTACTGTCTGAACTTGGCTTCAATTTTAACTGGTAGCTGGAGTACAGGACCTATGCAGATGAGAGTTGGGGGACACATTAAAACATAGCAAGTGCTTCGAATTACAGAGTCTGCTGGTCTTCTTAGGCTCGTGATAGCTGACTGGGAAGACGGACACCTCCAACAGCAACACTGAAGGCGCATACACGGGCACGAAAAGGCGCGTCTGCTTGTCTAGTATTGGCGTTTTTATTGCCTCTATATAATACCCCGTTAAAGCTTTAAGAATTAAGACCGCTCCTACTCTAGTTTGAGCAGGCCATACCGAGCCTCCTGCCGACAGCAAGAGCTGTCATGCTTAGCAGCGATCGACTCCGTGGTAGCAGTCATACAGCCCTCTTCGCAACGCATATCCCCTTGTTTGAGCTTTGAACCTATGGCTTGCTATATGTCTTCCAACATGTACCAGCATGCTTGTGCCCAACTCCGATCAGTTATTTACACGCGGCGAAAGTTTATAGTGCCACAGATCGGCTGGTGCTCCTTGGTTCTTTATTGGTTCCTTCTGATAGTCATTGTGGTGATATAGTAGTCCCCCTTCTTGACAAGCACATGAAAAATACTTCCTTTTTACCGTCCCTTAAAGCAACTGAAAGGCAGGCTCTCAGTAGGAGCCTGCCTTTGCAGCTCTGCACGGGGCCAAAAAGTTGCAGCTAAGGCCGAGAATTTAGTGCAAGCTGTAGTGGAGCCTTTCTTTGCTCATCGCGGAACTGGAGAAGATATCGAATCAACATTAACTCGACAGCATATGTGCGATTTGTGAAGGTCTTCCTTTCTTAGAATACAAATCTGCACTTCCCTAGAGCATGTGAATCATAGCTGTTCCTTGGTGTAGTGTACGTTGCGCGAGCTGTCGGAATGAAGACCATTCCAGAGAGTAGGAAACGGGAAGAGGCAGTGTTCTGCGGTTGGTGAGAAGCCTCCTTGCTTTTTAGAGCAGCAACGCCTTGAGCTACCATAAATACTTCGGTGAAACGGATAGCAAATAGGATAATGAATGTTGCAAATGTTGATACAGACCTGGTGGATGGAATCCTACACTGACAGCCGTGAGCTTGTTGAGGTCCACAGCAACAGTCATGCTTGCTACGTGTTTCATTTGGGGGGCAAAGTTAGATATACACTTTTTTACTAGACAGGTGATACCTAAATAGGGTTAGTATAAAGTTGCGTGTGTGTTTTGTATGTCCGCATATCTCATTTATCGCAGATTACTCTAAGCTTGATACAAGAAGACGCAATGTTGTGTATGTATGCGTTAGACGGTCCGTGCGAGTAGCTGTAAAAGTTGGGAGTGCTTAGAATGTGCAGCTGCATGCACCCTACGTTCCCTTTGCCTCTCATGTCGAAGATCTCGAGGGGTGGCGGCAAGAAGACAGGAGCCTTCTTCGAAACACGTCTGAACAATCTAGTAAGTTTGTAGTGAGTCAGCAGTTAAGGAGCGGTGCTCTATGAAGCCACAGATTTGAAAATAATTCTTTTCTCGGAGCGACTGTGAAATCGAATGACCTGTTTTCCTGATAATGCCAGGCAGCATCTGAAGCGTCTAATTACCTCATTTGGTCTTCGTGCTGCTTTCCTGCATGGTAGCGGGAATAGGAATCTTTGATACCCACAAAGGAAATGCTACCGTTACGCATGCGTACAGCCTTACACACTCCACAGCAGGAACTCCTCCCTTCCTAGCCTTCACGGAAACTGAGCATAACAATAACATACGCAATGATGATACTAGAGCAGCATCTCAGGAACGCCCCAGCAAGTCAAAATTACATCCACCTGAACAATATTGAGTAGGGAATTCGATCCTAACAAATCCAGGGTATTTGTTTATTTCAGTGAACGTCCAGGGTCTCTCAATAGCAGCTATTACTTCTACCAGAGAAGTTGCAGTGATGGACTTGGGCCCAACAGGTTCAAAGGCGTGTGTACAAGTGCTTTCTATTAGAGTAAATGGGTTACGGTAGAAATGTAAGCACTGAGTACGGCCCCATGCGCTACCGAAGGCTTTCAAGTTTGCCTAGCATATTCCTTCCTGGCAACAGTTTTGGTGGACAGAGTACCAATTATCCGTGCAGACGCAAAAACATGCACACTTTTTCAAATAAACCTTTAACGTCGTGCCTTGCCTGTGATATGACGTCACCTGGACGGTAGCGTCGATTGATGGCAGTTTGGCACCATGCCCACGCAGGCTTCCACGAAAGCACACCTGAGCGATGCTTAATAGGCGACCTTATACCTCGAGAAAATATTCTAAGAAGACTGGCTTTATTTAAAGTGACTAATTCTTTCTTTGGAGCTGGATGAGCGAGCTATCAAACAGCTGCAACGCTTCCAGCTTCGCCCATCACGCAAGGAATTTTAGGAAAACCCAATATATTGCAAGTCACCAAGCTCAAGCAACAAGTTATCTTTTGAAGGTCTTTGTTGCCGTATGCACGATACATGGTCCTGTCACGGGTCACATTAACAGCCCCGATAGAGTGGTAGGAACTGTGTGGTAGAAAACGTACTTCAGACAACCACTGATTTAGGACAGGACAACTGTGGCTTGGCATCACCATAAACTGTCTGTGCAGTATTCCAACGCTCCTTTTGCAAGATTGGCTGTGCCATTTTGACTGATGGAGTGCAAAATAGTATCCGCAGTGACTTTGCTGTGAGCATTAATGTGTAACACTGTATTAGATTACTGCCCAATTTAAAGGCTGCGACCACCAACCCGTCTACTGGTGCATTCTCAGTTCTATTTTCAAGGTTCTTACTGCAGCTTAGAACCCTTGCGAAGGAGCCATCAAACGCTTTGTATGCTCACTTACGTGGGCGAGTGAAACTCACAGCTTGAAGACGACGTGACCCATGAAAGATAATGAGTGCCCTAGTTGGAAGCGCTGGACCCCTCGTGAATTATGACGAGAATACACGGAACCATGAACGGCAAAACACTAGTGTTCTTCATTTTCTGCCCAATGGGCTAAGGACTAGTCTCTAAGTCTGAAAGTTGTCGAGCTTTTCACTGTGCCATTGAGCGAGGTAGGCACGTTTGTCTGAAGTTCCATATTTCTAACTTTGTCGTTTCCTCAATTCATTTAGGAGCCTTTAGATGCCACACGAATGTAGAGCAACAGTGCACAAAATACGGAGGGCTCCCTATCCTTAGATGCTTAAGCATGGGTGTTAACTGTGCCGTATTTGTCGGGCTTCTACGTTGTACGCAAGTCGAGCTGCGGTAGGTTCCACGCACCCTTCAACGTTTTACCGACAATCAATGGTAGATGCTTTTGTTTCCTTAAATTCGAGGTTGGCCGGTCTGGCCGCTCGGTACACCCAGCAGCCAACAAAACGCTTCCTTCTGAAGCTATAGCCCGTTAGTGTTGTATTTTAGCAAGATTGCCCTTTCGTAGCCACAAGCGGTATCGCGTAACGCAAACGAGTGTGCTAGTAGCGACCATGGCTTTAACTCTACTGACAAGCGCTTCTACTCATAATAAATTGTAATTCACGTATACTCGAGCCAGCGGGAACCAGGTAGGGGGGCACGCAGATCCGAAGCCAAAAGTATACCAGCAGTTCGGCAACTTTGGTGTGAATTATGCTATTGAGCCATGGCATAGGTAAAGGATGCATTAATCCAAATGCTAAGGAACTAGCCAAAGTAAAAAGGCTTAGTGCAGCCTGCACAGTTGGCCAAACGTATCAAGCATGCGCAGACGTCATAGTACTTTTGGCGGTGGTAAGCAATCACTTGGCATATCGAGCATGAAGGTAGCAACGTATGAGAAATCAACAATTTGGTGCTTGACATGAAATAGCAATTGACGCTGCACGCGTGAAACCTTGCCGCTCTGTACTGTCAATAACTTTGTTAAGGTACTTTTAGTACACGTAATGCTTCTCAAAAAGGGACACAGCTGCTCCACCCCCGCCAGCGCCTCCTGCATATGTTCCCAACTGTGCTTCGCTATTTGCCTTTGCCCTCTTAAGCAGCGCTGCCTGAGCCTTGGCTTTATTTTCAGCATTTCCTGACCAGGCTTGCAGTGTGGAGGCTTGAAGAGCGCGTCCGTAAGAAAAGGTAAGAGCCCAAGGGTGGGGACCCATCTTATTCATTGCGTTGAGATTAGCAGAGGCCTCCTCCTCGGACTGCCCTCCAGAAAGGAACGTGATTCCAGGGAGAGCTGGGGGTACGGTACGCGCAAGGGAACGAATGGTATAGAAGGCGATTTCTTCCGGCTTGGCCTTAGTGGGACACTCAGATCCAGGTGTCACCATGTTTGGCTTGAGCAGTGCGCCCTCCAGCATAACTCCTTGGTCACTCAGCTGTTTGAATACTGCAGCTAGTACCTTCTCAGTTACTTGTGCACATGTGGCAATGTCATGGGTTCCATCTGTAAGAATCTCCGGCTCGACAATTGGCACAAGCCTATTTTGCTGGCAAATTGCCGCATACCGCGCTAGGCCATACGCCACTTCTGCAATCGAACGGTCGGAAGGCTTCCCCTGGCTGGGATCAATTGAAAGCACCGCACGCCACTTGGCAAAGCGAGCGCCTGCTGCGTAGTACTTCTGACAGCGTTCAGCCAGGCCATCCAGGCCCATAGTTGCCTTCTCATCGTCAGTTCGAGGAATCGTCTCTAATCCTTTATCCACTTTGATACCAGGAATTATGCCTTGCTTTTTTAGCAGGTCAACCATCAAGACACCATCTTGATTCTTTTGAAACAAGGTTTCTTCGAACAGGATACAGCCTGAGATAAACTGTCCGAGGCCCTCGGTAGAGAACAACAGATCTCTGTATGCAGCTCTGTTAGCTTCGTCATTCTGAAGTTTGATGCTATCGAAACGCTTCTGAATTGTCCCTGAAGGTATTCAACTGCGCACTGGGAATAATTCGATTTCGTACAACGAGGCCGCTTCATGCGAGCCTCGTGAGCATCGAAACGCTTGTGCAGAAAGATACGCTACAGTCTCTTCTAAGTGTTTCAGTCGAGGGGGGTGTCGCGCGCGCTAACGGCACTGTGCATGGTGGCTCCGTTTAAGGGGCTTCACTCATGTAAGCTGAGAGGCAGTATAGAATCGCACCAGTGGATTCGTCAGCGGCAAGTATGCCCTTCCCAGGAGCTGCGATGGCTTTGGCAGTTGCCGCCAGCTCGTTAGCAATGCTCTGTGGAAGCTCCTGTGAGCGTATTGCACCGTAATAGCACTCGGCTTTGTATGCGAGAGCAACACATGTATTGTCACCAGGTCACTCAGAGTCCCAGACAGGCAACGCCTTGCAGCAGATCAAGCCCCCCGCAATCTAATTCTGCGTAGGCTGCTAATAACACAGAAGGCAGCTTTTGTGTGGCTTGAAAAAACGATACTGTTAAGTGATGCTTATTGCTTCTGACTAGTGACTTCGTGCAGGGTACTCCGATGCATGGCATGGAGTTGTCTTACCATTGGTGGTCTTAGCAAGAGCTGTAGTGCAATAGAGAATCGTTCAGTTCACAAAGAATCCAGTATTTACAATTGAATGCGTGCACGGTTGTGGCGATTGATGTACTTGCAGAGTGAATAGCTTCATACCGCACCTGGGTGCGCCTTTTTCTGGGGCAAGAGTATGGCAGTGCTTCACTAGGAGCGCTAGCAAAATCGAGAAGAGCCACAGCATACACCACTATTTTATAAATATATACGTCTTTCAGCCTAGATGTTTCCTAGCATAATAATGGAGTTTCCAGAGATGGGCTTCAGTGCACTTGGGGCTGTCAATCCTGGCTGTAACGATTGCATGTCCCCCAGTGATTTGCAGCTAGCTGGTGTTGCTCTGCAGGTGGATTCCTTTTGAGTTATTTTTAATGAGAGTGTGTAGTGCTTGCCATGACTGATGCGCTTGTACATGCATCGCCTTCTCTTCCTGTGCGGCTCATCTACATGCTCTTGGCCACCAACGAAGGTTTGAAGGGAATGAATTTACACGTCTTTAACTCATCATACTTGTAACACAGATAATATTCAAACGACCGCATGCCTCGTCAGCCAGAACCTTCAGGACAGGTACTTCCGAGCAAACCCGTGTGACTGCTTCTGAATCAATGCTCTCTCCGCTGAAGCGCTCACATGTAGCAGACCCGCGGGATTCAGAAGCCGTCACAATATCAGATGGAACCGATTCAGCATCCAGCGGATGCATCCGGAGCGGATCTACAACCGTCCACCCCAATACGTGTGCAGCAGCCTCTAGCATTTTCTCACCCGAAAGCAAGCTGCATGGTTGTTGCATCTTTGAGACAGCAAGCGAATCCAATTCTGAAGTGGGTTCTCGCCTTATCATGCCTACTGTAGCTAAATTTATGGCGGCCTACACGCACGCATGTGGGCCTTCTTACCATTTTTGACAGCCCTAGGCTTTGCGCACTTTTGAATTATTCTGTCTCCCTGCTTACTACAGTACACCCAATGTAGAAGTAAAAGCTGTAAATTGGTGTTTAAGAGGGGTCACGGCGTGTTATGTCATCAGGTACTTTACCTCCGTTCCCTATTGCTTGGCGCCGATTGCTCCAGACTTCCTTGTGGGTGTTGGCACCTGCGTAGTCTTCCTCAGTCTGAAGTTTCATCGCCTGCACCCAAAGCAGCTGGTGCAGCGTTTAGTTCTGCTCCAGAGGTGCCGTGAGCTGAGCAAGCGCTTTCTCCTCCTGCTGAACGACGTGGACGGGGCCCATGCCTCCCTAGGTATGCACCAAAATGTCTGCCTCCCCAGACGCTATGGCTTCCTGTCGATGGAAGAGATGTAAATTTCCTCCATGCCCAGTTCACAGGTTCGTGTACGAAGACAACTTTCGGCGTTAATGTCTCGCAGCTCAAGTTACTCTGCACGCGTTTCACCATGGCTTCATGCTGGTGGTTGCGGCCTCGCCCCCTGAGGCTGCAGAACTGCTCCAGCAGTTGAAGGCGTCCGAAAACCGAGCTCCAGATTGTCTGCAGCCGACGCTAGATGCGCGTCATGCACCCCGTTGTGCCGGTGGGTAAATATTGGCCTGCTGGGCCTCTAGCAGTGTCTCGTCTTAAAAGCTCGCGTTGCGAGACGCGGTACCAGAGGCACTCCCGAGAGGGCGGTGCTTTGTGCTGGTGCTGAGGGGCATTTGCATCTTTTACAAAACCTTTCCCGTGGGCTTTCGACTAGCTAATGCCTGCGCGTTCCCTGTGTTCGGCGCAGAGGTGCTTCGGGTGCTTCCTGCAGTAAACCGTGCCGATTTCGTGTCGCTCGCGAAGGAGTTCGGGTGCATGAGGAGCATCTTCCTCGCCAAGCAACAAGCGCTACAGCAGTGCCCCGGCATTGGACCCAAAAAAGTGCGCGCGCTGCTTGCAGCGTTTCAAGAGCCTTTCTTTCCCGACACAGACGCAAGGTACTCGGGCGACCCTCTGAAGCCTGCCTCTGGTGTAATGTCGAAGGAGGACAGCCCTTCAGCAAGCGGCAAGACCATTACGAAAGATAGGAAAGGCAGAGAGGCTTAAGGCTTCGGCGCCTTCTAGCAGTGCCGGGGTTCCTCTGCCCAAGATCGCTCGTCAGAGGTGGCGAGTGTGTTTAGAGGACCAAGTATAAGAGGCAGCGGTTTGGCCTCCTCACTTGGCGTTGAAAGTGTATAGTATTCGTCCGAACGGCAGGTTCTAGATTCTCTCCATCCTACTACACTTTGTACCCGTTACACGAGGAAAAAAGACCCCGCCTATAGGCAACGCCCTTAAGAGCATCTAACGGGATACGCTTGACCAGTCCGTGGCATCGCTTCACCCTAAAAACAGATTGTGTTTTTTAGTTAGCTAACTGCCTAGCACGGGGACGCACCGCCCTTGTCGAAAACTCCATCGTCCGTTCTGGATAAGCCAAACAGGTGCGCAAACCCGCAAATGTGGCATAAAGTATCGCTAAAAAGGCTCATTTCACAAGCAACCGAACAGAAACATTTTGAGAGCCTTTGGCGTACTCCTTTGGCTAGCACTAAAAAGAACCACAAATTTATTTCTTCATGCCGGCGCCCGCCGAGGTCGCCACTCCTCAAGCAAACGCTCAAGCTGTTGGCCAGTTGACGCGATAAACATTCAGATTATCCACAGGAATGCTATGGGAGTACCACTCAACCCTCTGCTGTGGTGGCTCTGGCTGCTGTAGCGCACTGAGGCATGCGTCCAGGGCAGCACGCAAATCTCCAATCAGTTGCTGAGGCTGCAGAAAAAGAACATTCTCACAACGCGCTCTGATTTCCAGTTGTCACACCATGAAGCGACAGCCTTCGACCAGTCTGTAGTGTGCGAGAGCATTCGACGCAAATCTGCGGGCTAAGAGTTCGGCATAGGGAGGTTCGAACGCTCGGGAAAAAGAAACTGCACTTACAGTTTTCGTTCCTATAGAATCCGCGATGCGCCTCCGGAAAGCGTCACCCTTGTACTGAACAACAAACGTGCACGGCTGCTCCACCTGAACGCCAACCCAGGAATACACAGAGTACATCAGCTTTTTGTCCACTATGAAGCTGAACTGGTTTGGAGGAACGTACTGCGTGCATCCGTGGGAGAAGCATGGCTTGTGCATCAGTAGGCTCATTCTGCCCATGCCGGCCCCTCTGTATTAAGGAATGGTGAGAACTTTGAAGGGAATCCATCGACTTAACTATGCTAGCCACGCAACCAAAATGTGTGCAGAACCCATATGGGCACAGTTGTACTTACGCCACAGTGGTATGCGGCACGCGGCACTTCGTCGACGTCTACAATGAGAAAGCTGACATTGGAGCCAACCGAATTAGCCATGGCCATAAATTGATCAAGCAGCTGCTTGTTGTGGTTATTGAATTTCACAGAGAAGAAAATTGCCAGGGGCTGTGCCGGCTGCCGGTACACCTCGGCTTCGAATGCATCCATGTCCCGAATGACCTTTACATTTTCTGGAGCACTGCCTGACGAAGCAGCCGCCACTTCACCAAAGCTGCCGGGGATACCGCCTTCTGCTGCAGAACGCCGCGATAGAAATGGGAATGCTTCCGTTATAGGGGCCGCCGCAGATGTGGCCCCCCTGGAAGCCAACGCAAGGAACGGCCGATATGAGGGGCGCACAGATCTGGAAAAGCCAACCCTGACCGCTGAGCGGCTGGCGACGGTGGTGCAGTATTTCCGTATTGCTGACGGCGCCATGGTGCCAAGACAGCAAGTGAGCCGGCCAAGCTTGTCTCCACGCGAGCGACGGGAGAAGAGGGTAAAGCAGGATGTGAACTGTTCACATCTATCAACGTGAAACCACGAAATTATGTGTGGCAAATCGGCGAATGCCTTCTGGGTTTGCGGCACATGCAGTGGAGGCTCTTTGGGGCTGCAGCCTCCTAGGATCGTATTAGCCGATCCACTGCTCGTACAGAGAAAACGCCCTCGCGCGGCCTGTGCAATAGGTTATTTGACATCGCACATGCCACATATTTACATTTAAGTCTTGTCCAGGGTGTTCATGGGAAAATTTGCGCCTGGGGATCCTGCTGTCGTTCAGTTGTGACGGTTGGCTGTCTTCTCCAGTATGCTTTGCAAGGTACCCTTTAAAAGCATGCGCGTCTCTGTAGCATTGAACATGGGGATGCGTCTCCATTTACGTGCTTTTAAGGTCTGAACATGAACGGAAAGCGGCGTCCGAAGCCTGGATCTGTCCTCTGGGGGGCAAGGAAATTTTTAGTGATTCTGCTGTTGATAAAACTGCAGCAACTCTGCTGGCTGGCAGCTGCAATTCAAACAGGAAATGACACAATCGATATCTCTTGGGTCTTCTCCTTGAAGTCGGTTAGCCGAATGGTACCACTGCAACAGCACACTGAAGCCTCGAGGCGACTGCAAGACAGTAAGAAGGCACCGTGCATGGAAAATCCAGTCATTTGCATTGGCTTCTTCGTAACACTCTACATATGTATAAGATGTTACATCGCATCGTTCATATGTATTGCGAGTGACGATACACAGCCACTCGTGCTTACAGCCATCTTTCCTCAATTGTATAATGGTTGACCTTGTGCGCTGCAGTTTTGACTGGCGATTCGCTGAATTTTGACAGACCTATAACAATATTGCTGCATCAGAGTCCGCTGCAGTCCCACCAGCAGCTTCTCCTCTTTCACGCCTCGCGCGAAGCATTTGCTGAGGAGGAACGTCTCATGCCAGGCATTTTCGTGTCCCATTTCAGAACCCTCCTTGTGGGTTATTCACACTGATTCTGAACACACATAACTATAAGTGAAAGCATAACTTACATTGAGCACGCTCGCTTTCTAGTGTGAGCTGATAGAAGAGACACCTCATGAGCCGTACGCTGAGTTGCTTCAATGCACCAGCAAGGATGGTAGTTGAATTTAGAGCATAGTAAGGAAGGTGACTGCGTTCAACGATGCTGAGAAGTCGTATGCGTGTGTCAGTCCGGCTCTCAGCTCCTTGTATTCGCTGGATGTGATGCGCTTGTTGGGGATGTCGTCTTGTCGCAGTTTGTAGTTAACGCGGCCTCAGACGTCAGCAAGGATGCTCGGGAGGTGCTGCGTGTTGGACTGAAAAACGCTGGTCTTGTGAACAGATTCTTGGATCTAGGCGATGAGGAAGAAACGGTGAAGCATTCCAAGTTGCCGTTTTATGGACAGAAGGATCTTGCGAAGGAATATAGTGAAGCTGTAGCCTCTGCAGAGGCATTTGTGCGCGATCTGCAGCGTGTTTTCACCTCTCGGACAAAGCGTGCACTGGCCACGGAAGGGGTAGCGGAGATGTGCTGATGATGTACATTTTAAAATATGACCCCTGAGCCTTTGCTAATTAAGATATACACACATTGCATGTTTTTTTCGACTTCCAGTAGGTCCGGCAGATACCTTGTACTTTATCTAGCGGTTCTTTTCCTGCAAAGTGTGCCACATCCCATGAAACCTCTAATGTCGTTATTTTACCCCTAGTTTGCTGCATTGAAATATCTGCAGAGGTGCTACTGAACTTTGGAGGCACTGGGCTTTTTTCTGCAGACGTGAAAGGCATATTGCGGTCTTGGGCGGCCAAGATCGATTTACCCCAGCTAACTAATGCAGTAGCCTAGTTAAGCATGTGATACTGACTGCATCCTCAGGACCTGTTTTATGATATCTGGTGACGGTAATAGCCGTCGCAAAGAAGTTGCGCATGCTGGCCAGTCCTCCATTGCATTGCTCTGGGGCTAATAGCCCTTAGCTTTTGAGTCAGAGCAGTAATGTCGCATGGACCATGCAAATTCCGAACAGTAAAGAGCTCCGTAGCACATTGCCAGCCTTTTTTTACGGTCTCAATGGCCGGCAGATTCAGGCTAGGGTTTTTGATACAGCAATATGGTGGCTGCCTGTTGCATATCACAGCTTGAGACCAACTACTAGAGCAACTGTAGAGATAACGAAAACTCCCATTGGCATCTTATGGTGGCTATGCACACAAATAGCTCTAATATCAAACTAAATGCCGAAGCTAGGAAATATGTTGCTTTGCAGCTGCATGGGTAATGGTTGTAGCGCTTTCTTGTCACCTTCACCAGAAAGCTTGTAGCCTCTGAATCACAACACACATTGAGAGATTTATTAACTGTCGGGTTAAAAGAAGTCTCCCGAGCATAGCCACACAGGGCTCCAACATGAGAGGAAAAGGCAGATTCCTTGCACGGTTCTAAACCATCCTGGTCTCCTGAGCAACCGGGTCCAGTGGCTCGTTGCAGCTTGGCCCAGAAGTACGCAGTGTTCATTTTACGTGTGAAGAGTTAACTGTACTCTGCATAAGCCTCCAAGGGACTCTCAATTCTTGGCTAAAGGTACCTAGTGTAGAAGAAGCTTACTGAGTGTGACTGGCCCGCTACAGTGCTGCTTGCTAACAACAGCAAGGCATTTTCGTGCTATCCTCCTTCTTTCCCACTCAGTCTAAGTTTGTGCGATTCCACCTCCTCAGACTACTACAAGACGATGCAGAAGTGATACTATGCAACTGACTTATGGATTGTATGATCGGAGAAAAAATCAACGGCGTCATACTGGCATCAAATCAGGAGAAGTAAGTCGCCTGAGACAAGTACTCACATGATGGGACTTCTTAACCCAATCTCCATCATAATTAGAGTAGCTATGTTGGGCTCACCGACATGCTGCTGAAAAAATCAGCTTTGTCCCAAAGGGATGACTCACTCAATAAGTTACTTGGATGTCGTGGGCTGTGCTGGAGGAACACCTTCCACTGGAAGGGTGTATTGCTGATTTTGCTTAATAGAAGCCACTGCCAAGCAAGCAAAGCATATAAAGCGGAAATAGAAGAACCCCAGAGAAATCCGATGTAACGGGCTAAGTTATACTTGCATCCTTTCTACTGCACGAGTCATACCGCCCTGAGAATATGTAGGTCATTATTTAACCGATTTGTTTGTTTCCATATAATCTTTTTTGCAGAGTAGAGTAAGCTTTATACAAGAAGACGCGGTGTTACCTGCGTCTGCGCTGGGCGGTATGCGCCGCTAGCTGTGAATGCTTAGAATGCGGAGGGTGCAGCAGCGCGCATCCTAGCTGTCTCTCTCGCTTCATGTCGGGAACTCTCAGGGACGAGTGCGGAACAAGGCTGGAGCCCTCACGGAATACAGCCAATACTTTCCTTCAAGTTTGCACTCAGCCTACAGATCAGCGTCATAGTACGGAAGGAGCTCGAGCCTTGTAGTTGGTACCACTACGTGGTTCGACGCAGCGAGCTGTTCCCTGCTCATTCGCTCGTTGCGTGTAGAGTGGGGATGTCGGGAATCGCTATAACAGATGGTTGGCTTTGCTCACATTACTCGGTCATTCGCTAATCCGACTTTCTTTGAGAATAATCCGAGAAGATATTCTCAGGCTATTAGGGTGGACATTGGCACAACGCCTGACGGGGCGGCAGAGGCTGGCCTGTGGGCTGATGTAAAAGCAGTAGCTCCAAAGCTGGTAAAAAGGCATGTGGCATGACTTGTTAGCCGACAACGTATTTACGGATGCGAATAAGGTCATGGAGACCAGAGAAAGTATGACGGATATGAGAATTGGCAAGCACTCAAAAAATTCATCGGCCGCTTGGAGAAGCACATATAGAGGTGCTCCTTGCAGTATGCTGACTGGAGGGTGAAGCCCGTCAATACTGGCTTCATGCATGTAGAAAAAGGTGTGTGCTTGCAGCGATTACTACTGTTTAAGCATTCACACATTTCCTAACTCATCGTTGTATGCAGCGGTCAGCTCATTGGCACGTTTTGGGAAATTCGGAATAGTTGAAGCATGTGAATATACCAAAAAAGTGGTGTTTCAAGCAGCATAAAGCTTTGGTTTGCGATTACCACAGCGTAGACAATACGGCTGCTTTATCAGTAGTTTTCTCCTGGACTGCCCGATGTGTCATGTCAGGTCGCCACAGAGTGGATGCCGACTCAGTTATCAGATCTAAATTCAAATGAGCCGAACACCTGCGTTTTTGACTAAGAAGAAAGAGCCAAGTCAGATTTGAGACACCATGAATATTGGAGCTATTCCACCCGTCCCAGCATACGGAATAAGGTGACCGAAAGAAAAGGCCATACGAAACCTGCTCTCCGAAGCACCCTCAGTCAGCCCCCTCACGACGCACCTGCTGCTGCTGTGGAAGACTGGGTCGTATCATACAGAAATACAAGAGCATGTAAAGCCTAAGGCCTTGAACAACGGGCTCAGCCCAGCGGAATCAGGCTGCTTGGCGAGCCAAGAAGGCGCATCATGGAAATGAAAAGCATCAAGCAGGCTGCGGCGCATATAAGGGGGATACATTCGATAGGGCTGCAACTCAGGACCCACCACAAGTCGATTTGGAGCTGATGAACGTTTAATTATTGGCCATGAATTTCTAACGTCATTCGACACAGGATGCAAAGTGGATTTGTTATCCAAAAATCGCTCAAAAGTGCAAACTGCTTGCTGACGCGTTGGTGCAGTCCGCAGGACTCGGGTTTGGTGACGGGAGGCAGAACTCAGGGATTACCAAGAACAGGGGTGGTTAAACGCTGCATCAAATCAGAAGGAATGGTTTATGGAATATAGAATAGACCCGTGCAGCACATCATAACCCTAGGCATACGAAATGGACGACCCAATGAAAGGCGCAGTTACGGCCACCGCTGCACGCTGTGGTGTTCAGCGTGTCACAAAGCACTGAGCAGAGGCACCTTCTGATCTTCTCAACAAAGCGTGACTCATCTACGGTGACTGAGATTGAGTTGGTACCTCAACGAGGTAAAGTAGAGTCTTCAAGTGGGCGGCTACGGGGTGCAGTGGGAGACGATGCTCCTGCCTATGCAGCCCATCTTCTTGGTCTAACAAGTGATTCTTCATTAGGACACGTGATTGAGCATTTACCCGAAGAACAGTAGGAATGGGCACCCTTGGGGGAAAAGCTCGTGCTCGTGTGAAATAATGATGAGCTGGCAGCACGCTGGACACCTGCTGATTCTCTAGCACAACGTGTCGAACTGGCCCGCGTGCTGGCAACAAGCAGTATTCCGCAGTATTGGACAGCCCTCACAGCATCAACAAAGGAGTATGCAGCAGCTGAATAGTCTGTTCAGAAAAGAAAAGTTCAGGAATTAACCACCATCGCTTTGCTAACCGGACGTTGGTGCCACATATGCGGAAATGAACAAGATCATTGACACAGAAGTTCGCTATGCCGCATATTGGCGAACTACATGACATCCCACTCAGCCTTAGAGTCCATTCGACATTTTACTTCACAAACGCTTCGTCACCAATCCTCTCTCGCTCCGTAGGAAGGCACAAAACAACATTCCACCCTCGCACTCACAAGCTCGAGTGTGCCTGTCTGCTGTTCGAACTTACTTATGCTCCAACTGAGCTGCCCCTGTAATCCAAATTTTAGTAACACTGTCAATTGCGCGTGGAGTGCTGCTTACAATGACTGCATCTGAGGACTGCCGAATCGTTCAAGAGCACCTACCGCACGTATGGCACGCGCTGCAGCTGCACCAAGTCCTCGTCTTCACGAGACAATTGTGATGCTGATATTGGTCGCCTTGGATGCAGACATTGAACCAGATTTGGCACAGATGCAATCAAGGCGCTTGCCTTTATCAATATGCATCCGCAAGGATGTTGCAAAGCTCTATGGGCTGCCATTTTATTACCATGATATCATGCCTGAGTTTGCTAAAAATGCTGCTCCTTTGACTGGTTCACTTGCTAATAGCGCAGTGCATGACCTAGGCGGAGGTAGCTGATGGCGCATCAAGGACGCTTATCGGCCGCCTTATACACCCTCGAGTACTTACGCTACCCGATTATGAGCGTCATTGCATTCTGACCACGATGGCAGAAGCCGAACGGTGGTGCTGTTGTCTCCTAGCGTCCTAGAAGTTTTCCAGTGCACCAAATTATTGCTTATTGTTCTCCGAAGACCAGTATCTAATGTGAGGGGGAAAATGTCGACAACCAGGACTTTAGTAGCAGCAGAATTGCTCGTGGACTTGGGCGCCTCCTGAGGTACGACTTCACAGTCAAGTATGACAAGGTCATAACCAACGTGGCTACCGGCGGGCTCTCGCGACACCACAGCAATCCACTATTGCGCAGCGCAGCCACGCTCATCTGTGATGATTTAGTTTGCATCAAAGCTGCGTGTGTATTATGCTTTTCACTTCCATGCGTGCACTGAGGTATGCTAAAATCCAGAATAACAAATGGTGAAGCACTACGGCGTTGAAGATGATCAGCTGTGTTTCAAAAACAAAGCCAGGACTCCATGGCTTGTATATTTAGCTTTATTCTGCGGTGCCGGTTCGTGCAAAGTATATCCTCATGTCTTTACAGTCAGACTATAGTTGAAAAGTTTTCACCGTCCTTTTGGTGACCTGGGATTCTGCGGCAGTGGCGTATGCACTGTCCTGCCAAAATCATCAGCAGCTGAAGCCGTGCACCGCTTGCTCGGTCCAAAGCCTCCCAGTTTGTGTACTGATCCAGACTGAACAAACTGTAGGCTTTATCGTTTGGCTGCCCAATGTTACGGAACAGGGTTGCACCTACGTCCTTGCCGATGCTCTGCAAACATGCCCGTTTTATTCCTTGCTCCAGCCCTGTCACAGCTCAGGAACTAGCTCAATTACTCTTACATATCGTCTGACTGCTTCACGGATTTCCCAAGAGTGTCATTACACATACGGATCCACAGTCCGTTAGTGCACTCTGGCATGTCTTTGTCCCCCAAAACGCATTGACCGTGTTGTGACCATTGCAAACCACCTTGAAGCGGAAGGGCAGGCATAATACACCAACTGCACACTTTTGCATTGATTGCCACTCTGTGTCCACAAAACATCAGTTGCGTGGCTTAACTGTCTACCTTGTGTTTCATGGGTTCATTATAAAACAGTAAAATGGTCTACCGCTAGCTCTCCCGAATTCTTGGTCAACACTTGGGAGCCCCTCTCCGAGCAGTCCCTGGACCTGATGGTCTGAGCTCAGCACCCACTCTTTGCAGCGGAGAGACTCAGATAACAACTGGATAGTGTGCACAAATGTATACGCGAAGTAAAGAGAGCCAGTACCGGAATGTGATAAGCGGAAGGCGGCTGTAAGTCTCAAGCTGGAGCTTTGGGCCTGATGGGTTGTAAATCTCTACGGTTCAGCCCGAAGGTAACTAGACGATAAAGTTCCCAGCCAGTTGGATACAAGTAGTTGTCTTCTTCTCATATATTAGTTATTTCCAAAATCTCTCGATTATCTTTAAAGCTAGAAGTGTTGCAGAACTATTAAGATTGGCTACCCAAGGAGGTTTCAAAGCTCTCTAATGATTCGCGGACCTTACCGCGCAGGCCACTGTCCCGCAAGGAGGTGATTAACTCAGAGAAAGCTGTAAAGACTCTGTAATCTGGGACAAAAGCGCCGCGGCGACACTAGACGCAAGTTGCTGGTAAAATGAGGTGACTAAAGCTAAGCCTTATCGACGAGCAGCTGCGGGCTTCGTGGCCTGTGAGATCATTTGAGGCTCTATTTCGTCAGCGCTTGGTGTCAAGAACGGTGCTCCTCGCGTTCCTCGGTAATGTTCTCTCCTCAGCATATGCTCTGCTTAGAACAACTATCTTCGCAAATGGGTCATGCTTAAAATGTCCTCTCCTAGTGTTAAGATGTTCTCTACAATCTTCCTTATGCTTCTTTTGGAGCTTCACTGTGCGGCATGCATCGGCTCTATTTGTATGTCAAAATTGCTCTGGAAGGCAAGAAAGCACTGCTGAATGAGTGCATACTCTGCTTGCCTTCATACATTCTACTCGTTTTTTGCTCTCGTAGCGAGTGGCCCACACATTTCACTGCTCTGATGATAGCTAGCCGTCGTTACATCGTAGTAGTGACGTTGGCTTGATTTTTCCCCCGTTCTAGGCTAGTGTGTGTCTTTATTGCCTTCGATTTCATTCAGGCGGATGAAGCCAGCATTTGCCTCTAGCGTCTGCACTGCTTTCACATTTCTGCCTGCTGCCTCCTGGGGTTGTGCCACTAGGGTGGGCAGTCTTCAGCGGCTCTTCACGTTTTAGTCTCAGCATACATTTACAAAGCAAGAGGGGGTGTGTTTGAAATGGCAGTAGGGGGATCCAGTGGGCTGAGCTACACTGAGTCACCTTTCCCTGGTTATATTTGAACCACAATTTGTGAGAAATCGACCATTTGGTCTCTCTGTTCATACGCTTTATTATTGCAGATTACTGCTATCTTGATACAAGAAGACGCAGCCTTGTATGTGGGTGCTCGAGATGCTGTGTGCGTCCACCTATGGATTGTCAGAGTGCTGAGAAGGTGCAGGTTTATACACCTTGGTTGCCCATCCTCCTTGATATTGGAAGTTTTGAGGGTTGTGCGCAGGTGATGGCCCCGATTTGTAAAAAGCCTTAAACTTTCTATGAGGTTTCTATTGGATTGGAAGTTCAATGTCTCCTGTGGGAGATCTTAGATGGAGCGTTACAGCCGACATGCAGAAACGGGGGGAGGGGTATGTATTTTAATATCCTGCTAGAATTTTATTGAGAAAAGGTGAAAAGTCCAAATCAAAGTTGTTTACACTTTGATTACCAAAAAGGTTAACACCGTGACTCCACGTAAATCGGCGGACATCGGTGACAGGATATCTTGCTCGCTTCATGGTTGAGCCAGATACTCTTACCATGTTTGTATGCATCGACCGACACCTAAACAGAGCCGCCCAGTTTGAAGGAGAGTTTAGCAAGGGAATTTTTAGGCCAAGAATGCAATTTCGTATTGATTCCCAGCTGATGTTCTTTGTTTTTCAAAAGATGACTGCTAGGAGACAGTCATAACAGCCCTCGATGGCTGTGGGAACGTTTAGGCGGGACTGCAAGCTTCCATTATGGGCAAAGGCATCACCCCGGGAAAAGGACTAAAATTAGTTAGGCCACAGCTCAAATCCAAACGAATGTTGCAGCCCCAAGCTGTTCCACATTGCTGACACCGACCCGTCTCACACATGCACGTCTCCCTGCTTGCTTGCTGTTTGCTTAGGGTCTCCAAAGGAGCGATTTGTGCATTTCAACCTCCCCCCACGTACATAAGGTCGGCCGAAGTGTTTTATAAGGCGAACTTCCTTCCATATTCTCATAGGGTTGTTCTGTTGGAATCACTGCTGGCCGAGACACGGGTTGTCTGCAGCTGCCGTCTCCGAGCCCTGCGACCCTTAGCTGGCGAGTTGCTGTTAGAGCCGACTTCGCTTGGACTTGCGTTGGAATTGTGCATCCTTCTTCAATTAGAAAGCCTTTTTGGAGTTTCATGATACGCGGAAGAACCTTTAGCCTCCTGTCTAACCCGATTTCAGCATCCTTCGGTGAGCGCGACCACGGTGTGTGCACGGTTGGTCTGTGAATCACCCGACTCTATATTGGCCAACAGCATCGGCCAGAAATACGAGTTGCTGGCAGATTTCCGCAGCCTCTATCATCTAGATCATGGAAATATTCGTCTAGTACATCGGGAAGCTGTGGCTGAGGAGCGTCTGGTTCTCCACCAACGGCCATCAACCCAGGGAACCCTGGGAAGGAAGAACACAGTGGTGCATTAGGCTCAAGTATACACAATAAGCCTGGAATCTGCACCTGAGGATATTACAGCAACTCCTTAGGCGTGGTCATAGGCATTACAATAACATCGTATGCATCCGTTTGACTTCAGGCATTGCTTTTGGCACTAGTACTGCCCTGTAGGAAGTCAGTCGGCTTGCAGCAATTCTGTGGAGGTTATTTCGAAGCGGAAGTTCTCCTTCTGCACCTTGAGGATCACCAGGTGGCATACGCCGTGCAACCGCGCAAAAGACAAATTCGATGGCGTACCTGGTGTGATGTGTCTTAGACCAAAGCTTTGATACATGTGTTTTGAGTGGGTCGCTCTTCGGCCCTCACTATTTTAGCAGTGCTTCAACATCCTCCTCTAAACGTGGGGCACGTCTATGCATTTCTTCGAGAATGGCGGACATGAAGCGGAAAATGGTGGAGGCGTCAACAGCGACTCAGTCCGATGCGTCGGAGACTACAAGTCCCTCAAGCCGGCCACTGAGTCCTCCAGTCGAAGCATTATGGAATAGGTTTTGTGGCAATCCATTCGGTACTGCATTCCAAAAGTGGGCAAAAGAAGTTCCAGATGCAGAAGCCGTGGTTTGGCTCAATGGAGAGGGGGATATTGCGGAAAGACGGACCTACAAGGAGCTGCTTGATCAAATATATACGCTGGCGGAGCACCTGGAGGACATTGGAATAAAAAGAGGAGATCGGGTGATCTTGTGCTATCCTCCAGGAATAGAATTCATCATTGCATTCTTTAGTTGCATTATTTCAGGCATCGCGGCAGTCCCCGTGTATCCTCCCGATCCCACGAAAGGAATAACGGACATTCCTCGTTTTTGTGATATCGGAGAAAGTGCAGGAACAAAAAGAGCACTTACCTCCACGGTTTATCGCCGTGTAGCTGCTGCAATGTCGGTGGTTTCGCGGGAAAAGAGGTGGAGAGATGTGGAGTGGATCTGCACGGATACGATCAAAACAACTAGTTCGCTGAATCGCACCCCTGCGGCTCTCGATCCTCACTCCATCGCGTTTCTTCAGGTATGCTAGGCACGTGTAAGTTGGTTTTAAAATGTTTGACGTGCATCTACTTCTGTGGGGCCCTAGTTCCAACATGATATTACTGCCAGCAGCTTGCAGCACGCCTTCACTTTTTTTGTCACCAGCGGCCTGTTTGTTGCCTCTTTTGTGCAGTTCACTTCTGGAAGTACATCTGAACCCAAAGGTGTCATGGTAACGCATTTGTCGTTGCTACACAACATGCATTTGTGCTGGAATTCCTTTGAGTTTCCAACTCACTCTGAAACCAAGGACCCTGCTGAGCAGTTTTCCACCCGCGACTATAACTTTTACGACTTGGAAGAGTTTTGGAGGAGACGACACGAGGTGTCAACGACGCGTCGAGGACACAGAGTTCGAGCATTTTCATGGTTACCAGTCTATCACGATATGGGGTGAGCACCGCCGTTGTAGCTGGTGCAGTCTAAGGGTGTGTGTTTTCGCTCGGCGTTACGCAGGAAGCGCTTCTCTGTATTGAATATATACTTTGCGAACAACTGGTCACAGTGTCTCTAATTCAAATGGCATGCGTGTGCTGCGCCCACAGGCTTATTGGCTTCGTCTGTTGTCCATTATTCTGTGGAGCTGCTCTATATCAAATGTCGCCAATAGACTTCATCCGACGGCCGTGGGTGTGGCTTAAAGCCATGAGCCAGTACGACTGCGTCTGCAGTGCTGCCCCTAACTTCGCCTTCGGCTTAGTGACGCGAAAAATGCCTGAAAATATTTATGCTCAACTGGATCTATCCCGCGTCACCGGAATCTTATCTGGAGCTGAGCCTGTTCGTAGACAGACAGTGGAGCAGTTCGTCGAGGTGCGCAAAGCTTCCTTCGGCCAAGAAAGCCCCTGCACCCCTCTAGGTTCGAGCGCTGCGCGCTCAGCCTGATTGATTGCGAACTGCCCACCTTACTATCTGCTGCCTCTATTGCGTGATGCACCTCTGTATTCTCAGAAATTCGGTCCGAAGGGTATCAAGCCGTCTACTGTGGCACCGGCATACGGCCTCGCCGAGCATACGCTTATCGTCACAGGCAAAGGGAACTGGCAAGCCAAGGCCAACGTACTCTACGTTGATGCGCTCACACTGAGAGCTGAGCGCAAAGTAAAAGTTTTCACCGAGGAGGAAGCTGCTTTACGGCCTGCGGGCGAAGTTCAAGACGTAGTGAGCTGCGGCTTCCCATTCGAAGGTGTTACTGGTGAGTTTTGCCCTTTTGAGTGCCATAAAATTAGGTGGCGCGCCAAAAGGCAGTGCAAAGTAGGCAGAACCATTTGCTCTCTGCTGTGATGCTTGCAGTAAAAATCGTGGACACCGAGACGAACAAAGAATTGCCCGAAGGGCATGTTGGGGAAATCATTGCATTCAGTGAATCTGTGGCTCTAGGATACTTCAACAAGCCCGAGCAAACTGAGCTCGCATTTCGCGTGTCCATAATCGACTTACAGGGAAATCGCACGCCTGCTACTGGACTTCGCACGGGAGATTGTGGGTTTTTGTACCACGGTCAACTGTATGTAACAGGACGGTTCAAGGACATTATTATCATAAGAGGACGCAATTACTATCCTCCAGATATTGAAGAGGCAGTTCTAGAGGTTCCTCAGATTCGGCCAGGGTGCGTCGCTGCTTTTGCAATTGAGGCCGATTCCAATGAAGTTTTGGGGATCGCTGCTGAGCTTCGCGTGGAGGATGGCTTGAAGGGTGTCTGGGCTCGTGTTCGCCGACAGCTCTTTGACAGGAGCAGCTACGATCAAATTGTAAAAAACATTTGCCGCGTAATTGCTACGGCTACCGGTCTGAGTGTGCATATGGTGTGGCTCCTAAAGCCTCGCAGTTTACCAAAGACCAGCAGTGGTAAGCTGAGGAGGTCTCTAGCTCGCGATAAGCTGCTGGATGGCAGCCTTGATGGCGTCCTCCACACGTACACCCACCACGTCCATCCGGTCGAAGCTTCGTCAAGCGCGGCAAGAACAGGGTGTCAGGCTCCTACCAAATCTCCTACCCAGCAGCTGTCGGAATCTGCGCACAAGGGACATGAAGAAGCAGCACAGACGCACGAGACGGTGTTGAAAACTGTCAGAGACGCAGTAATCGACGCTGCGAAAAATGTGCTAGGAGATGACGGCGAACTTCCAGACATGCAGGCCCCCTTGCATGAGCTGGGAGTGGATTCCATTGCTGCAGTGGAACTAGCGGAGCTTGTTTCCGAAAAGTTGAACATCGATATCGAGCCGACGCTGATGTTCAACTACCCAACAATGGAGGATATTATAGACTTCTTGGTACGCGAGATAGAAGGGAAAGGAGGGGAAGACGCGTTAACCATTAACGCCACCGGTTCGGAGATGACAATGGCAGTTGTAGGTGCAGCGTGCAACTTGCCAGGAGGAAGTACATCGCTCAGTTCTTTTTGGGATGCTCTTATGTGCGGCGTCGATGCAATGGTGGAGGTTCCGCGGTCCAGGTCAGCAGAGCAGCCCTTATCCAGTATATGTGTCTTTCGCGTAGCAGCGCACGTGCTTAGGCTGCAAAAGAGGCATTGCTGGCATACATTTACGCGCTGCCTAGGGTATGTGTGCTGCCTCGCTATGATGCAGGTGGGATGTAGAGGACTACTTTGACCCTGATCCCGACGCAGAAGGAAAAATGTACATCCGAGAAGGCGGTTTTATTGAAAATGCGGAGTTCTTCGACGCCTCATTTTTCAGGATATCCTTGGCCGAGGTAAGAGAGTTGGCCCCAACAGCACGTTTCTCTTTGAAAATTTGTCGTATCTTCCACATGTTCTTCTTGCAAACGCAGTGTGCACGTCTGGGGTGTATGTAGTGAGGTGGCGGCCTTGTATTTTGCGCTTGCTGGGGCACCCGCAGGCGTCGAGTATGGATCCTCAACAACGGCTCTTGCTGGAAGTCGGCTACGAGGCTCTGCACGACAGTGGCTTCGATAAGGACAGCTTGCTACGTGCAAATATCGGAACCTTTGTGGGATGCTGCTGCAATGAGTGGCAGCAAACATGTGCTCAGATGGGTCTGGGGATAAGCAGCTTTACAGCAACGAGCCATGCGCCCTCGATCTTATCAAACCGCCTCTCGTATACGTTGGGGATGTTAGGCCCCTCGTTGACCGTGGATACCGCGTGTTCATCTTCGTTAGTAGCGTTGCACATAGCCATTCAGGAAATCAAGGCAGGAAGCTGCTTCTCTGCTTTGGTTGCTGGTGTGAACCTCATGCTGTCACCTAACGTCACAGTTGCCTTCTGCAAGGCTCGCATGATGGCTCCGGATGCTCGGTGCAAAACATTTGATGCCAGCGCCAATGGCTATGTCCGCGGAGAAGGCCTCGGTGCCATCGTCATAAAACCCCTGTCAGAGGCTATGAAAGAGGACAGCCGCATCATCTGTATCGTTCGTGGGACTGCAGTTAACCATGGAGGGCGAGCTGCCAGCTTAACGGCGCCTAGTGGCCCCTCGCAAGAGCGAATCATTCGAACGGCTCTACGCAATGCCAATGTGACCCCTGACGAGGTTCTATTTGTTGAAACACACGGAACAGGCACCTCCCTGGGTGACCCCATAGAAGTGGGTGCTCTCAAATCAGTATTTAGGTCCAGCAGGGACTCACCCCTTCTTTTGGGAGCCGTCAAAACCAACATTGGACATCTTGAAGGTGCAGCAGGTATTGCAGGCTTCCTCAAGTCCGCACTCGCCCTGCGTCACAAGCAGATGCCCCCGAACCTCCATTTCAAAACGTGGAATCCACATATTGACTTGAAGGGGGCGAAGTTCATCTGCCCAGTGACTGGCCTCCCGATAACGCCCCCAAAGGGGAAGCAACGCATTGGTGGAGTCAGCTCCTTCGGATTTGGAGGAGCAAATGCGCATGCAGTCCTGCAGGAGGCGCCTCACGTGTGCGAGTTGCGGCGGCCATGCAAGGCGCAGAAGCCAACGGCTGTGTGTTTCATGTTTGGTAGTCAAGGCGTGGAGGACTTGGAAAAATGCCGCGGGCTCTATGACGGCAACCCCGTATTTGCCAAGGTTCTAAATGACTGCGGTGACATACTTAAGCGGCTAGTCAGCGTTCCGCTGCTCTCTATTCTCTTTTCTGACCAGGATACGCCAAGATCTGCGGAGAGGGCGCATGGCCAGCAACCCCAGCAGTGGCTTCGACAAACGCGATTTGCAGAGCCCGTCCTATTCGCCTTCGAATACGCTCTTGGAAAAAGCTTGATTGCGCAGGGTGTCAAGCCGGATGCAGTGATGGGAGTTGGAGTAGGCGAGTTTGTGGCCGCTGCTATCGCGGGCGTCATGAGCTTAGAGGACGGTCTACGGGTTGCCTGCCAGCGCGCGAAGCTTGTCGAGACTTTTTTGCCATCGGACGCCGTTGCTGTGGCCTGCAGAGCTGGCGAAAAGGACGTGGAAATGGCGATTTCTGAGGCTGGGGGTGTTGCGGGTTCCAGTTCATCTGTTGCGATGTCTCTGATCTATGGCCAGAAGCAGCTGGTCCTGTCGGGCATACAGTCGGAGCTGGAGTCGGTGTTGATGAAGCTGGACATAGCGGGGCGCTTCAAGTACTTGCAAGACCGTGTAAGCTTTTCTTCTCCACTTCTCTCGGATGTCATTACTCCTCTTGAGCGGATCATGAGCGGCGTGAAGCTTTCGCGGCCGTCCGTGCGAATGATTTGCGCAACGACTGGCGAGTTCTGTGATGAGCAAGTTCTAAGCGGTCACTACTGGACCCGCCACTTGACGCGGACGGTGCGATTCGATCAGTGCATCAGCAACCTCGTGTCAGCCGGGTGCAAGTTGCTCGTGGAGATAAACGGCAGGGCTGCTCTCATCAGGATGGGCCAGCAGAGTGTGGACGAAACGGCGAAGGACGTGGAGTGGGTGTTTGCGTTCCCGGCAGCTGACGAGGAGACAAGCGAAAGGCAGACAACATCCGTGCAGAAGTGCCTGTCAGTTCTGAACCGCATTGGTGAGCAGCTAGAGATGGAGCATGGCCTGCACGGCCACGACGAGCTGCTCTATCACAGAAAGCCGATCCCCTGGGTGCAGATCCCGCATCCTTTTGTGGGGAAACATCGAGAACTTGGGGTCGGGGAGTTCTTATTCGAAACCTCGTTTCCTCGCCGGGCAGTGCCGCTATTCGCCGATCACATGGTCAATGGAAAAGCCATGATGCCAGGCATGGGGATGGCAGAGATTGTAGCGAGTGCTGCCTTCGCACTGGACCTGAAAACGGCCTCTGGGGCGGTCGCTCTTGAGAATGTATTCTTTGAGAGGCCCATGATGATTGGTTCCCAGCGTGTGACGTACGAGTTCAACACGCGAACAGGAACACACACTTGTGGCAGGCGCAGTCCACGCACAGTGCGAACGCCGCGAAGAGTCAATGACGCTTATGTACGGAGGCCTCGTGCTGATAGCGATTCGCGGGGTCTGTCGACCCCTGGTCATGCCAGCCCGACGCTTGCGCCCAGTGCTTGGCTTGTTTCGCCTTCGAGCAGCAAGGCCAGCACCCCGAAACTGGCTTCCTCCGAGCCTAAATCGAGAGACAACAGGCTGAAAGTTGAACTCGAAGAGGTCTCCCAGTCCCTTCTGTCGAATCGGGGAGCTTTGCCCGATGATCACGTTGTTCCCCAAGATCTCGAACTCACGATTCGCTGCCATATCATGAAAAACCTGGGGGTCGAGCTACGCAGCGTCTGGGATGATGAAACCAGTGTCCACTGCAGCGCGAGCATTGTTCTTAGCGAGCAGCAGAAGGAGGAAACACTCCCGTCTTTGAAAGAGCTCCAGGAAAGGTGCAACCAGCCAGTTTCAGTTCCGCAGCTGTACGAGTCCTTGTTCGACTTAGGATTGCAGTACGGGCCTCGCTTTCGCTCTGTCAATCATATTTCGCGGTCTGAATCCGAAGCTCTCGCTCGCCTCATGCTTCCTGAAGGCTGCAAACAGGATTCCTTCGAAAGCGGCTTTTTGGTGCATCCCGCGCTTCTTGACGGCGCCCTTCATGTGAGCTGCTTAGTAGGATATCTGCAAAAAGTTGTGTGTCATTGTTTGTTGGTTGCGGGGGACAACAAGCCAAGAGCCTTTTGTTGCTGGGCAAGAGGTGCTGGCAGTCCCTTACTTAGCTTCCCATAAATTTATACCCGGGTGTTTCTGCATGCGCCTTTGCAGGTTGCGGCGTCGCTCATTGGGAGGCACGCTTCCCGCGCGCACGTCTCGATGGTTCCCGTAGGGGCAGGCCGCATTTTGCTCCGGAAGCTGGAGGGGAAGGCGGGATGCTGGGCCCATGTAGAGCTCCTCGAATGCCGTTCGCGCTCAGCGATGGTGAATGTCAGGCTGTTCGACGACAGTTGGCAGGTGGCAGCCTCCTTGGAAAAGGTTTACCTGAGAAATGTGGATATTGGGGGGAGCGTTGGCGCCAGCATTCCTAGAGATCTCATTTGGAAGGTCAAGTGGGAGAAGCGAGCCGAGTTGACCGCACAGCCGCAAGACTTCGTCGCCGGAAAAGGGCCCGTATTAGTCATTGGAGGCAGTCTTCAGCTCATGGAAGCGCTTTCGAATTCACTTGGAGGCGAGGATTTCGGCAGAGTGCTGAGTGTAGAGGACATCCCCTCGACCAGGGCAGACGTGCAAGAGCTCCTCGCAAGTGGTAACTGGAGGGCGATCGCCTTTGTGGAGGCCTTGACGGCTGACGAGTATGCAGCCCTCGACGTTCCCCATGCAGCTATCCGTCTTCTCCAAGCCTACTCTGCTCTGCTAAGCAATGGCTCCAACATGCCTCCCGTCTGGCTCTTCACCAGCGGCATCATGGATTCGCCGCAAGAGGAAGCACAAACTCCATCCCCGCCAGATCTGCCTGCCCATGCCGGCCTTTGGGGGCTGGCGAAGGCAGCGCGGCTGGAAATAGGTGCCTCTACGGGCACGACAACGCAAATCGGGTGTCTGGATATTGAACAGCTGGAAAAAGATGACGATGTAGCGAAGGCCATTGTGACGTTCTTGCGTTCAAGCATGGCAACCTCAGACGAAAGCGAGCTGATGCTGCGGGGCAACACGCTGTACGCAGCACGGATTGAAAAAAGCGATTTAGCCGTACGGGGGGCCCTCGAATTGTACATGCCGGAGAGAGGGGCAATTTCGAACTTGGTGGTGAGGCCGCAAGCTTTCGCAGCGCGGGTGCCGCCTGCATACAACCAAGTTGAAGTGCGTGTAAGGGCCGTTGGGCTCAATTTCCGGGATGTTCTCAACGTCATGGATTTATATCCTGGCGATCCAGGGCCCCCTGGCGCAGACTTCGCCGGCACTGTGGTGGCTGTTGGCGATGACGTCGAACATGTTCGTGTAGGAGATCGCGTTTACGGCATTGCTCCGGGGGCGCTGCGGACTTATGCAACAACAGACGCAAACCTTGTCCGCCGCGCTCCGTCTTCGCTTGGCTTTGAGGCTTCCGCAGCACTCCCAGTAGTTGCGGCTACTGTCGAGCACGCCCTTGGAGATGTGGCGCAAGTCAGGCCTGGCGCCAAGGTTCTTATTCATGCCGCAACGGGAGGGGTCGGCTTGATTGCCATTCAGCATTGCCAGCGCGTAGGCGCCACTGTCTATGCAACTTGCAGTGGGGGGCCAAAGGAAGCCTACTTGAAATCTCTTGGGATTCAGTACATTAC